ATTTTAATCTTGGTTGTTTGTCTATTTAAAAGGAAAATTCAAAAACATTTACACTTTGATACACTTGTTCTAAAATTTTGCTCCTAGTTTCTAATACAAATTTGCTCCAGATTTGTCGATGAACACCATTTCCAATTCTTTCTATACTCTAATTTCTATTGTCTGATTTATCGTCTTTTTCCGTGGAAATTATAATCTAGTTGCTCCTTAATTGTCTTCCTTGACAATTACTGCTTCACTTTCTACTCATTTCATCTATGGTGAGAATGGAGTTATCATCGATTTGAAGTCCTTGAGTCTGAAGATCTTTAGGGGGTGTTTGTCAGGGAAAAAGAATTGCCAAGGAAAGTGGGGTGAGAAAAATAGTTTAGCCATGTTTGGTAGGAGTAAAATAAAAAAATGGTAGCAAATTTTTTTTGATGGGAAATATGTTTTACACGTCATCTCATTATAAAATATTACCAATCTAAGGTATAGTAATAAAATTTGACCACAGCCAACATACATTTTCTTATCTTACCCAACAATAAATTTTAGCATACCAAACACTTTTTCTTATCTCATGCAACAATAAATTTTTTCTACCATGTTTTTGTTCTTGATAAAAAAAAAAATTCACCATTGTTTCCAACAAATTTTTGTTCTTGATAAAAAAAAAAATCTCCTGTACCCAACCCTTAATCTCTACTGCTTCCTTTTCCTCCCTCGGATGATAAGAAATCGGGAGCAACTTAATATGCAAAGCCCAAAATACATGAATGATCATCCACTTTATTTATATCTATATACATATAACAAAAGTTGGCTCCTACAAATATATGATGCCCAATACTAGCAAATAATGACGTGGCAGCCAAGTAATAAATAGCACTTCACATTCTCTACAACTTCTATATTCAAGAATAGAACACACAGCTTTAGATGATACATCATTAATATCAATTAAATATCTCAAATCTTCGAAGAAGAAAAAAACACTTTACTATATGTATATAAATTGATATGCTGGGTATTTAATAGACTCAAAGCTTAAAGCTCAATGGTTAAAAGTCTTCTATAATAACATAAATTCAAGTTTGAAAAAAAAACATTAATTATATTTCTAAGAGATAAAGAAAGAGCCTTATATTTTAAGAGTGGACTCAAATGACAATATGAGATTAGGAATAGAGGAACTTTAATGATGTAAATGGGTTGGGCCGAGTTATACTTTACCTTAAATAGGTTAAACCTATGCAAAATATTTTGAATCTGGTCTGATATATTAGCCTTATATATGCTACATTATAGGCTTGACCTACCTATATTTAAAAATCAAAAGGCCTAGCCTAGGCCTATTAGTCTATTTAAGTCTATCAAACCTTCAATAACTATCAAAATTAGAAATATATATATATATATATATATATATATATATATATATATAAAATATTTTTTTATTGATTAAAATTATATAAATAATTATTTTATTTTACTTAATTAAAATAAATAATAATATATAGACTGCCAAGTATTCTTGCAGGTCAAACTTTTTAAAAGTAGGCCTAAGGCTTGTTTTTTAAACAATCTTTTTTTAGATTCAAGTCTATTCTATTTTACGAAATATACTATAATAAGCCTAGTCTAGTGTAGACCCCTGATAGTCTGCTTGACCCATTTATACCCCTATGAACTGCCAAAAGAGCAGGGGTTCGAATCCTAAAAAAGACCTTTGGGGATAGAGTTGGATATTGTCATGTCTCTCGACTCAAGATGACAAGATTAATCTTATACTTGTGGCGGATCCCTTTCCCTGCCTGGGAACTTGACTCGCTCCAAAGAGTTAATTGGGGTAATGAAATACAAAAAGAAAAAGAAAAAGAATTAGCCTCACATGTTAATTAATGCCTCATTTTGGGCTTGAACGATGAATAATGTAAATGGTTACCCATTTGTGTTAAGAAGTTCTGCAATATTTAATAAAAGAATTAATCTTCCAAGATCCAACTCTAGACCATTTGATCATAGCGGGTCTAATATCATTTCCTGAACCAACTTTCCCCAAAAATTTAAGCTTTTAGGTTAAAACACGTGAATGATTTTATATTATATTCGTAACAAACATTATTTAGATGCTTGTTCAGTGTCACGACCAAACTTTGGGTCCATGATCAACACAAGGCTAAACTTAATCTTACCACCAATTAGCCTGACAAGCCTAACATTTACAAGATACACTTAGATATATCAAATTTACAATTAACCTACTTATAAAAATAATAAAGCAACTTGTTGCGATTATGGCAAGTATACCGATCGATTCAAATAATAAAGTGTGAGTAGAGTATCGTTCCATGAAGATTAATGTACCAAATACTATTATCAATATTCCCTCTAATTTGGACAAATCAATTTGATGTAGAGAATAACTTTTTGAATTGAAATTAAATTGCAATGAAAATAACGAACATGCAAGAACAAAAATAATTTAAAATTGATTTTTAAAAATCAAATATGGAAACTGTAGCCATGAATTATTTCACCTCTCATCCTCCTAAAGTAGTTTAAATTAATTTCAATAATAATTCACCCAAGATGTTTCAGACAATTCACCTTTTAAAAATAGTTAGTTAAATCATAATGTCTTAGTGACTTTAACCATTTATCTTTTTATTGAGCTACAAATTACTGCAAAATATAAGAATTTTTATCTGAATATTACTGACAATAAAATAACACTTTAATTATAATTCTCATAACTTTTAAATCAATTACATGCTTATATTAACCCTTAATACATAAAAAATTGAAGACTCATCACTACTCTAGAATATAAATCTATAAATATTCTACACTAATTAAAATACAAATCTTACCCACATGGAATGCTTTGTCGAGTTCACTATTGAAAATCAAACGGACTCTAACAATCAAACAAATGAGTGGAATCACAATCTAACTCTATAAGACTAAAACTACACTAGCAAAAATATATAATTAAGATCGAGATGAGTTGTAATGTAACTCAATAAGTAAGTAATGTAATCTATAAAAGGTAGAACGTAACAACATATAAAATTAATATTTAATTAAACTATAACTATATAAAATCCTTAAATCCTAAATCAATTTATATATGTGGCAAAAATTAATATTATACCAAACTAATATAATGATGAAATCTAAACTCAAGTTGAAAGTAAACTTTCAATTCAAATCAATTTATATAATCCAGAAAGTCACATTTTTTTAAAATAATAATAGGGATAAGTTATTCTACATATCTCTTTTTTTGCCTATATTTGTTTATCACTCTCCAACACCGTTAGATCAGAATCTCAATAGGAGAGAGAAATGATAAAGATAGTTGAGATTTTGGTCTAATAGTGTTGAAGAGTAGTAGGTAAAGGTGGACAGAAAAAGAGGTAGGTAGAACTATCTCCTCCAAAGTATCTCCCACCTGTGTGGTCCAGGAAGGACATGTGTTGAGGGATCGGAACTTCAGAAGGCTCGGGCTCGTGCTCGGATGTAGACCGCGAGACTCAGATGAAGACGAATAAGCCATAATAGAATACTATTAAAAATTAGAAATTGATTGTTATAATTAATTTAATTTTAATTAAATTAATTCTATAGTCCAACATTTTAAAAAAATATTTTCTTTTATTACAAGTTTGTGTTCATATATTATAATTCCCTATAATTATGTTAAGTCATTAATCATCTACGTCACTAACAATTTTCTAAGCCACTAACAATTTCCTACATCGCTAATAATTTTCTACTTCACTAGTATAATATATTTATTGCTGTAATTAAAAAAATATAGAAAGCAGATATTGAGACTTACTTGACTGATAAAGCTTCGCTGAGCAAAAAACTAAAGGATTCCATAACAAATTTATTCAATAATAAAATTATAAATAATTCTCATATCCAATATTTTTCCATAACCCTTCTCAATATATCAAATCCAAGTCCAATGACCAATATTACAAAAATCAATTTAATAAAATGAAAATATAATCTGTCCTCAAATTTTATATCTTCAAAATCACTCACATAATAATGAATTCCTTTTAAATTCTTAAACTCCTAAAGTATAATCATGTCATAAATTTCTTAATATCGTTGCAATCTATTTCTGAAACATCATCAAAATCAATTTAAATAATTAAGCAATGCAAATCATCTAACTTCATTTTATGCCCCCTTGACTTTTAAAACACTACACATTTTCATGTATAAAGTATAATAATAATTTAAATGAGAAATTATTGAATTAAAATTAAAGTAAAGTCTGGAGTTGTGTAGTTTCGACTATTTATCACAAATACCCTAAGCTAATGAAAATGATCAATTCAAATTTCAAATAGACTAAAACGATTTGTAGAATTGTATATTTATTATATCGTTCCTTATTACCAAAAAAGTTTACAATTCTTATAACCAATTTAATCACCGTTGCAAATTAATAACATTTATTGTGTCACATTTATTAATTTCCAATAAATTATAACCGTTAGATTGACGGAAATCAACATTGATTAAATTGGTTGTAAGAGTTGTAAATTTTTTTGGTGGTAAGTGGATCTTCCCCTATTATATATAAAACATTAAAGCCATAAAACAAATTGTTTTGACAGGAAAAATAAACAGAGATGATAAGGGAAAATTTGCAAGAGGAAACTATCACACCATATTTATTATTTGATGAGACACTGTAGATTGATATAAATTTTAGCTATTAATAAAGATTGTATTAAAAAGGTAATGGTTAAGGTAAAGAGCAGGTGCAGAATTTTTCATTCCATTGGATTGGTCTTGCACTCTTGCCTTTCAATTAATTTTCCCCTTGGATCCGATCCATGAAATTTTGATTTGTTACCTAATTAAGCTATCTTTGTATTCTACGCTAGGTAAATGTAATTACGAGTGAGCAATTACCAATATCAAAAGATCCGATCCACTTACCAATAAACGATTGGTAAGTGGCAGAGGTAGCAAGCAAGCAAGCAAAGATGCGAACAAGTTTGAAACGTAAAGCTTTGATCCGAATGAGTGGGCAGTACCATCCCAAGAATGACCCTTCATCATCTCACTCTTACTCTCACATTCAATATCAAAAGCCCATTCACTATCTTTCTGTAGACGTGGATGTGGATGCAGATGCAGCACAAGTTGAATCCAAATCTCAAGAGAAGATCATTCATCAACATGTCATTAAGAACAACACCCATATCCTTGACAAGCTTGCCCGTTTCTATGTCACACGTAATGAAATCGAACTTGCTCGTCGTGTGTTTGACCAAATTCCTAAGCCAAGTGTTGTTTTGCGGAACATGATGATCCGAGCTTATGCTTGGGCTGGTCCTTTTCACCAAGCCATTTATTTGTATCATCACATGCTGCAACACCGGGTGACACCCACCAAGTTCACCTTCCCTTTTGTTCTCAAAGCCTGTTCAGCTCTACAAGCTATACAAGTTGGGAGAGAAATACATGACCATGCCCGCACACTTGGTCTGGAAATGGATGTCTATGTTTCTACGGCCTTGCTTGACATGTATGCCAAATGTGGGGATTTGTTTGAAGCACAAGCATTATTTAATAGTATGTCCCACAGGGATATTGTGGCATGGAATGCAATGATTGCTGGGTTTTCATTTCATGCACTTCACAACCAAACAATGCATTTAGTTATCCAAATGCAGCAGGCAGGAATATGTCCTAATTCTTCAACTATTGTATCTGTTCTACCCACTGTTGGACACGCTAATGCATTACGCCAGGGGAAGGCTATTCATGCTTACTCTGTAAGGAAGATCTTCAGTGACAATGTGGTTGTTGGAACTGGGCTCTTGGATATGTATGCTAAGTGCCATCACTTATCTTATGCCAGGAAAATCTTCAATTCCATGAACCAAAAGAATGAGATATGCTGGAGCGCTATGATTGGAGGATATGTCATTTGTGATTCCATGAAAGATGCATTGGCTCTGTATGATGACATGGTACTTATATACAGGCTGAACCCTACACCAGTCACTCTTGCAAGCATACTTCGAGCTTGTGCAAAGCTTACTGATCTGAACAAAGGGAAAAACTTGCATTGTTATATGATTAAATCAGGGATGAATTTAGATACAACAGTAGGAAACTCACTGATATCGATGTATGCTAAGTGTGGGATTATGGACGACGCAGTTGGGTTTTTTGATGAAATTATCACAAAAGACACAGTTTCTTATAGTGCTATTATTTCAGGATGTGTGCAAAATGGCTATGCAGAGAAAGCTTTACTTATTTTTCGCCAGATGCAATTATCTGGTACCGACCCAGATTTGGCAACCATGATAGGTCTACTTCCTGCTTGTTCACATTTAGCCGCTCTACAACATGGGGCCTGCTGCCATGGATACTCAGTTGTTCGTGGCTTCACTACAGATACCTCCATTTGTAATGCCATTATTGACATGTACTCAAAGTGTGGAAAGATTAATATCAGTCGGGAAATTTTTGGTAGGATGCATGAGAGGGATATTGTTTCGTGGAATACAATCATAATTGGTTATGGCATTCATGGGCTATGCATAGAAGCACTTTCACTATTCAATGAATTACGGGCATCAGGTTTGAAGCCGGATGATGTGACCCTTATTGCTGTTTTATCTGCGTGTAGCCATTCAGGACTTGTCACGGAAGGAAAATATTGGTTTAATGCCATGAGGCAAGACTTCAACATAACACCAAGGATGGCCCATTATATATGTATGGTTGACCTTCTGGCCCGGGCAGGAAATTTGGATGAAGCATACTCCTTTATTCAAAGGATGCCATTTGAGCCTGATGTTCGTGTATGGGGTGCACTGCTTGCTGCATGTAGGACCCACAAAAATATTGAAATGGGTGAAGAAGTATCAAAGAAGATCCAGCTGCTGGGACCTGAAGGTACTGGAAATTTTGTTCTTATGTCTAACATCTATAGTTCTGTCGGCAGATGGGATGATGCAGCACATATTAGAAGCATACAAAGGAATCAAGGTTACAAGAAAAGCCCAGGCTGCAGTTGGGTTGAGATCTCTGGGGTAATCCATGGATTTATTGGTGGGGATCAATCCCATCCACAATCAGCATCCATAAATAAGAAGTTACAGGAACTGCTGCTGCAGATGAAAAAATTGGGATATCGTGCAGATTCTAGTTTCGTTCTCCATGATGTTGAAGAAGAGGAGAAGGAACAGATTCTCCTTTATCATGGTGAAAAAATAGCCATTGCATTTGGAATTCTTAATACCAACCCCTGCAACCCCATTCTAGTTACAAAAAATCTGCGTATATGCGTTGACTGCCATAATGCAATAAAATTTATGACTCTCATAACAAAGAGGGAGATAACTGTAAGAGATGCAAGTCGATTTCATCATTTTAAGAACGGAATCTGCAATTGTTGGGATTTCTGGTGAGAAAAAGGAAAGGTGTGGTTGAAGGTCTGGTTAAAATTACCCATTGGCAAGAATTATTCCTCTTGTGCCTCTTGCTGCCTGAACCAGGTAATGTATTTTGTTGTTATAATAGTTTGTTTTAAGCTTTTATAAATTGCATTAATCCTGATTACTAAAGATGTAAAATTTAAGCGTTGTGTCAGAACAGTAGAATGGAATATCCGGGACGTTTAGGGAAATATGTTGCTTAGGCTCTTTTATGTCAAACATGCTTTTATATTTAGGAGAAAAGCATATGTCTTCAATTCAAGGGAGAGAAAGAGGGCGTTTGTTTCAATATTTTTTGTCAAATAAGTTTAATTTACATTTAGCATCCGCCAACTAGAGAGGAAGAGAAGTAGAGAAAGGGACAAGGCAACATGAGTGGTGGAAAAAACAGAGAAGTCAGAACAGCAGCAGCAAGTTCGTTTTTGCTCTCGTCCACTTGGTGGAGCTTGATCTTATTAAAACTTCTTACAACAACATTTCTCATTGAAGAAGTACATTGAATTTGGTTTGCAGGTATTTACCTATTCTTTTTCTTCTATTTGTATATAGTATGTCATTATTGTCATTTAAGTCTTTCCCGAATCTATTTTACTTGTGATTTCAAACCAAAGTTGCTTATTGACTGGTGTTGCCTGTTGGGATCACTGACGGTAACTCAGCATGGGGAATAGATAGATCAGGTGTTGATCCAGTAGCAGTCCAGACCAGATGAGGAGGCTACGTGGGAGGATATGGCTATGATCCACTCTCAATTTCTTGATTTTGACCTTGGGAAGGTTCAAGCTCCGGTGGGAGTTATTGTTAGACATCCACGTTACGGGGAGTGGGTGTGAGTGGGGAAAGGTAGTCGAATTGAAGGGAAGAGGAGAAGAGTAAAGCTCGAGTACTCTTGCAGTAGGTATTCTTTTACTAAAAGTAAGAATAAGTGGCTCATTGACATTAATCATAAAGGAGTGGGTAAAATAAATACAATTGATGAGTTACTTATTTCTAACTTTAGTAAATGATCCACATCCACTGAATCATTTGTACTAAGAGAGTACTGAAAGTATTTTGGGAATGGATCCTCTCCTCAGAGGTCATGTGGGTTGATCTCATCCATCCAGATGCAAATTAACGGTTATAATTTTCTCATCTTTTATCTTAATGTATTCTTTCATCAGCATTCCCAATATTTTTAGAGGACAGAAGATAGATAGTTAGAAAGATTTATTGTGTACACTAAGTATCAGAATCCAAAGAATCCAAAGAAAGAAAAACTGAGTTCATTGTATTCAAAGAATGATTAATACTGAAAAACTATACATCAGAATAACTATTTATACAGCAACTATACAGTAACTACTAATAACTACTTCACCGCAAAAGAAGGAACTAACTCAACGGTAACAAACTGATAAAACTAACTCATCTAAACTACATCTAACTAGTAAATACAAATGATACACCATCTGATAAATACATGATGAGATAAGTTGTAATACCCCCCTCAAGTTGGAGGGTGAGTATTTCGCAAACCCAACTTGTCAATTAGAGTCTTGAAAGGTCCTGCTGATAAGCTTTTAGTGAAGGGGTCTGCTAATTGATCAGCTGAAGCAATAGGCAGGAGATGAACGAGACCATCAAGTATCTTTTCACGTATCAAGTGACAATCGATCTCAATGTGTTTGGTTCTTTCATGAAAGGTGAGATTATGAGCCAAATAGATGGCTGATCGATTATCACAATAGATTGGAACTGCCTTGTGTAATTGTACTTTGAGATCTTCCAGTAAATATCGAATCCACTGTATCTCACAAGTTAGAGCAGCCAAGGCCCTATACTCCGCTTCTGATGATGAACGAGAAATAGTTCCTTGTTTCTTTGATTTCCAACTTACTAAAGCTGATCCCACGAACACACAAAACCCAGTAATTGACCTCCTTGTATCTGCACAAGCAGCCCAATCTGAATCTGCAAATCCATTGGGTTGCAATTCGTTAGCTGCTGGATAAAAAAGTCCATTACTAGGAGCATTTTTCAAATACCGTAAAACATGCATAGCAGCACTCATGTGAACATCAGTAGGTTTTGAAATAAACTGACTCAACTGTTGGACAGCATGGGATATGTCCGGTCGAGTTGTTGTCAAGTATAGTAACCTGCCAATAAGTCGACGATAACTTGCTACATCTTCATAAGGATTGCCTTTGTCTTGTTCTAATTTCAATCCTGGTTCTAAAGGTGTGGAGCAAAGTTTGGCTCCCAACACACCTCCATCAGAAATCAATTCAAGTGCATATTTACGTTGGCTTATTAACAAGCCTTCATCATAATGTAGAATTTCTAAACCCAGAAAGTAATGCAAATTTCCTAGGTCCTTATTCTTGAACTCAGAATCAAGAGATCTCTTGACCGATTCTATTTATGTTTTATCATTTCCAGCAACCACTATATCATCAACATAGATTAATAATGCCGTGAATGATTCTCCTTCAGATTTAATGAGAAGTGAATGATCAGCATGTGATTGTTTGTATCCAATAGACTTGAGACATGAACTGAGACGTGCATACCACTGCCTACTTGCTTGCTTCAAGCCATAGAGTGACCTTTGTAACTTGCAAACAACATTTGGTCGAGGCACTTTTACTCCTGGAGGTGGCAGTATATATACCTCTTCATTTAGCTCACCATGCAAGAATGCACTGTTCACATCGAGTTGTTCCAGGTACCAGCCCCTTGCAGTGGCAACACTGAGCAGAATACGAATGGTGGTGACCTTCGCAATTGGCGAAAAAGTGTCAAGGAAATCAACTCCTTCAAGCTGCGTATAACCCTTTGCAACCAACCTTGCTTTATGCCTCTCTATGGTTCCATCAGATTTGATTTTAGTTTTGAAAACCCATTTGCATCCTATTGGATGTTTACCCGGTGGTAAATCAGTATAACTCCATGTATTATTGAGAGCAAGAGCATCAAGTTCTGTTTTCATTGTCTTCTGCCAACATTCAAGTTTGGATGCCTCATGATATGTATTAGGTTCCTGTATGGAGTTAAGGGTAAGACAGAAAGAAGGATGATGTGTAGCACATGATGCATATGATATGACAGAAGATATAGGGTATGGAGTTTTAGAAGTCATGTTACATTGGAAGTCTTGTAAGTAAGATGGAGTGTGTCTTTGGCGTGTGGAGCGTCTAGTAGGAATGTTTATAGGTTCAAGTATATTATTATCATTAATAGGAAAGATTTGTGGTATATGCTGAGGTTGAGGTTGAAGTTGAGGTTCAGTTTCAGGTATAATGGGATGATATTGTGGTTGAGGTTGAGGTTGAGGTTCAGTTTCAGGTACACTGGGATAATATTGTGGTTGAGATGGATCATCAAATGAAGTAAATGATGAATTAGGTTGAACAGGAACATTAGAATCAGAAATGGATAAATTTTCAATGAAAGGAAAAGAATATTCATAGAATACAACATTACGTGATATGAATACATGATGAGATGAGAGATCAAGAAGTACATAACCTTTTGTACCCATTTGATATCCAAGGAAGATACATTTCTTGCACGAGGAGAAAATTTGTGTCATGTAGAAGGATTAGTGGTAGCATAGCAGAGGCATCCAAAAACTCTTATGTGATCAAATGAAGGTGGAGCAGAATTGAGAACTTCAAATGGAGTCTTTTCATTCAACGTTGGAGTAATAACTCGATTGATAAGATGAACAGCATGGAGAATGCAGTGAGCCCAGAATTTAATAGGAATATTAGATTGGAAAAATAAAGCTCTTGCAACATTGAGTATATGCTGGTGTTTCCTTTCAACTACACCGTTTTGCTCTGGAGTATAAGCACAAGAGGTTTGATCAATAGTTCCTTTAGATGCATAGAATTGTTCCATCATAAATTCAAGACCATTGTCAGTTCTAATGGTTTTGATGTTTGCTACATATTGATTTTCTGCCATAACAAAAAAATTACGCAAATGAAGCCTTGTTTCTCCTTTATTTTTCATCAAAATAACCCATGTGAACTTTGAGAAGTCATCTACTATGGTTAAGAAGTACTTGTCACCATTAATAGAAGGGGTAGAAAAGGGACCCCATATATCAGCATGAATCAACTCAAAGGCTTTATGTGTAACACTGTTGCTGTTATTGAAAGAAAACTTGCGTTGTTTAGCTTTATGACATGTATCACATGCTAAATCAGATTTATTACAAGTCATGAAAGGAAAGGATTTGTGCATATGAGACATAACAGAATGAGAAATATGTCCTAAACGATGATGCCATAACATTGAGGCATCCATCGTGGATTTATTTCTAACTACTATATGTATACACGGTGACTTCTTGGCAGAAATTTTGGATCTCTTGGCTTCAAATCTCCCATCCAACAGCAGCAAAAAGAGACCATTATAGAGCTTAGCAAAACCAATCATTTGGCCTGTCGATATCTGCTTAATGGAACAAACACAATCACGAAATGTAAGTTCACAGGAAGTTGATGATATTAACTTTCCAACTGGGATCAAATTTACTTGAAATTCAGGAACATAAAGGACATCATTGAGTTGTAAAAGTTCAGATATAACCACTGTGCCAGAATATTTAGCAATCACTTTCTGGTTGTTAGGAAGTGTAATTGCAATAGGATCAATCTTGTTAAAGTAAGAGAATAATGAAGGCATTGAACATATGTGATTCGTAGCCCCCGTATCAAGAATCCAGTGATTAAGGACCTTACCAGAATTCACATTGAAAGCAGATCCATGTTGAACCTGAGCAAAATTTGCAGTATGGGAACTGACATCAGCTGCATTATCAGCTTTGGATTGAGTCATCAAATCAAGAAATTTTGATACTCTTGTTGAGTTAAAGAAACTTTATCAGTATCCTTAGTTCCATCAACATCTTCAGTTGTGTCAAGAAAGGCTGCATTGGCTGATACAGTCTTTCCTCTGCTTTTGAATCCTGGTGGATATCCATGTTTGGCATAACATGTCTCCACTGTATGGTTGGTGCGACCACAATGAGTGCATAGTTTGGTTCCACGTCCTCTTCCATTTCTTCCTCTATTATAATAAGTACCACGTCCACGTTGATGCTCAGCTGCATAAGCTCGTGAACCTGATATATGTTCATCTGTCGCTCTTGTTGTGTAACAAGTGAGAAGGCTTTGTTCATACTTGGAAGAGGTTCAATCAACATTATTTGTGAACGAACATGTGAGTATTGATCATTAAGACCTTTCAAGAATCGGATTACTTGATCTTGCTCTCGGCATTTCTTCAATTTGTCCGAAGCACCACAGACACAATTTGGTAATGGCTGTAAGTTGTCAAGTTCATCCCATAGAGTTTTGAGTTGAGTAAAGAAATCACCTACTGATGATTCTCCTTGATGAAGACGCTGAATTTCTTCTTGCAAATCTGCAATTCTGAAGACATCGGTTTGCGAAAAACGTTCTTGGAGATCTTTTCAAGCTTCATGTGTCTTTTCGATCCAAAGAATGGATTTGGCAATAGTAGGCTCAATAGAGTGATGGATCCATGATAAGACCATTGTATTACAACGATCCCATGCTTGATACGTAGAATCGGTTTCTGCTGGAATGGTGAAAGTACCATCCACAAAGCAGATTTTATTTTTGGAATGAAGTGATTTTCATAGCACGAAGCCATGTGTGATAGTTCTTGCTACTGAGAAGTGGTGTAACGAGAACGAGAGCTGGATTTTCATTTGCATGGAGATATAGAGGATTCGAAGGATTCGTCAGATGATCGGGAAGGGGAGCTTTGTTCGCCATTAGAAAACTTGCTGACTGAAGGTTGAAGATGAAGCAGCAACGAACGCGATACCAGAGCTCCCTCAGAGCTCTGATACCATGTCAGAATCCAAAGAAAGAAAAACTGAGTTCATTGTATTGAAAGAATGATTAAAACTGAAAAACTATACATCAGAATAACTATTTATACAACAACGACTAATAACTACTAATAACTACTTCACCGCAAAAGAAGGAACTACCTCAATGGTAACAAACTGATAAAACTAACTCATCTACACTACATCTAACTAGTAAATACAAATGATACACCATCTGATAAATACATGATGAGATGAGTTGTAATACTAAGTCAAGGAGATTCAGTTGAAGGGGCCAACCCTTGTGAAGGATATTAACTCCTTGTTTCATTCATTGACAATAGCTAATATTTTCTTTCACATCTTTTTATTTGTGTTTCACTGCAATTGTCCTGTTAAACGGGTTCATTCCGCTCAGGAACCCTAATATTTTATCATTCTACTACTTCCATTTTTACTGGACTTTTTTTTTGTGACATATTTTTACAAGATATTGAATGTAATGATTTTTTTAATATTTCCTACAGTTATGCCAGATGCACACGTTCTGTTTCAGTTGGTGAGTTCCCTCTCCCTCTCAACACATCCACTAAGGATAAACTTTTTAGGAATAAGATATTATGCCTCTCTTTTTTTATAATATTTTATTTACTTCTTTCGGGTGCCAGGGAAAAATAGACAGGAAAAAAATGTAGTTATAATGTACTATCCCAATTTTTCATATTGTAAGTTGTTAAGAAGTTTTGTTGCTTTGTATGTATTGCAGTTAGCCCGGCATATTATGCCCATTTGGCTGCGTTCCGAGCCTGGTTTTATTTGGAACCTGAGATATCAGACAGTGGCTCTATGATAAGTAGTGCTGTTCCTGTTGGTGGAATGAGTGGTGGAGCTGGACATAGCACTCGTGCGCCTGGTGTTAATGTTGCTGTGAAGCCCCTTCCCGCACTTAAGGACAATGTGAAGAGGGTGATGTTCTATTGCTGAGAAACTGTTTGCTTAGAAGATGAAGGTTATTCGAAGTCGTATAGTTCTCTTTAACATTATGTTTCTTTCTGTGGAAGTTACTTAAAAAGTTTGTCTTTCTTCAGATGTTGCAAGGTGTATCTATTTTACTTTATTTTTATTTTGTTTGGAAGCATTTTTTTAAGCCCTAATTATTGTGAATCATACTTGTACCGTTGTCCTGTAACAAACTAAATTATGTTGCAAGTTATAACTGGGTTTGTTCCCATTGTTGAGAGTTGTAGAATGTTTGCACATGGTTTGTTTGGTCATGGTTTACCTTTGAGGAAGAGTAGCAGAGCTTTTAGGCTTTTTTGTGCTTCGCTGGAGGCTTATGTTGATAGTTTTTAAAAATGTCTGCAAATGTTCCTGCTTCCTTTAGATTTTACATTTTGAAATTGTCAACAAAAGCTCTATGTAGTTCGGCATTTTGGAAGTTGTGGATTTGAGAAAAAAAGTTTTAAGGTTGGACTGGTATACAAATTTGTTGACCTGTTCAATATCTACCCGGGACAACCTTGTAAGGAAGTTCCAAAATCAATTTTCTACGAGCCTACTAATCCCCAAGTTGGTTTATGCCATCTTGAGTGATTGGGAGGTATCCCATCACTAAAGGTAATGAAACCCTTATCACTTAGGAAAGTTTGGGAAGATTTGTGAGGTTATTTGTCAAATACCCGTAAATTAGGTGGAAGTTGTAAGGTTATTGAGTATTTGAAAACTTTGTGATTATAGTGGTTATAGTAATTTATCAAGTACCCATTGAATAGCAAAAAATTATTGAGTGGTTGCAATCTTGACGTAGGTCACAAGTTATTGTGGTCAAACTAGGATAAATAGTATTTGCATTATTTGAAACCCTTAATTCTATCTAATAACACTTCGTTTATTTCTTAAATATTTTCTATGCATGTGTTAGTGCAGATTGTTTAATTGTAAAATTATATGTAATGAATTGTTTAAATATATTGATAATCATTTCATATGTCAAAGTTTGCTTAAAATATTAATTTAAAAACAAAAAGTTGGCTTTTGCATAAAAAAAAATTGTAATACTCAAATCATCACTCTGGTAATGAAGCAACATTTGTAACAATTTTATCCTACCAAATATATGTTGGAAATATAGTTTCTCATGTTGCATCAGATAATTTTTCTCATACAACACAAAAAAAAATAGATGAGATTCACTTGTTTTATTTCTCTCTCCTCATTGGTGGATCTCATTCGCTTTTTTGTGTATTGCATGAGACATTGTCTCGTGCAACATGAAAAACTATATCCCCATATAATTTAAATATTTAATATCTCTCATGTAATAAATAAAATTATCTCATATACACACATAAAAGTGTGTGAGATCCATATTTCTTTTTCTTTTTCTTCTTTTCACATGATCACAGGTGAGTCATACACACTTTTATGTGTGTGTAGAAAATAAAATTATCTCTTATAATATGAGAAACATTAATCCCATAATTTAAAAGTTAAAATTCTTTATGGATGAAAACCACCTATGCATAAAGGTTAATAATGAGTTTTTAAGTAATTTAAAAAGAATATTAAATAAAATAATTGTTAGCATCGTACTAAAAACGTTTAGAGGTCGTATTAACTATTTTCTACTTAAAAAATAAAATAAAATCTAAAGGGCACTCGAAATATAATAAGAATAGAGGGATACCCAAATAGCTTTTGGATTGAATTGGTTCTTTATATGGTATTAGAGCTTCGGTGTCATGGGTTTGATCTTTACCGCTTCGGCCCCTTTTAGTTAATAATTAATTAAGTCTTGCGGAGCTTATTTGCACAGGTATGTGGTCTATACATTGTCAATCTTTCAAGCCCAGTGGAATCTCGTGTGAGGGAACATGTTAGAGAATAGTACAAATCATTAATGTTGCTTCATTCATCAGCTTAAACTTTTGGATTGAATTGATTTTTTACATATTTTGACAAATTTAGTTAAAACTTTTAAACTTTAGAAGTGGCTATCACAAACGAAAGTGATTGAAATTACTTATTTATCTAAAAAATAACCATGTTAACTCATTTCGGTGAAAGATTTCAGACTAAATAGTGTTTTTTATAAGATTTGGATCCTCTCTTATATAACAAGATATGGTTCGCTCTCTTGTTTCCAAAAAAAAAAATGCTTCTTCTTCGATTTAGGTGAACCGTGAATGTATACTTAAAAAATGTTAATTGTATGTAGGATCAATATATTTAGGAATATCTATGAGAGATATCATACGAGTATATGGATCATTGTGCACCTACAGTGATAGCCAAATTGTGATATATGTGCACAATAATATCAAAAATAAAGTAGGTTAAAAAGTTTGTATCTGAAGTCTTTAGCCTTTATTTATAATGTTTACCTTTTGGACATGGGTCTTCAACACCTTCACGTTATCGATCACGTCCATAACAGTTTTTTAATTAGAAATAAAAAGATAATTTTTATCATGTAAAGACCAGGGGTGTAAATGGGCCAGGTTAGCCCGGCCCGGCCTACATTGAGCCCGGCCCAGGTCCAATCTTTCAGAAAAGGTAGAGTAGGCTTAGATTTATAAAAAAACTTTTTTAACAAATAGGTCATAGGCTAATTTTGTCAAGCCCGGCTAAAGCCTTGTAGGCTGGCCTATTTAATTTATTAAAATCAATGTTGTGAATGAAGTTTGCTCCTCGTAAAATTGAATATTATGAATATTGGTTTGATTCTTGTAGGTAATAATAAATCACACGTAACATCCACTCCTAAACTTTGTACCAAAAACCCAAGAGGAAAAACATAGTAATCGAGGCGAATTATAGAAAAGATTTCATTTCAGCTACATAATCTTCCTCTTAGCTTTCAACTATTTTAATTGTAACAGTTCCTTCACGAATTGATGTTTAACATCCTATGTAATTTCTGCTTTGCCAGTTGCTACACATGACTTCTTTGACGTAGCATTAGCTTCGTTCTGAGAAAAATGCGAAAACCACCAAATTCAACAGTGGAAGGCCTAGAAGGCCTGTAGGCCATGTCAGGCTTTCTTGTTTTTAAAAATGGGCAGTGCTTGACTTACAAATAAAACCTTTAATAGGCCAGTAGGCTGAATTTTTTTTGACATAGGCCAGGAAAGCAAAAGCCCAGCTCAGCCGAGCCTATTTACACCCCTAGTAAAGACTCACCAAATTATATTAAAAATATATGTTTTTCACTTCAACAAAATTTTGTTTTATTATTTGAAAACAGGAATGGATACGGGACAAGAAAGGTTAAAAATCCTTTTTCATATAATAAAAAGGGGAATGTTATATTTACAAATTGTTTGTTTACAAACTATATTATGTCTGACCGGTCATACTTCAATCAAGAGTGTATGACCGGTCAGATTTAGTGTAATTTGTAAAAAAAAATTGTAAACGGATCCTAAATAACAATTATATCTCAACTAGCAAAACATCATAAAAGAAGCCATGTTGCATTCTGAAATATCTTCTCTCCAGAATACGAAAAGCCAAAACTAATTTTTTTTTCTTAGATGAATTAACTAAGCAATGTTTGATAGGAAATTTAATGCAAAGTATTTGCTTAAGAAATATAATTTATTGACTACTGAATAACTCAAGCATCCAGATTGGGTGGTAATTGCTGTACGACAGCCCAGCAATATGGATGGATGGATGGATACCTTTGAGGTTTCGGGAAATTTATTCAGTACAAGAAAAAAAATTTCTTTTTAAACTCATATTATTTTATATAATTCTTTTTAAGTCCCAATTTTATTTTATTTTAGTATAAATATACCTATTACTATTGCACCAAAAGTTTTCTCGAGGTTTTGAGCTGATAGAAAGATAAAGTAGTTGAAATACCCTTTAATAATAAAATAAAATTGTTACAACTTACAATACAATACTTTACACTTCTCTTTGCGGTGATTCTTTTACGAAAAAAATAAGACAGAAATCCGGCTACTCCTTTTTTCTCTATTTGTCTCGGGAAAAGAAAGGGATAAAGTGTTGCGATATAAGAACATTCCTCCTCATGATTTTATCTCTTTATTTTCGCGGTGTATATATACAGTGTAAACATACATTCCACTCATATATATTTGCGTTAGTCTCGTCTTATTTATAAATTATCTGCTCAATGGAGAGTTGTTCAGAGAAGCGAGTGATGGTGTTAGCCATTGATGAGCATGAGCATAGCAACTATGCCTTGGAGTGGACCCTAGACCATTTCTTCACCCCTTTTGGTTCAAATGCTCCTTTTAATCTTGTAATTGTCAATGCCAAACCCTCTCCTCCAGTTGCCGTCAGTATGGCAGGACCAGGTAAATTATTATTGTCCATTGCTAGGGAAACAACACTTACCGAAATCCGATCTCCTTTTCGGGCCATATGGCATATGCGCTTAGACTTTATTTACTCTCCCCCTTCCCCTCCCCTCCTTTCCCCTTTTTTTTCTCTTTTAACATTTGTTTTTTAAATATGAGATAATTTTATCTTTTACATGTCAAAGTAGGTGAAACTCGTATTTTTTTTTTTATTTCTTTTCTTCAAATAATCTCATAAGAATATCACAATATTCTTATGTGTGTAGAAGATAATTTTATCTCGTACAGAAATATTAATTAGTATGTCTATACACACACAAATACATTGTATTGGTAAACTACTAAACTTGTTGATGGAATAGCAGGGGCCATAGGGTCTGAAATTTTTCCTGCCGTAGAGATGCAGCTGAAACAGATTGCTGATCAAATTACAGAAAAGGCTAAGCAAGTTTGTGCCAGTAAATTGGTAGTTCTCTTCTGTCTTTGTGTAGAATGTGCATATGTTTAATTATACTATTATGTGGTGAACATAACTTTAATTAAATTTGTTATTTTTCAATTTTGGCTCATTGATTTGCAGGTTCGTGATGTGCTAGTGGAAGTGGTTGAAGGTGATGCCAGGAATGTGCTGTGTGATGCAGTAGAAAGACACCACGCATCCGTATTGGTTTTGGGTAGCCATGGTTATGGAGTTATCAAAAGGTATCCATTAATGAACTGAAGACTATTTTATTCTATACAAGATTAAGAAGTAATATTAGGTTTTTTTTTTTACCCTTTTATCCTTCATTGATTAATTAATAATCATATTGTTCTCCATTCAAAATTATCTACCAATCTGCCCTTCTTTAATCGATTAACTTGAAGATTTAATCTGACAAAAAGAGTTGACTTGAAAATTTAATCGATTAAATCTCCCCCACAGAAGAAACATGCTCGATTTCGCTGCACAATGGAAAGAAACAGTGACCAATTCTTAGAAACCAAACACTCAACTCAACAACAACACCCCACAAAAGCAAAAAGCTGAAACCTCAACTAGCACTGCACCACTGCTTTCTCTTTGAGTTAGGGTTTGCTAAAAAAAATTTACTTTAGCAATCCTAATCCTTAAGGTGGTATTTGGTTGGAGGATTTTTGTAGGATGCATGAGGAAGTGAGGGTGGACATTCAATAATACTATGTTTGGTAGCACTTAAAAAAATTGTATTGATGGGGAAACTTTTTGTGTGTAATCTTAAACCAAATTCTCAAAAGAAAAATCCCACCCAGTGGGTGGTATTGTGATTTTGCAGGGTAAATGAAAAAGTTGATGGTAAAATTGTGTCAATATTTCCGGTAAAATTTTGACTTACCAAACAACTTTTTTTTTAATTTTCTTATCAAACTCATTTTTCTACTACTTCTCTAGTAATTATATTTCTCCAATATTCAAAAGATTTCTCCTAACCAAACGCCCCCTAAGCTTCACATAACAGGTGTTATACCACTTTAGGTTCAAAATCACACACATTGGCAGATTCCGCAACATTAAAATCTTCGATGGGTTTGGTTATTAGGTATATATAACATTTGCTCATGTTATTCCAACAGAACCACGAGATATGATTGATAGATGTATTCCTTCTAATAATGGCTGAGATTATGGCACAATATGCTTTCCTTTGTTTTTTGTGGAGAAGATTTAATTGATTAAGTTAAAGATTTAATCGATTAAATCTCCAAGTCAATTATTTTTGTCGGTTTTGACCATTTAATCAATTAAATCTTTAAGTTAATCGATTAAAGAGAGGCAGATTAGTAGATAGTTTTAAATGAGGGACAAAATAGTTATTAATTAATTAATAAAAGATAAAAGGGTCAAAAAGCCAGTAATATTATCTATGTAAGTAATATATCCAAACCATCAAAAATACATTTATCTCAAATCAATTGAGGCGGTATATGAAATCATTGAGAAATAATAATAATAATAATAATAATAATAAATAAGATAAAAAAATAATCAAAAAATATAAAATAAATTAATAAATATAATAAACAAAACTGAAAACAATCCCTTGGAGTTAGGGGTGTTAACAGGTCGAGTCGAGCTGAGCTTTGACCTTAAAAGGCTAAATCTATGTTTAAATATGTCAGTCTGACCAAACCTGTTATAAATATAACTATCGGCCTGTGGCATGACTTATTTACAAAAAATAAAAGTCTGATTTAGCCTGTTTAGAAAAAATAAGACAACAAAAATTCATCTAAACAGAATATACAATCAACAACACTAGTAATTCCATAAATATTCATATATTCAATGTATATCCAAACAACATAATATAGAACAAAATCATTCAAAAAGTCTGTTTAACCAATAAAAAGGTGAAATAGATTGAGGAGAAACAGGAGGTTATTACAAGTAGTATAAAAAATATAAAATAAAATAAAAAAATAATATACTAGGCCAGTTTGAGAAGCTCTAAGGTCGAGCTTTTGAATTGAATTTTGAGGCCTTTTTATTAAACGAGCTTTTATACAAGTTCAAGCCTTATGCTAACAATCAATTTTAGACATGTAAACTCAGGACTTTACGAGCCGAGCCAAAGGTCCCTGCTTCGTTTAACACCCCTACTTGGAGTATAGGAAAATTTATTTATTTAAGTAATACATTTTCAAAATTTTGAAGTTCTTACTAACAGTTGTGCCAAGTGTAAAAGATATTAGAGAGAAATATATAGTATTTTTTTATCACTAAGTATTTCTTAGTTTGATTTTCTTCAAATAATTTTATGATCCTTTTGATAATTAAAATGAGGCCATCAACATTCATCAATTAATCAATATTGTTGCAGAGCGGTTCTAGGGAGCGTCAGTGACCATTGCGCTCATCATGCTCATTGTTCGGTGATGATTGTGAAGAAGCCCAAGTTCAAACATTAAACCGCTCCTTGCCTTCCTATTATACATAATAATTATACCAATTATATAAATGCATATGAAATTTATATTTGAATTTGATAATTTATATCCTATGCTTTGAGATGAACTTTTGTCAAGTTTATTCTAGTTTCATATTTATGTATCGAACAATAAGTTATTACTTATTACATATTACTAAGTTGTTATGATGATTTTGTTGCATATAATATGGGTTACTATGGAATATGAATTAGACACGACATTGACATGTGAATATAGTAAATTTAGAAATTATATAATAAGCTATGGCTAAGATGAAATATATAAAATTAACATAATGAACATAAATCTTAAATTAAAATAAGAACATCACTATTTCATAAGTTAGCTTTCATCGTTGTAGAGACAAGAAGATAACGTATAAGAATTTAACAATAATAATTGAAAATTAAGTACTCAAAAGTATATGAGACATACCTCATAGAATGCCGATTTGACAACCATGTTGAAGTGTAGGTGCTTCCAAACAATTCATGTCTTATTATAATTTTTTTCGCAATTGTTTCATGTATAACATCATTTTTTTAGGGTTATATTTATAAATTTTTTATTTATAAACTACACTATATATTCTCGGAAGTACACTAGATTACACTATGTACTTTCGTAAGTACATATTGTAATTTGTAAAAATTTATAAACGGATTCTTCCATTTTCTTTTTTTAGTAGACCATGTATAACATCATTTATTTATATTTAAATGGTTAATTACACATATATATTATGAAACCCAACCTTCTCTTAATTACAGAATTTTTTAATATGCTCTAGGATCATCATGATCCTTCCACTAAAAAATTGACACTTGGATCAAAAAAAATTTCTCTCCTCTCTTTTCAACTTTTTCTCTCTTTCTCCCACCTCTGAAATATCACTCATTAATTACTTCCACACCCTGTTGGCAGATCCAAAGAAAAAAAGAGAGTCGTGAATTGTTCCTATTTAAATTTTTAATTTATTATTATTATTATTATTATAGTAATATTTTAATAATAATAAATTATTAGTACAATAATTAACTGTTCTTATTAATCTTAATGAGATTTATAATTTTGATATTTTATTTTCATTTCTTTTCGTGAAAAAATTCTGGCTCCTTCGGTGACACTCGTTACCTTTACCAATTGTTTTCCCATGTAGATAATCGTTTGTTAAAAAAACTAATGGATGATCCTTGCGCATGGCCGAGTTCTAACGAGCAAATGCCATTTTTAATTTCCTTTTGTATTGGAAGTGACAATTATCCCATAAGGTTTATACGTAATGCTCATAAGGTGTTTGATGAAATGTTTGACCTCCCTTCACGCTTGTCTTTATGTGTTATGCAAATGGTAAATATCTCCAAGGGCATAATCTATAAGTTGTTAGTAAAATTGGAGGATTTATTCTCCAATATTCTGCAACTAAGGAAAAAATACGAGTATCTAAGTGTCCAGAACACAAAGTAATTCTTCTCGATTGTTTTACACATTAAGGATAGGAAGTGCGCGCAACTTCTTTGATTAGTGCACCCTATATGCACGGATGAATATGTTAGAAGTATCATAATTAATTAGATATGGTAAATGAATCAGGGGCTTTTTACCAGTTTTTGATCCGGCTCGTTAAGGCCTGGACATATATGTCTAAAATTGGTTGTTAAAATAAGACTTGAACTTGTATAAAAGTTCATTTAACAAAAAAGTCTCAGACTCTAATTTAAAAGTCTGGCCTTAGAGCCTCTCAAGATGGCTTAATATATTTATTTTTATTTTTATTTTATATTTTTTATACTACTCATAATAGTCATTTCTCTCTCCTCAACCTATTTTATCCTATTTTATTGATTAAACAGATTTTTTGAATAATTTTGTTCTATATTATCCTGTTTGAATATACATTGGATATATGAATCTTTGTGAAATTATTAGTGTTGCTGATCATATATTCTGCTTGAATAAATATTTGTTGTCCTTTTTTTTTTAACAAACTAACATGCTAAACAAGATTTTTATTTTTTGTAAATAAATCAGGCCACAGGCCGATAATTATATTCATAACAGGTAATATGTTAAATTAGACTAACACATTTAAACACAGGCTTAACCTTTTAAGATAAAAACTCAGCCCATTAACAACCCTAATCAGAACGATGCAAGAATTGAGCAAGGTGCAACATATTGAAAGAAGGTTTAGTAAATTGACCCAACACATGTTTTTTTATTATTTTTTTTAAAAAAAAGTGTTGGATCCAAAGAAACCATTATTTCCCTCTTTAGGGGATTCATCAAGCCTTTAGAGCTCAACATATGATTTGCAGTTAAAATATTATAAACTAGGCTCTTAACCTTAATTGAAATTTCTCTACATTGAGATTGCACTCCTTCAAAAATCATAGCATTCCTATCTTTCCAAAGATCCCAAGTCATCATCGAACAGAAGGTTGCTTAAAATTAAATGTCGATGGTGCTTGCAACCACGAGAGAACCATCTCTAGCTATTGGGGTGTTTTGAGAGATGCTATAGGAACATGGATCATGGGCTTTTGCTGCAATCTTGGTCATAGGAATTCCCTCTCTGCAGAATTAAGAGGATTTCTAGGGGGAATAAAGATGGCTTGGAACACAGGTCACATGAATATTTGGATAGAGGGGGACTCATTGCTGGCTATCAATCTTATCACAATTGGTTGCCAAGCTCATCACCCCATGGCTTCATTCATAAACAGAATTAGGGAGCTTCTGAATAGGAGTAGGAGCACTTTGATTACCCACATGTTCAGGGAGGGCAACATGCTCGCAGATTGGCTTGCAGACCACGCTCCGAACTTTCATGATTGGGAAACTCACTTTCTGGAAGAACCTCCCCCTGAATGTAATTTCCTGATTGTAAGAGACTCCATTGGCGTTTGCAACCCAAGGCTTTGTATTTTGTAGTTTTTTTGTATTATCTTCCCTTTATATCCAAAAAAAAAGGAAAGAGAGAGAGACACGGTGAATCATAATGCATGAGACAAGTCCCGTTTCCAAGCATCCGCTTGAGATTTTATTCAAAACGAGTTCAGTTTTTTGCTTATAAGGACTTCGACAAACTTTCCTCTACCTTAGCCCAAAGGAAAGTGCGCAGTGATTTTTCATCCCAAAGAAAAAAATGTATGTCTCTATAACAATCTAAAATATAGTACATAGCGGTTTTTTTCTTCTAAGGACATGATTAAAACCTTTGTCTCCAACCGAAATATAGTGACCTAGATAAAAGAAGAAGAAGCTCCTACCTACATTCTTTTCTTTTTTCACTAACGAAATGTTTGGTGTACAAAATAGGATAATATCTAATAGTATAAGATCTGATTAAATTTTAATACTATCCAGCATTTGATGTGGTATTGTATAAGATAATGTTTTATATAAGATAATATTAATCAAGCTTGATTAAATTTTAATACTATCCAATATTTGGCATAATATTGTATAAGATAATGTATTGTATAAGATAAAACTATTTAGTATTTGATAATACACTATATAATACTAGATAGGATAAATCTCTGATAATAACCTATCAATCCCAAGAAACTCCTAACTTCCGTAACCACTTTGGGTCTTTCCCAATCCATCACTGCTTTTATCTTAATAAGGTCCATAACCACTCCCTCAATAGAGATGACATGCCCTAGAAATTTTACTTCTGAAAGCCAGAACTCGCATTTAGAGGGTTTTGCATACAACTGCTTCTATTTCAAGATTTGTAGAACTATTCTTAAGTGATATGCAAGCTCCTCTTTGCTTTTGGAGTAGATTAGGATATCGTCAATGAAAACAATTACGAAATGATCCAAGTATGGTTGGAAGATTCGATTCATGTTATCCATAAATACGGCTGGAGCATTAGTGACTCCAAACGGAATGACTTGGTACTCATAATGTCTGTATCTGGACTGGAATGCGGTCTTGTGAATATCTTATGGCTTCACCAGGATCTGATGGTATCCAGACCGAAGGTGCATAATTTCATGCTCTCATCCTTCTTTCTTACAAAGATGACTGGTGCTCCTCAAGGGGACACACTTGATCTGATAAATTGCTTAGCGAAGAGTTCCTCAATATGCTTTTTCAGCTCCGCTAACTCTGGTGGTGACATCCGGTATGACGCCAAAGAGATAGGCCCCACACCAGACAATATATCAATGGAGAACTCTATCTCCCTATGCGGTGGAAGTGCAGGAATTTCCTCTGGAAATACCTCAGTGAACTCAATCACCATGGGAATATCGATAAGATCTTCCCCGGTCTCACCCACCAAACCTCCAAACATGACATATCCATATGCCCCCTGCTCTCAAGGCCTTTCTAGCCTGAAGTAATGATAAATAAGGAGAAGAACTGGTAGTAGACTCGCAAGAAGACATCATAGTTTTCTTGGCACAATAGTCTATCATCGCACAATATCCACATGCCCCCTGCTCTCAAGGCCTTTCTAGCCTGAAGTAATGATAAATAAGGAGAAGAATTGGTAGTAGACTTGCAAGAAGACATCATAGTTTTCTTGGCACAATAGTCTATCATCGCATAATTGTTTAACAACCAGTCCATACCCAAAATGATCTCTAAGCTGACCATGGTAGGCATATAAGATCCGCTGAGTAATCTCGACCATCCAACTTAAAAGCTACGCCTTTGCATATAGACGAAGCGTTGTATTTCTTCCCAGTAACGATAATAACCCTCAAAAGTGGAGAAAGCTTAAATATGGGCAAGTTTAACCCCATAGCAATTGGACTAGCAATAAAAAAATGCTTATCCCCAGAGTCAAACAACACATCAATATCGTAGCCATCAATGTAAATTATACCTCGGACAAGATTAGGAGCCTTATCTAATTGCCGGTGATCTAAAGTATAAACTCTACCAACAGCTGGTGATGCTGGAATCATCTGAAGTGTAACAGCTTGTGTCGTTGCAACCTTGATCTCTCTAAGAACACTCACTAGCATAATGGCCATTTTTCTCACACTTAAAGCAAATGATCTGACCGGAAGAACAATGTCCCATATGCGTTCTCCCACAACATGTACATTTCGAAAATGGTACGAGGCTTTCCGAAATTCCCTTGCTGAATAGAAGTCCTTTTGAACTTGTTAAACGGTTGCTTGACTTATATACTCTTTCCTTTGCCTTTGCTATCATACTTTCTATCCTTTCAAGCAGTTGAAACACTTGCTTCTTTTTCTTCCGATTCCTTAACAGCCTTCGCCTTGTTAGTCACACAGACATCCTCAATATCACGACATTGCTAAATCAAATTTTTGTCCCTATCATTTTTCTTCTTTTCCCATCCCCTCCCCCAGGCCCGTTTAATTATTTGGTGGTCCCTTTCACATGAGGAAATTTTTCTCCCATTTTTGTCCCTATCATTTTTCTTTTTATCCCATCCCCACCCCGGCGCAGGTTTGAGAAAGGGAGCATCCAAAATTTCATGGGACAGGAGCACTATAATTCTTCTCGCAAAATAGGAACTAATAGGGCCCAAAAGCCCCACTTTTTTGAGTTTGGTCTACGCCTGGTGGTGAAAATGGGATCTTAAGCCCATATATAGTAAAGAAGCAAAGTATTGGAATGACAAATTTATCCATTTGTCATATGGAATCTCTATTCAATTCCATTGATATATGTCAGAATAGATAGTGTTTTGAGTTAAGAGAGGAAGAGTTGCGTTGTGGGTTGGGAATCATGTCGGATCCTTACGAGCGGGTGAAAGGAGGCAGATTAGCATTCAAAGGAGGAAAACTCGCCACCCGCACAAAAACCATTGACAAGAAGAAAAATAAAAAGAAATTGAAGAAGGACAAGAACCCTAACCCTAACCCTAACGAGGAAGAAGACAACGAACAACAGGGTGAGGGTGAGGGTGAGGGTGAGGGTGAGGGTGAGGGTGAGGGTCAGGTTGAGGTTGTTGGCCAGGGATCAGAATCAGCAGAGCCAGAGGCTTACACGATTGACGCGGCGAAGCGAATGAAGTACGAACAACTCTTCCCGGTTGAATCCAAGAAGTTCGGTTACCAACCCAAACCCAACTTCAACTCCGTTGAGGATGCCCTCGATGATCGCGTCAAGAAGAAGGCTGATCGTTACTGTAAATGACTCACTCACACATTGTAAGATTTATAACTCTTTTTTTGATTTACTTTTTATCTTCAATTTGAAGGAAAAATTAAAATTCTAGCCATACTGTAATTCTCTGTTTCAATTGCTTCCCTGCACATATGAAATATCTTTACTAATTCATTCCAACAACCCATTTAACCCTCTTAAGCTAAGGAGCTGCTTCCATCGCTACTCTTCTAGTTGGCTTGGTCACCAATTCATGTAAAGAGCAAGAGCTAGACTTAGGCATTTCTATTACCTCACCAAGCATCTTCATGAATGCTTGCTTTCCTCTTGTTCCTAGAATCAGTTTCTTGTCTATTCTGAACAACATACCTAATTCATATTAGATAGGCTCTGGAAAATCACTATAAATGAGGCCAAGCTATTGGACCTGTTTATTTCTGTTACTGCTTATGCTTGCGCATATATCCACTTGCATTCTTGTTTAGATGATTCAATTGTTTCTCATGTCTTGTATACCCAATGTTTGTAATAAGAATCACAATTAACAGCACCCATTATTAGTCTTCTAATTTTAAATAATCAGATTAGTAATTTGCAATCGAGTTTTCTTTGTGTAATCTATGCTTGTGTTATCTGATAAGTACTTGTTAACATTACTTGGTTGATACCATATGCGGAGAATATCTATGGACGACGCTTTGGTTGGTCAAAATTACCGTTATATTTTCTGCTATTGATCCTTGGTAATTTATTTTTTGATCGTTACTGTAGGTAGGTGTGCAAGGGAGTAGTTGAGCATGCAGCCATCTTACGGTGTTGTAATGTGTTCTGTTTTCTAGTTTGGATACACGTTCGACCTTTGAATATTTTGAATGAATCAATATTATGCTACTACGCTACGGTAGAATCATGTGTAATTTTATCTCTCTCTCTGAGTTACAATGATTAACCCCTTTAACCAGTGTTTTAAAACCCCATCCTGGGATTGATCCTACTGGGGCACTGACCCCCTATCTCTGAAGGTTATAGTCAGCAGTTAGACCTTGCATGCACGTGACCTCTCTGACCCCAAATGCTGTTGAAAAAGAATTTGTAACCGATAGATAAATTTCTAATAGCATAACATATTAATTTCATATTTTTTTTACAGAGTGATTCTTCATTGTGTTGTGTTTGGGGCTCTTATTTTCTGTACCCAGAAAATAATTATTATTTCAACTTAATCAAATTCAAATTTCTAAATTATTTTCAGCTTTGTGTTCACACTCACAGGAATTTGAAATGTTTTCTATTATAAAAACTTTTCAAATTTTTATTTTAACTTTAAATTTAAAAACTCAATTAAGATCTCACTAACTCTTGCATTGGTATTTGCCAGGGCTATTAAAATTCCACTAATTTTTAAAATTCGAAATTTAAACTTAATATAGGAGTAAAAAAAGTTCAGCATTAATTGGTGGCAAACATCTATATTAATACCCCCACTACTGCTTACCAAAAAAAAATACCCACACTACTTTTTCAAAATTTGAATTTTAAACATAATATAGGTAGAAAAAGATTTCAACATTAATTAGTGGCAGACAATTGTATTAATATCTCATTATTTTTTACATAAAAATAAGAATAATAATATTTATTGAAAAGTGTATATTAATTTAATACAAAAAATATGTTCAAAAATCCTCATTTAGTTCGTTGAAAAGTTCATTAATATATGTTGATGGAATAAAATTAAAATGAATATCAATTCCCTAAACTTTCAACATTTGAATTTATTGATGATTTTAATGGTCAAATAACGTATGCTATAATTAAAGTTTGCAATCAAATACAAGTGAATGCATTAGTATCTATTATCAATGGAGTTATATAATTGTGACACTCGGTACAAAAATAATACAAAACGATAAGAAATTTCCATACAAGTATTTTTTTAAGAAAAATATTTAACGTAAATGTTTTAAATTTATATTTATAACCAATTCAAAAAATATAAAATTATAAATTAAACGAAAAAATAAATTTTTTTAAAGAATATTTATAATTAATTCAAAAGAATTTAAATTTTAAATTTTAATAAAATAAAAAATGACATCTATCATTTTGTAAAAAATAAATTATAAAACTTTAATCACTACAAAAATGTAATTTAATATATAAAAAATAATTAAGCTTTTATTCTTTTGATGTAAGAGTGTAATTAACACAATTTTCTATCTCGTGAGTGAATAACTAGAAGTTATTACTTGGAGAATATGCACGATTTTTTATACATGTTTTCCACTAATTTTTGTGAAGGAATTTAAGTTTATTAATAATATTTATTATTATGTCTATTGATTGAGAAATTTTTTTAATATTTAAAATTCTAACTTTTAAATTTAAATTTTGAATTTGATAGGTGAAAAATAGTTCAACATTTAATGTTTCTGCAGTGTAAAAAGAGATATATATAATAAATTTAAATTTAATATAAATTTATAGATTAAACAATAAAATATTTAAAATTATAAAAATACATTTATAGTCGATAAAAATTATTTAAAATTTCAAATTTAAAAGAAAAAAAGAAATGACACAATTTATACTTTACAAAAAATAAATTTAAATTTTAAATATACATGTATAACCAATTAAAAATATATATAAAAATCATAAATTAAAATAGAAAAAATTATATAAAAAAATATGTATAGTTAATATAAAAAGAATTAAATTTCAAATTTAAATAAAAAATGACGTCTGTCATTCTTTAAATTTTTTTTTAAAATTTAAGAATTATAAAAATGAAAATTTTTATTTAGTACATAAGAAAGAAATTAAACTTTCATTTTTTTATTGCAAGAGTGTAATTAACACAAATACTTGCAAAAAATAATTATTTATATAAAATGTTAACAGTTAGAGGTGGAAAACTGAGCTCGGCCCGGAGGGCTGGCCCACAAATATATTTTTATAATTCAATTGAAATTTTATCTTTCTTCTTTTATAATTAAATTACTAAATCTGATTTCAATTTTTATAAATACAAATTTGTGAAATTCCAAAGACTAACGACACTAATCCTTGCAAAAAAAATTATTTATATAAAACGCTGACAGTTAGAGGTGGAAAGCTGGGCTCGGCCCAGAGGGCTGGCCCGCTAATAAATTTTTATAATTCAACTGAAATTTTATCCTTCTTCTTTTATAATTAAATTACTAAATCTGATTTCAATTTTTGTAAATATAAATTTGTGAAATTCCAAAGACTAATGACACAAATCCTTGCAAAAAAAATAATTATTTATTACTATTTTATAAATCTGATTGTAGTAAATGAAAGTTCATTTCTGAGATAAAATATAAAAACCTAGACGCAACTATAAAAATCTTTTTTTGTGGATAAATATAAAAACCTTTTACATGCTGATAGTTAGAGGTGGCAAACTGGACTCGGCCCGGAGGGCCGACCCACAAACACATGTTTATAATGAAATTAAAATTTCATCCTTCTTCTTTTATAATTAAATTCCTAAATCTGATTTTAATTTTTGTAAATACAAATTTGTAAAATTTCAAATACTAAAGACACAAATGCTTGCAAATAATAATTATAGTTAGCAATGATTTGTACGCATTTTTCTTTTTATATCCCTTTCTCATGTTAACATGGTGTATTATAACGTATTATGGTGTATTATGATGTAGTTGTATGCAAAATTAATTATCCCTCTAAATAACAGATTTCTGTTTGTGGTTGATATTTGCAAAATTTTGTGTCAATGCTGTAATTTTTTTCACTTGAAATATAGAACAAATAACAACACAATTTTTTGTAAGTATAAGATTTGCAGTGCGATTAACCAATCACAGAGGACGACAAAATTTTTGATCTTTTTTCTCCTGCATCGCACGGGTATTATATTAGTTGATTCAAAAAATTCAGAGTCAATAAGAGTTGTGGCCCCATAAGTATGACCCAATTATTGAAAGAAACAGTGATTTAAAATATAACAAATTATGATCAAATTCAAGTTCCAATAAAGCAGCATATATGATTGTGATTTGTTTGGCAAAAAAAGAAAAGTAACACATTTGACATCATTAAAGATCTAAGATTTGAGTCGCATTTTGAATGATTTAAATAATTATGATTATTTATTTATTTTTAGAAGTTTGTTATGTTATATTTATGTTAGGAATTTTCGTTGTTTTTAGAATTTTGAATTTTTAAATTTTAGATTAATTTGTAGTTAGTATATAAAATAATGCTTATAACTCTTATTCTACGGATTGAATTTTGTTATTTTGATAATTAAAAATTGAGAATCAGATAATTATTTTTTTATAAAGTCTTAACTTTCTGTTTAGCCATTTTTCTATACATTTTGAGCATCAAGTTATTTTTAGGAATTTAATTCTATTTTTAACGTTATTGTGAGATATTGTTGAATTGTTTCAAAGGTCCTTAGGATGTTGGAAGGATCTATCGTTAATCTATTTCATCCGGAGATAAGGTTGAACCTTTTCGAATAAGCCCGTACAACACCGCAGCTCCAGTCTCCTATTATTGAAAATTGGCCATAAGAAAATCTTTATTTTCTCCTGTATATCAATTTTTCGGAGTTCCTTTCACATGAAATTCAAACATGATTGCAAAGACGTGCAACCACTTCCCGATACTCCCAATCCTTTACCAGTCATTCAGTACTTTTAAGTAAAGATTCCTTTAGCATCATAAAGGCCAAGTCAGACAATCTCCGAAATCCAAATACATTCCGGCTGAAGGGGATGATGCAGAGACGGTCCACTTCAAATGGAGTAAAATTATATCGTTAAATGTTTAAAAATGCATAAAAAGAAGCATAACAACTTTAACTTTATTGAAATAAATATGAACTGTTGTTGTATTTCAAAAATTATATTAATATTGAAATTGACGTCATATCGTTCCAAGTTCTCAAAAACTCCATCTGTATGTTTCGAAGTCAATTTCATGTATGATATTTTCACCCAACTTCCAATCATAAAGCAATCGTATCAGATCATATAAATTGATATTATCTTTCCAATGATTTTTAATAATTGAACAAATAATAAACTAAAATATTCATACATAATTATACTCTAAATCATAAAGCTTAATAATTAATTATAACACATTAATAATATAATATATGCTTTGTGCATTGCATAATTTAAAATATCAAACAAGAAATAATTTTAAAATAAAATGGAAACTAAGATGGCAGATTCTAACGAAGTTAGGCGCAAGTTTACATGGGGAATAGAATCATAGTGAGGTCACAGGAAAAACAAATTCTCCCACAACATACACTACATGAAATTTTATAATTTCATATCGCAAACTCTCTACATGGTTATATTTCCAGTATGTTTCTGTGACAGCCTTTGTTTATTAAGACGTATTGCGTGTGACGACAGGTCAAAATAGACACTTATAGGCAAGGGTGCATTGCACAGCATACTTTTCAATTCAAAATACTTCACCTCCTGTAAATAAAAAGTAAATAGCCAAATCCAAGGAAATTTATTGACAGTTATAATAACTTGAACTATTCCAATTACATGCCAACGCATAGCAGGAAAATAGGTAAAAATTGAGAGAAAATAGATAGCAGTGCAGGGAAGTCCTCACCAGAAGCATGGCTTTTCCCATTACTTATGATGGTATGCTGCTTTAGTTAATGAGGGGGTTAAAGTTGAAATTTCCATCTTGCCTTGCAAATCCATATCACGGTAGATGTGCCATTTTTTGTATCTCTGATCTCCATTTAAAACAGGTCTAAGCCGAGGAGCCGTAGTGCAACTCAAACAACAACATCCTCTTAGATCCTTTACACATTTTCTGCAGCATCTGCAAGACAAAGGTTAGCATGCTTGATATGAATGAATTTTATTTCAAATTGACAGCAAAATGTAGATCACCAAATGCAGAAAGGCAGGTTTCGTCTCCGTTAAAAAGAAGACATGCAACAGAGAAAGGAGTCTTACAGGAAAAGCAGATTACAGTCAAGATTTGCACAGTTCCTATGTCTCAATTCACTGACTTCCAAACTACATATGTAGCATTTTGCAAACTTATCATATCCAGAAACTGGCATCGTCTCTGCTTCAGTTGTAGCCTGTGGATAGTAAACAGGAGGAGGGAGAGACAGACGGGAGTCAAATACAAACAAATTTCCTACCCATTCTGCCGGACCTTCGTTCTTTAAATAGTGAGAAACACCTCCCTTCAGGGTATACAAATTCTGAAATCCCTGCAGCCTGCCATATGACATCAAAGAAATACACCAAAATTAGCAATATGAAAAGCGGGGGGAAAAGGATGTGACATCATTTCCACGAGTAAACCATTTTTCCTAATCAAGAGAAAAGACAACAGGTAGGGTTGGCGTAATAATATAAGGAGACAGAGGGGTAAATGAACTTTGTTAAGATATAGATCTTTTTTTTTTTTTTTTTGATAACAAAGATATAGATCTTAGGAAGAGAAAAAGAAAGAAAGAGAAAAAGGACTACTTTTAATGTAAGATTATATTGATATGGTGCATACTAATGTTTACAAATTACTGACCCGAAGATACTAGCTATACTAATAATTAGGTCAAGTAGTAGTATTATTAGTTAGGGTTTAGAAAGAAACCAAATGAACCAAACTAAACTGTGAACTAATCCAAATCGCATCAAAAGAACTACATTTTTTTGAATTGGTTCAAGAACTGAACCCTTTTTTTGTAACTCACAGGTCCTCTAATGGTGTTTCTCTCCAACGCTCAAACACACAAATTTACACACGAGGAGTTCTTTTTCTCTGATCAATACCTCTTTCTATTACTGTATATGCCAAGTCCTTTTTGAAATGGTTTACATAGTGCTATTTAATACCAAATGACTAAAACAATTAAAAGGTTACCTAGTAACTGTAAGCATAATAATTGTCCACTAACAAATTCCTAGGGACACACCTCTTCATAACATAAACTCTTCATTTCCTATTTTTTAATTACTTTATTTATTAAAGTTTAAACTCAACAAAACTCCCCCTTAAACTTTAATATCTCTACCGTCCTTCATTCCCATCTTCTTCTTGCAATTCTCAAACGACAACGTCGGTAGGGGCTTCGTGAAAATATCTCCAACTTGATCTCGGCTTGCCACATGACTGAGCTCCACCTTTCCTTCTTTGACCTGATCCCGGATGAAATGGAATCTGACATCAATATGCTTGCTTCTTTCATGGTTGACCGGGTTCTTTGCTAACTCGATCGCTGATGTGTTGTCAACCCGGATCTCAGTTGAACCGACTTGCTCTTGCTCCAACTTGCTCAATAAATTTCTCAGCCAAATTGCATGGCACACGCACCACGAAGCAGCTACGTACTCGGCTTCGCATGTAGATAGAGTTACAATGGGTTCCTTCTTCGATACCCAAGTAAACGCCGTATTTCCCATAAAAAATACATAGCCAGCCGTGCTCTTTCTGTCATCCACATCTCCACACCAATCACTATCCGAGTAGCCTGTCAGCTTGTACTTGTCAGACTTCGAGTAAAGAAGTCCTTGAGAAATTGTTCCTTTCACATATCTTAGAATTCTCTTTGCTGCCTTCCAATGAGTATACTTCGGCTCTTCCATAAATCGGCTTATTATTCCAACACTCAGACACAGATCCGGCCTCGTACACGTCAAGTACCTCAGACTTCCAACTATACTACGATAAACACTCGAATCTACCTTTTCTCCTCCAACATATCTTGAAAGTTTAACGCTGGGTTCCATGGGGGTTGAAACTGGGTTGCAATCACTCATTTTGAACTTCTCTAAAATTCCTTTTGTATAGGCTTCCTAAGAGACGAAGATCCCGGATTCATCTTGTCTAACCTCCAAACCAAGAAAGTATCTCATCAGACCGAGATCCGTCATCTCGAACTCCTTCGTCATTTTCTTCTTAAAATCTTGAATCATTCCTTCATTATTACCCATGAAAATCAAATCATCAACGTATAGGGCAACAAGTAGAATTTTACCTCCTTTCTTCTTTACGTACAGTGCGTGTTCATACGAACATTGTTCAAGTCCATCCTTCTTGAAGTAATTGTCAATTCTCGTGTTCCGGGCTCTTGGGGCCTGCTTCAACCCATACAAAGCTTTCTTCAGTCTCAACACTTTTCTTTCTTGTCCGGCTTTCATGAATCCCGGAGGTTGTTCCAGATACACCTCCTCGAGTACTCCATTTAAGAATGCCGACCTCACTTCTTCAGAATCTGCCAACAAACATACCAAGTGTGCTTCACTGGTGGAATCATACAGATGTTGTAGACTCCTCATCCTTGGTTGTCTCAACTCTTCTTCACTATCAGAATCATTTGGATTTTCTGGAATGCGGGTCGAGGGTTGTCCGACCTCAATTGTCTTTTTCCCGGGTTCAACATTCACCTCGGATGGACTACTCCGGTCCCAAGCATCTTCTTCATTCACCTTCACATCTCGGCTAACCAGTATTTTTCTATTGACAGGATCCAGCAACTTATATCCCTTAGTCTACTCGTCATAACCAATGAACACAAACTTCTTGCTCTTATCTTCTAGCTTTGTCCTCAACTGATCCGGTATGTGTGCATACGCAACACTCCCAAAGACTTTAAAGTGACCCACTGAGGGCTTCAAACCACTCCATGCTTCCTGCAGAGTCTTGTCATTCAAGCTTGAATATGCACATCTGTTCTGCACGTACACTGCAGATTGTACGGCCTCTCCCCAGAACTCTTTCGGCATGTTCTTTGTCTTCAACATGGATCGGACCATATCCAGGATAGTCCGGTTCTTTCTCTCAGCTACTCCATTCTGCTGGGGCGAGTACGGTGCGGTCAGGAACCGCCTTATCCCATGTTCTTCACAATACTTCTTGAAAGCTGTCGAAACGTACACCCCACCTCGGTCTGAACGGACCGATTTGATGTACCTCCCAGTACCATTCTCTATCATTACTTTAAACCTTTTAAATGCCTCTAGCACCTCGGATTTTTCCTTTAGAAAATACACCCAAGTCTTTCGACTAAAATCATCAATAAAAGTTACAAAATACTTCTTACCACTGAAGGACCCCGGAGTAATGGGTCCACACAGGTCGGTATGAATCAAATCAAGAGGCTGCCTAGTCCGGTATCTCGCCATCCTTTGGAACGGGCTCCTCGCATGTTTTCCCAATACGCAGTCCTCACAAAATTTTCCTTCAGAGTTACTCTTTGGTAGTCCCACTACCATGTTCTTCTTCATCATCTCGGTCAGACCACCATAATGAAGGTGTCCAAATCGTTTATGCCACAATTCCATCTTATCCTCGATTCCGGCTTGCAAACAGCCGTCCTCCAAGCTACTCAAGCACAACTTATACATTCTATTCTTCTCCATCTGAACTCGGGCTATCAGACGCCCTTGTTTGTCTTTCAACAGCAAAACTCGGTCTGTCATAAAAACCGAGTAGCCCTTTTCCATCAACTGTCCAATGCTCAGAATATTGCTTTTGAGTTCAGGCACGTAATACACGTCCCAAATTGTACCAACTTGTCCGTCCTTTTGCAAGAAACAGATCGTACCTCGGCCTTTTACATCTATCTTCGATGCATCTCCGAAAGACACATGATTTGCTTCCAACGTTCTTAATTCTTTAAATAAATGTTTGTGACCACACATGTGGTTACTGGCACCAGAGTCCAGGTACCACTCTGTCTCATTCTTTGAACTTGTTTCACCATGGGCTAGCATAAGAACTCCTCCATCTCTTGCTTCTCCTTCTGCAGCGAAGTTTGAAGTCTCGTCAAACTTTTACTCATCATGGCAATCTTTAGCAAAATGCCCAACTCGGCCACAGTTATAGCATCTATCTGAGTTGCAATCTCTTGAGTAATGTCCATACTTCCCACATTTGTAACATTCCACGTTTGATTGGTTTGTCCATCGGCCTTTTCCACCCCGGCCTCGTCCTCTACCTCTTCAGTTTTGATGACTAGACTCAGCTTTCTCCTCATGTCTTGTCTCCTGACCTCGGCCACGACCACCTCGGCCATTCCCTCGTCCATTTCTTCCACGACCTCTACCTCGGGCATTCTGAGAGTAGAGCGCCTTTTTTTCCTTGATATTTGCTTTTGACTGGAGTGCTTGCTCCAGTGTCACTTCCTTCTTCTTTTTCTTGCGCTGTTCATGGGCCTCAAGAGAACCTGCTAGCTCATCAACAGAGAGCGTAGACAAGTCCTTAGATTCTTCAATCGCACACACCGCATTTTCAAAGTCGTCTGTCAATGATCTCAATATCTTCTCCACCACTCTGGAGTCTGGCAGGGCCTCTCCATTCCGCTTTAGCTGATTCACCACGGTCTGAAACCGGGTGATAAAATCTGACACTCCTTCGGTCTCCTTCATTTTCATGCCTTCCAACTCTCCTCGTAGAGTTTGAAGTCTGACCTGCTTCACACGATCAGCTCCTTTATAAACCGTCTCCAAAATATCCCAAGCCTCCTTTGCTGTTGTCACCTCTCCTATCTTCTCAAGGCCACCAATTTCTTCAACAGCTTGAAACATTATACAAAGTGCTGCTGCATCCTTTGTCTTTGATGCCTTCAACTGTCTGATTTGATTCGCTGAGTATCCTACTGTCGATTCTGGTTCTACGAACCCATCTTGCACCAATTCCCAACTATCATGGGCTCTTAGAAGAGCTTTCATTTGGATGCTCCAATTTTCATAGTTCATCTTTGTCAGACGGAGCACTGGCAGACTGTTCCTCTCCATTGGTTCAAGCTCTGATACCAATTTGTAATTCACAGGTCCTCTAATGGTGTTTCTCTCCAACGCTCAAACACACAAATTTACACACGAGGAGTTCTTTTTCTCTGATCAATACCTCTTTCTATTACTGTATATGCCAAGTCCTTTTTGAAATGGTTTACATAGTGCTATTTAATACCAAATGACTAAAACAATTAAAAGGTTACCTAGTAACTGTAAGCATAATAATTGTCCACTAACAAATTCCTAGGGACACACCTCTTCATAACATAAACTCTTCATTTCCTATTTTTTAATTACTTTATTTATTAAAGTTTAAACTCAACAAAACTCCCCCTTAAACTTTAATATCTCTACCGTCCTTCATTCCCATCTTCTTCTTGCAATTCTCAAACGACAACGTCGGTAGGGGCTTCGTGAAAATATCTCCAACTTGATCTCGGCTTGCCACATGACTGAGCTCCACCTTTCCTTCTTTGACCTGATCCCGGATGAAATGGAATCTGACATCAATATGCTTGCTTCTTTCATGGTTGACCGGGTTCTTTGCTAACTCGATCGCTGATTTGTTGTCAACCCGGATCTCAGTTGAACCGACTTGCTCTTGCTCCAACTTGCTCAATAAATTTCTCAGCCAAATTGCATGGCACACGCACCACGAAGCAGCTACGTACTCGGCTTCGCATGTAGATAGAGTTACAATGGGTTCCTTCTTCGATACCCAAGTAAACGCCGTATTTCCCATAAAAAATACATAGCCAGCCGTGCTCTTTCTGTCATCCACATCTCCGCACCAATCACTATCCGAGTAGCCTGTCAGCTTGTACTTGTCAGACTTCGAGTAAAGAAGTCCTTGAGAAATTGTTCCTTTCACATATCTTAGAATTCTCTTTGCTGCCTTCCAATGAGTATACTTCGGCTCTTCCATAAATCGGCTTATTATTCCAACACTCAGACACAGATCCGGCCTCGTACACGTCAAGTACCTCAGACTTCCAACTATACTACGATAAACACTCGAATCTACCTTTTCTCCTCCAACATATCTTGAAAGTTTAACGCTGGGTTCCATGGGGGTTGAAACTGGGTTGCAATCACTCATTTTGAACTTCTCTAAAATTCCTTTTGTATAGGCTTCCTAAGAGACGAAGATCCCGGATTCATCTTGTCTAACCTCCAAACCAAGAAAGTATCTCATCAGACCGAGATCCGTCATCTCGAACTCCTTCGTCATTTTCTTCTTAAAATCTTGAATCATTCCTTCATTATTACCCATGAAAATCAAATCATCAACGTATAGGGCAACAAGTAGAATTTTACCTCCTTTCTTCTTTACGTACAGTGCGTGTTCATACGAACATTGTTCAAGTCCATCCTTCTTGAAGTAATTGTCAATTCTCGTGTTCCGGGCTCTTGGGGCCTGCTTCAACCCATACAAAGCTTTCTTCAGTCTCAACACTTTTCTTTCTTGTCCGGCTTTCATGAATCCCGGAGGTTGTTCCAGATACACCTCCTCGAGTACTCCATTTAAGAATGCCGACCTCACTTCTTCAGAATCTGCCAACAAACATACCAAGTGTGCTTCACTGGTGGAATCATACAGATGTTGTAGACTCCTCATCCTTGGTTGTCTCAACTCTTCTTCACTATCAGAATCATTTGGATTTTCTGGAATGCGGGTCGAGGGTTGTCCGACCTCAATTGTCTTTTTCCCGGGTTCAACATTCACCTCGGATGGACTACTCCGGTCCCAAGCATCTTCTTCATTCACCTTCACATCTCGGCTAACCAGTATTTTTCTATTGACAGGATCCAGCAACTTATATCCCTTAGTCTACTCGTCATAACCAATGAACACAAACTTCTTGCTCTTATCTTCTAGCTTTGTCCTCAACTGATCCGGTATGTGTGCATACGCAACACTCCCAAAGACTTTAAAGTGACCCACTGAGGGCTTCAAACCACTCCATGCTTCCTGCAGAGTCTTGTCATTCAAGCTTGAATATGCACATCTGTTCTGCACGTACACTGCAGATTGTACGGCCTCTCCCCAGAACTCTTTCGGCATGTTCTTTGTCTTCAACATGGATCGGACCATATCCAGGATAGTCCGGTTCTTTCTCTCAGCTACTCCATTCTGCTGGGGCGAGTACGGTGCGGTCAGGAACCGCCTTATCCCATGTTCTTCACAATACTTCTTGAAAGCTGTCGAAACGTACACCCCACCTCGGTCTGAACGGACCGATTTGATGTACCTCCCAGTACCATTCTCTATCATTACTTTAAACCTTTTAAATGCCTCTAGCACCTCGGATTTTTCCTTTAGAAAATACACCCAAGTCTTTCGACTAAAATCATCAATAAAAGTTACAAAATACTTCTTACCACTGAAGGACCCCGGAGTAATGGGTCCACACAGGTCGGTATGAATCAAATCAAGAGGCTGCCTAGTCCGGTATCTCGCCATCCTTTGGAACGGGCTCCTCGCATGTTTTCCCAATACGCAGTCCTCACAAAATTTTCCTTCAGAGTTACTCTTTGGTAGTCCCACTACCATGTTCTTCTTCATCATCTCGGTCAGACCACCATAATGAAGGTGTCCAAATCGTTTATGCCACAATTCCATCTTATCCTCGATTCCGGCTTGCAAACAGCCGTCCTCCAAGCTACTCAAGCACAACTTATACATTCTATTCTTCTCCATCTGAACTCGGGCTATCAGACGCCCTTGTTTGTCTTTCAACAGCAAAACTCGGTCTGTCATAAAAACCGAGTAGCCCTTTTCCATCAACTGTCCAATGCTCAGAATATTGCTTTTGAGTTCAGGCACGTAATACACGTCCCAAATTGTACCAACTTGTCCGTCCTTTTGCAAGAAACAGATCGTACCTCGGCCTTTTACATCTATCTTCGATGCATCTCCGAAAGACACATGATTTGCTTCCAACGTTCTTAATTCTTTAAATAAATGTTTGTGACCACACATGTGGTTACTGGCACCAGAGTCCAGGTACCACTCTGTCTCATTCTTTGAACTTGTTTCACCATGGGCTAGCATAAGAACTCCTCCATCTCTTGCTTCTCCTTCTGCAGCGAAGTTTGAAGTCTCGTCAAACTTTTACTCATCATGGCAATCTTTAGCAAAATGCCCAACTCGGCCACAGTTATAGCATCTATCTGAGTTGCAATCTCTTGAGTAATGTCCATACTTCCCACATTTGTAACATTCCACGTTTGATTGGTTTGTCCATCGGCCTTTTCCACCCCGGCCTCGTCCTCTACCTCTTCAGTTTTGATGACTAGACTCAGCTTTCTCCTCATGTCTTGTCTCCTGACCTCGGCCACGACCACCTCGGCCATTCCCTCGTCCATTTCTTCCACGACCTCTACCTCGGGCATTCTGAGAGTAGAGCGCCTTTTTTTCCTTGATATTTGCTTTTGACTGGAGTGCTTGCTCCAGTGTCACTTCCTTCTTCTTTTTCTTGCGCTGTTCATGGGCCTCAAGAGAACCTGCTAGCTCATCAACAGAGAGCGTAGACAAGTCCTTAGATTCTTCAATCGCACACACCGCATTTTCAAAGTCGTCTGTCAATGATCTCAATATCTTCTCCACCACTCTGGAGTCTGGCAGGGCCTCTCCATTCCGCTTTAGCTGATTCACCACGGTCTGAAACCGGGTGATAAAATCTGACACTCCTTCGGTCTCCTTCATTTTCATGCCTTCCAACTCTCCTCGTAGAGTTTGAAGTCTGACCTGCTTCACACGATCAGCTCCTTTATAAACCGTCTCCAAAATATCCCAAGCCTCCTTTGCTGTTGTCACCTCTCCTATCTTCTCAAGGCCACCAATTTCTTCAACAGCTTGAAACATTATACAAAGTGCTGCTGCATCCTTTGTCTTTGATGCCTTCAACTGTCTGATTTGATTCGCTGAGTATCCTACTGTCGATTCTGGTTCTACGAACCCATCTTGCACCAATTCCCAACTATCATGGGCTCTTAGAAGAGCTTTCATTTGGATGCTCCAATTTTCATAGTTCATCTTTGTCAGACGGAGCACTGGCAGACTGTTCCTCTCCATTGGTTCAAGCTCTGATACCAATTTGTAATTCACAGGTCCTCTAATGGTGTTTCTCTCCAACGCTCAAACACACAAATTTACACACGAGGAGTTCTTTTTCTCTGATCAATACCTCTTTCTATTACTGTATATGCCAAGTCCTTTTTGAAATGGTTTACATAGTACTATTTAATAGCAAATGACTAAAACAATTAAAAGGTTACCTAGTAACTCTAAGCATAATAATTATCCACTAACAAATTCCTAGGGACACACCTCTTCATAACATAAACCCTTCATTTCCTGTTTTTTAATTACTTTATTTATTAAAGTTTAAACCCAACATTTTTTCCAAATCAGTTCAAGAACCACATTTTAAAACCGGTTTGGTTCACACGAACTGAACCACTTTTTCCAATTCGTTTCAGTATAAAAAACCAAATCGAACCAAACCGTACACACCCCTACTGTTAGTACAAAATACTAACCCAATTTCTATACTAGTACCATTTTGTCTTGGCACCCAGCTTTCTTTTGCCAAGATCTATACCAACTTACGTATCATAAAATGATCAAAATGGGTGATGCATTTACAACATTTATAGTTTATACCATAAATCATCTTAAAGTTTAATAAATTTCAAATCTGATGGTTAAATTAAATTTGTATGGTTATGCAAAGTATACATTGTAGAGTAAACCGCTATTTCAGATAAAAGAATTGTAGTGTGCATCATATTATCATGTATAGAATTTAATACATATGTGACCATGTCTTGGAAGTCATAAGATATACAGTTCTAACTGGAAAAAGTATGAGTTTTTTTTAATGAGAATTGTAGAGTGCATCATAACCTCTCCTTTATTACTTCTTTTTTTTCCTCTTAATTTTTCTTCTCTCTTTTTTCTTCTTCTTTTTTTATCACTATTTATTTTTATTTTTTTTCTTTTCTATTTCCTCTTATGTATTTTTCCTTTTATGTATCTTTATTTTCACTTTATTTTATTTTTCTTTTTAATTTTTTATTGCTATTTTTTTAATTTTATTTTATTTTTAAAATGTCTAATGTTATTTATATTTTATTTTCAATTTTATTTTTATTATTTTTTCTTTAATCTATTAGTAATTTTCATTTGGGTTCATTTGTCACTGACCCAATTACTTTGGGATAAAGATATTGTTTACGTTAATGTTAAAAATAAAAGACAGCACCAAAAGAAGCAGAAGGAAAAAAAAAATGAAATAATAATTTACCTTAGTCTTGTAGAATATACGTCACAGCGAATGCCTCCAGTGCAATACATCAATATGTTTGTTTTTTCTTTATCTACATTTGATAAAGGATCTGAAACAGTGATCTAAAAAGAGGAGAACATCAATAGCCATAATGGAAAGATAAACCTCAAAAACTTTTAACCAGCGATTCACAGATCCCAACCTAAGATCTAAGCAAAAACCAATTCAGCCCTTGACCAAATGAGAAAAGTAGTTTAAATGAAACCAAAATTGGCAGCTAGAACGCCACAAAAGAAAATTTAACAAATGAGAACAATGTTTTTTTTTTCTTGTGAACCAATGCAAGATACCATGATTATAGGTATTACTTTGATTAAACAAAGAAGTTATACAACTTGATGGCATGTTCCAGCTTATCATGACAGCATATCAATCCCAATCAGTCCATATTAGGTCACTGAAACATCAAATAATGACCTGACCTCTTCCTGAGACAGACCGAATGAAGTGCTCCTAAAGCAGTCCACATTAGGTCGCTGAGCCCCACGAAAATGTCCAATATCCCACTCATAACCTGATTAACAGCAACAGACTATATTCATCCTCAAAACTTATAACCACGAAAACGATAAATATTTTAAAATAATATTAAAAGAAGGGGAAAACACAAATAGATATTTTGAAAACATGAATTGGAGATATCAACAAAGAACATGGAAAACAAGAGAAATTTTGTAGTGCTCCAGGAGCACAAATGACCATGGTAGCCCTTGAATCAAAGGACCATGGTAGTCCCGGATCAATTTAAAATTTTCCAGAAAACAGACACTACGTCAGATATGAGACAAAAAAAATTCCTTTTAAGACCACAAATGTCAAATGAAGCCATTCATTGGTTGTTGTTAGAATAGTTAGAAACTTAAGCTTCTAATTAACTCCTAATGCCCCCTTGATTACTCCTAGCTATAAATAAGAGATGAAGTGTGTAGCCCATACACACAATTTCACTCAACTATTCTAACTTTCACTTGAAAAAAAAAGTGAAATATATAGAGAGCAATGGGCTTAAAAGAATGAACCCAAATCGTAGAAAATAAGGAAATAAATAATTATAGATACTTTCCATATTTACAACACACTCCCCCTCAAGCTGAGGAATGAATATTTATCATTTTCATCTTGCTAGTAAATTCTTGAAATTTGTCAATAGAAAGTTACTTGGTCAAGACATCAGCTAGTTGACGACGAGAAGGAATATATGAAGTAGCGATCAATCCGCTATCTAGTTTCTCCTTGACAAAGTGGCGGTTGATTTCAATATATTTTGTTCGGTCATGTTGGACAAAATTGTGTGCTATACAGATGGCTGACTTATTATCATAGAGTAACATCATAGATCCTTCACATCTCGCCTTGAGATCATCAAGAAAAGAATGATTTTCAGCAATAACAATTCACAAACCCCTTGGGTCATGGCTTGAAATTCTGCCTCTACACTCGACCTAGCAACCACATTTTGTTTTTTACTCATCTATGTTACTAGGTTTTCCACAAAGAAATGTACAACAGCTCGAGGTAGACTGTCGATTAGTCACAAACCCAACATAATCGGCATTTGTAAAATCTTCTAAGGATAGGCTTCCCCTTCTCTGGAATAGCAATCCTCTCTGCCTAGTGTGGCTTTCAGAATTGGAGAATCATGTCCACTGCTTGCAGATGTTTTCCCCTTGGGTCGTGTATGAACTGGCTAACAATGCTAATTGCATGAGCTAGATAAAGTCTAATATAAGCTAGATATATCAATCTTCCCACCAATCGTTGATATTGTTCTTTGTCAACTGGAGGGTTATCCTCTTCGCTTCCCAGTTTGTGATTCTGTTTAATTAAAGTACTGGAAGGTTTACACCCAAGTTTTCCTGCATTCTTTAAAGAGATCAAGAACATACTTTCGCTCACAATAGAGAACCCCTTCTTTGAATGGACAACCTCTATCCCAAGAGAATATCTCAATTTTCCAGGATCTTTAATTTAAAATTTAGCAATTAGTCTCTCTTGCAAAGCACACTTTTCAACTATATCATCCTTTATTATAACAATGTCATCGAGATAAATTAAAGGAATAGTGAGCTTACCTCCTTGGGAATGTTTAAATAAAAGTATGTGATCTTCTTGACTCTCCTTGTATTCCAATAACACCATAACTTTGCTAAATTTTCTAAACCAAACACGTGGCCATTGCTTCAACCCATACAACATCTTCTTTAACCTAAATTTTTTTTACCTCCATTTGTGGAGTCAAATCCCGACGGGATCTCCATATAAACTTCTTCTTCTAACTCACCATTGAAGAGGGCATTCTTCACATCAAATTGGTTCAAGTCCCAATCAAAGTAAGCAACAAGGGATAACAGAACTCTCACGGAGTTCATTTTGGCCATCGGAGCAAACGTTTCCTCATAATCAATGTCATAAGTCTATGTGTAACCCTTGCTACTAATCAAGCCTTATATCTTTCGAGAGTACCATCAGAAAATATTTCAGAGTATACACTCATCTGCACCGACTGTTTTCTTTCTGTTTGGCCTATCAACAACTTTTCATATTTTATTTTTCTCCAAGGTATTTATCTTGTCACGCATGGCTCGAACCAATTCTAATATTTTAATGCTTCATGCACTGATTTCGGGATTGAAATGCAATCGAGTGCAAAAATTAAACTTTTATGCTGCACAAAAAGGTTCTTCAAAGAAACATAATTAGAGATAAGGTGTTGGGTATAAGACGGGTATAAGACCTTTTCCCTTTCCTTAAAGCAATGGGTTAGTTATCAAGATTTATAATATTAGACTTAGGAACAAAATTCATAGTGCATTCAGTACTTACCAGTGGTTCAAACGATTGTAGTTGCTGAGGAGGGTAGTGTCGGTTGTTTCTTCCTCTAATACAATAATTCAGGTGTCTCAGCCTTCTGTCGATTTTTTTTTGGCGGGGGGGGGGGGGGATGTCAGATGAACTACCAGTCTCAGCCTCATCAAATAAGCTTTCTTGCTCACTATCATGTAAAGTAGTAACTGGACCAGATTCAAAATAATTTGACTTAGGAGGCTAAGATAAAGGAAAGTGAGACTCAATCTCGTAGAAAATGGATGAAGCTTCTAGATCGTGAAGACGAGTTAAGAAGGACTCATCATGAAAAGTGACATCCATATAGACAAAAAACTTACGACTCAGAGGATGATAACATTTTTACCTTTTTTTGTCGGGAGCATAACCAAGAAAGACACACTTAAGAGCTCGGGGGTTCAGTTTACTCCTGTGCTACTTATAAATATGGAAAAAAAACAACACGTCTAAAGACCCAAGACTGAAAACTCTACATAACTGGAACAGAGGGAAAGAAGGAGGTATGAAATTAATAGGACTTACATGACCAAGAACCTGAGAGGGTAAGTAGTTGATCAAATAGGCTGCATTTAACATGACTTCTCCCCATAAGAGTTGGAGATGTTTGAAAAAGAAATGCTCTGGTTACTTCAACCAAGTGACAATTTTTTTTTTAGCAACCCTGTTTTGTCAAGGGTTATCCACACATGTGAGCTCATGAATCATACTCTTGTCTGAAATGAATTGTGACAGTCGTTGGTTAACGTACTCCATTCTATTATCATATCTTGATTGTTTCTTTTACCAAACTATGTCTCGATCATGTAATAAAATCGGATAAACAAATTTAGTATTTCTGACTTGTCTTTCATATAAAAATTATCCATGCAACCCGATTACAATTATCAATAAAAGAAACCCACCACTTAGCACATGAAACACTCTACACTTTAGAAAGGCGCCAAGCATCAGAATGAAGAAGAGTAAATGGTTCAATACTTTTTATTGCACTTGAAGGAAAAGACACATGGTGGTGTTGTGCAAGCTCACAAAATCACAATGGAAAGAGTCAATTAACTAATGTAGAAACAAAGAAGGAAACATTCTCTTCAGTAGGATAAATGAAGGGTGCCCCGGGCAGTTTTGGTGGAGACAAATCAGAGATACTAGAGTAAACAGATGACAGTCATCAATAATTGATTCTTGGTATCATTTGTAGCATGCTCTGGAATGAGATAGTACAACTCACCCTACTCCTTAGCAACTCCACCCTCCATACTATGGAATAGTCAGGATGGCTGGGTTACCACTACCACGGTGGTCCATCAAGAAACCGCAACACCACGCGGGAAGATGAAAAACCGCCGAAAAAGTGGCCGAATTGGAATGAGATAGTATAACTCACCCTGCTCCTTACCAACTCCACCCTCCATGCCCTGGAGTTGACGGGACGGCTAGGTGACCACAACAGCGATCGCCTGATGAGAAATAGCAGCACCACAAGCCGAAGATGAAAAGTCGTCGAAGAAATGGTCAAATAGAGTCTTGACGGTCGGCTGAAGCTTGTACATAGGATTGGAGACACGTGGGTTTTCATTCGGTCATGAAACTTATGTAGATCAATAGATCGGGAAATTCTGAGATGAACTATGGTCTCCTTGATCCAAAAGGTCCCCAGAAAAAAATAAAAAATAAATCCAATGGCGGCGAGGTGACCGGAGATCGTCAAAAAAAGTTCCGCACTCAAGGCGACGGCTGCAAAAGCAAAAGAGGCTCCCAGGTTGAGAGCTCGGATGCCAACTTGAAAAGAAAAATGAAATATTATTGTTGTTGTATATTGAACATGTACAAAAGGTTATAGTATATAGAGAGGTTAATGGGCTCAAAGGAATAAACTCAAATCCCAAAAAATAAGGAAACAAATAACTATAGATACTTTCCATGTTTACAACACTTTTAAACATGGTATCAGAGTAATAACATCCTCCATGACCTAATCCTATTCCATTGCCAGCTTCCCAAAATATGGAACTCCTTGGTTTGGAGCCTGATTTCATCCTTCTCTAATTTCCTGTGGCTGTCTCAAATTGTTCAGTGACTGTCCCAGTCACTTGCCTTTATCCAGCCACTTTCCCGGCCAAATTATCTCCATACAAGGTATGCTCATCCGTGCAGCTCAATCCCATACCTTTATTATCATTTTCCTTATTGAAATCTTGTTGGTTTCATAGCCAGAGCACTCATCCGCGGCTGCTATTGTTGTTTCTCCCTGTTTCAATCACTATTTCGCAAAACGGACATTACCATTCCATTCGGCAGTTTATGATTGCATGTAAAGTGGAAGATTATTGCTGGAAAACATTCACGGGCCATCACTCTTAGACGACTTTTATGGCAATTTGCTAACGCATAAGGCACTTCTCAGGTGCAATTTGCACGGGACCACCACAGAACATTCCGTGGTTGCTTTTCTGGCCATGCCCTGCCCATTTTGGGTCGGTTGCAGCATTCCCGCAGGATACTTGGTTCCTGCCGCCTTTGTTGGCCACTGGATTCTGGGAGGTTTCACCTTGCTGGTGAGTTAAACCTTTCGTCTGTCCAGTTCTTCACAAATTGCTGCATGTACACCATTATGGCCATTCCCTGGCCTTTATCTGCCACAGTTCCACCTTCTCAGCAGGTTAGAGCTCCTCTCTAGCCATCTGTACCAATTCCACCATTCGATTCATGTCCAAGCTATTTGCTGTAACTCAATTCCGTTCCAGCAGCCTTTTCCCCAGCCATGCCTCAATTCCGGAGAGGTCCTGCTGTTGCCTCCATTCTCATGCACTGTGAAGTAACCAATTGTGACTTCCTTCATCCAGCGGTGCGTGTTCTTTTTTTTATTTTATTTGAACTGAGTATTTTCCAGTCCATTTTTTGGTGCCACCCTTTCCTATAGAGACTTCAATAGAGATGCTTAGTGGCCCTTTTCTGGTCTAATCAACCCCTTGTGTGTTGGTTCCACCACTCCAAGGGGTTGGTTGACTGTATATCATTCCAACCTATCATTTGTTTGGATCTGCTGCTGTTTGGACGTGTGTTCACAACACGTTACTGCTATTTGGTCTTATTCCTACATTTGTTGCTGAGTTCTTGGGATCTTTTTGGCTAGATTTGGTTGCGATTATTTGTAACAAACCTGAAGGGGAGTGTTAGAATATTATATACTAGCAATTATGTTAGAATATATAGTCAACTATACTGTGTTGATTAGCTAGTGATTAGGCTTCAACTTAGCTCCTGATTATTAGGCTGTAAGTCAGCTTCTAATTAACTCCTAATTACTCCATTGATTGATTGTAGTCAAGCTATTAATAAGAGATCAAGGGTTCAGCTCATCACACGATTTCTCTCCATTATTTTCTCTTTCAACAGTCATATTGAATAGAAGTTAGTATCAAGAGTTCACTCTTGTAAATTATCGGATAATTCTCCCATTAAGGATTGTGAATTAGCAAATTTTCCAAATAATAAGGCAAGCCATTCACAATTGGTCAGTGTCGAGAAGGTTACCAGATCATGATTATCTCATAATGATAATTCTGCAAACTCAGGACCTCCTCTATAGAGAAGAGATGTAATTAACATAAGGCACTTGCTTCAAGCGCCAAACAGTCTGAAACCCAATCAAAATAGAACATAGGAAACAGAAAAAGAAAAAAAGGTTTAAATTCACGTAAGGAAATAAAGGTACATTCACTTTGGAACTATAGAACCTATACCATTTCTCACATCCAATAGAATGTAATTTCTGTTAGGATAATCTTTGGACGTAAGATCAGCTTTATTGATTGCTTTCAATCTATTTCTCCATTCTGAAGGTGTTAAAGGTATTGCCCGCATTGAAGGATCAAGCAAAGGAAGATGTGATATGCCACCTTCAAACTGTAGACAAATGAAAGTCATTAGTTGATAGTATTGTTATAAAGCCACAACCTATTCATCCTAAACATAAAGAAACTAATAAACATAGTTACTTGTTATAAAGCTCCAGCACAGGGAAATCCTATCTAGTAGATAAGACTTGGGGGGGAAAAGAAAGAAAGCAATTTTGAATGGATCATAGCATGAAAAAAAGAAAAAGAAAAATAACAATACAGCCAACCAATGCTAATGAGCTTAATCTGTAAGAGAAGATTTTTCAGCATACTAATATGGCTTGCCTGTACTAATGAAGGCTTATACCGCAACTTCAAAGTTGGAAAGGCATGTCCATTTTCTGATGGAGATATCTGAACCAGGATGTCAGAAAACCTGTTATCCTCTCTTAACCAGTTGACATAAGCCAGAGCATCTTTTGATGGCCCACTATACTGTAGTAATATATCACATCATCAGCAGGACATATTTGGACTGTGAAACACTATAAGGAAGACTAGTAGCTACTCTTATAAAAATTGTAATATGTCAAGTAAATAGTTATGATGCAAAAGGATTGGAGCCCCCAAAATTTTCCTTTATTTATTTAGTTATTTTTTCCTCTTTTTTATTTTCCCCTCCTTTTATCTATTTTTTTATTTTTCTCTCTTATCTTATTTTCACATTATTTTTATTCTACTTTTTTTTTTCTTCTTCTATTATTAACATTATTTTCTTTTTTCTTTCCGCTTCTTTTCTCTCAATCCCTGCTTGTTTTACATTTGGGTTCATCACATCAAACCAACAAACCCCAACTAATTTGGAATAAAGATGTTGTTGATGTTTAATGTAAAAGATGGTTATTGTGAGTGAAAAGTTCGCTTTTCAAAATGTTCAAAATAAAAGCTGAGACTTGGATATCACCCTTGGCGTTTTCCACTCAGGTTAAATAAGAAAATATATCTCTCTATCTGAAAATACTCATGCGGAACCAGTACAGTGGTAAAAGTAAAAATAACCTGCGCATTAATCCCTTGTTCATTCAAATAGACTCTTCCATTGATGTCGAGACCCTGTCAAAAGACCAAAAATTATAGCTGGGGAAAGGTGGAATTCGCAATGAATTTTGGGACGAACCGTGAGCTTGAAATCCCATGTTATACTCCTTGTCATTATCAACTAATAATATCAAATTAACCATTATTGGAGCATGCACATACCGGTGAATGCATTTATGAAGAAAATGCTTTAGTGACGGCAATACTTCCTACTGTGCTCAGTATGTAGATAGTATGAAATTGTTCAAGCATGTATGTATATACGAAGCACTTGCTGATTGGGAAATTAAAGCACCTAAAAACAATGTAAAATAGAAAAGGCAATGACAAAAAAAAAAGAAAAAAGAAAAATGAAAGCGAACCTCCAGCTCCAAGAAAGATAGGTGTTTGGCGACTTCTGCTTGTGGGTCTTTGATGAACACAAAATGGTAGAAATTGACAACCACAAAACCAAAATCAAAATCGCCACATGAACTTGAAGGGTGTGCTCGTGCTCGTGCACTGGGCACCACCAACAGCTTACGATGGGTAACAGAGAGAGAAGAAAAGGAGTCATTGAATTTGAATTTGAAGAGAGGCTTATGAAATTGGAGCACGACACTTATGTTGCGGAAGGAAGGAGCAAGTGTACCACCGGACACCGTGATAACTTCACTGCACCACCTCATCCTCAACCTTTGAACCACAACTCAGTGAATCAGCTGTACTTGTTACTGTTAACCAAAATTTCTTATCACAGCCCAACCCCAACCCTATTTTAATATTTTTTTTCCTTTTATTTTCTCTCGCGTTTATGTTGATCAAGCCAATTTTGATCAAGCCTATTTTAATACTGTTAACCTAATGTACTCAGCTCTCGAGTGTTTCCGGTCTGGATTGGATCAAGTAAAAATCATTCGATTCAATTCTTTCGATTTTGATCATGTAATCATCCATTTGGTTTGGATTTTTTTTCAAATCCGATCCGATCCAATTCAATATTTTTCGGTTTGGATTGGATCGGTTCTTGGGTTTTTGAAAATCCTAAAATTTATTTCATGATTATTGTGCAAATAACATCTTTTGTATATATTGGCTTTGTAATTTTATTTTATTTTTGAAATACAAAAGCATCAATAAATGATAATATAATTTTATTTTATTTTGCAATATATGAAGCTCTACATAGATGAAATTTTGTTGATGAGACGTGACTAGGTTTTTTTTTGGTTTAGTTTATGGGTTAATGGGTCTTGAGTTTAGAAATTTTTGGATTATGATTGGGGAAAGACCCAAGTAGGTATAGGAAAATTAATATATTTGATCGGTTTGGATTGGATCGGTTTTTATTAACAAATCAGAAAATCGATCCAATCCAATTAAAATTTACAATTTTTTTCGGTTTTTAATTTTTCAATTTTCAGTTTATTCGATTTTTGGTTTTTCGGTTCGGTCACCGCGATTTGAATCGGTTTGGATTAGTTGATGAACACCTATCCTCATCCTATATATTGTTCAAGCCAATTTTTAAGGTCAATCTCTAAACCTTATGCAAAGCCATCACCAAGCTTATCCTTAAGATTTAAAAATCTATTAATTTTGATAGAAGTCATCAAAATAAAAATTAAGAAATTTATATGGCATTTTTTTAATGATTAAGAATTTAAGATAGTTCATATAATAACAACTTAGGTCATCCAATGATCTAATCATAAACCCTAAAATTAATTGTGACGTGAAACTAATGTCACCAATTTCTATTATATACTCTCTCTCTTTTGTACAATCATATACTTAAATTATATAAATATATTCTTCACCGAATTAGGATGTTTTTACAATATATTTTCAAACAAATTATTTCAATATGTAAATTATGCAAAAGATATTAGTTTATGGGTTCATCTAATCTCATGTTGCATGGGAGAAGATATCTCATATTGTAGACACACATATGGTGGGGCCCGTCATTTACAAAAAGAAAAAAGAATGTCACCGTTTTCGATGGGTCTATTGGAGATAAAACAACTCTTATATTGCATAAGAGTAGTTTTTCCATTAGTTTATACCAATCAATAAGTCTTATAATTCATCTTAGTTTTAAAATAATTATAAGTCTTAAAATATTTTGTAAACTTTGGCTAAATTAGACTAGATTAACACAAAGTATGGTTTAGTTCTGTTATTGACTGGATCCATATCCTAACAACCCTATTACTAGCAATATTGGATAAGGATATCGCTACCACATAATCTAGAGAGGATCAATGGATAAAATCCCTATCCCCATCAATCAAGGCAGATTTCATATCAACTAGGAGATCTCAAATGCCCAAGCCTATGAAGGTAATCCTTATAAATAAGAGGCTAAAGACCTCAGGTACACATTTTTGACCTATTTACTATTGCTGCCAACACTGTGCACATACCCATGTCTTGGCTATAAGCCTATTGCTTGTATGTAGTGATTGGAGTGTTGGCTATAAGCCAATCTAGATACCTATCTCTAGGGTATTTCTAAGCGCATACCATACGGTATAGCAATACGGTCTTCTAGGACCGAACAAGTTCAATAACAAAAACATTATGAGTTTAATTTTTATATACTTAGGGGGGTGTATTGGATTGAAATTTCAAAGGGTTATTTTTTGGCAAAAAAATCCATTGATATTCAATTAGGATTTTGAGTAAATACCATTTTTAGTCCCTGGCAATATCCACAAAGTCTTTTTCAGTCCCTGGCAATTAAAAAGGACCCAATTGCTCCCTGAAATAACAAAAAAAGGGGCCACGTTAGTCCTTCTGTGAAGTCCACCGTAACGGCCAAACTAACGGTGCACATGTGGCACGTTAGTGTGCTGACGAGGCTTGGATGTGGGACAGCATGGAAGAAGAGACGACGTCGTTTAGGTACCTTTTAATTTTTTTTTCCTTTCTTTCTTCTTCTTTTTTCTTTCTTCTTAACAGACTCAGTGAAACTTCACCCATTTCCTGATTTCTGATCTCTTTCTGGAACAGCAGCAGTGGAACACTAGCAGCACAAGCTTACCTTTCTTTTCCTTTCCTCAAGAGCTTCTTCGTTCAATAGCTTAGCTTAGCATCTTCTATCCTTCCTTCTAAAAAAATGGGGATTTAAACAATGCTTGCTCAATGTTTTTTTATGCTGATTCAAACCGAACCGGTTTTAGTGGTTTCATTCGGGAAATCGGCGAACTGAATTAGTTTTTTTTTTTTTTGAACTAATTTTAGTTCTGAACTAGTTGAGGACCAATTATAAGAGGGAAAAAATACTAATAGTTGAAGACTAGTTCGCTTGGTTCTCTGAACAAGTTTAAACGAAATAGTTCGGTAATAGTTATACTTAATAAGTGCATTCTGCTTATGTATTAATATTATTATACTTGCATACGAGTAATAGTTAATATTACTAAGTACTCCAGCTTTGTTGATTACTTTGTACTTCAATCTGATTCAACATACATGCATTTTATAACATTACATATTTATGTTTGTAATGATCATGACTCTATTCTTTACCTTCCTTGTTTATTGATCTTTTTGTCAAGCTAATGATGTGATTTCGTGTGAGATGACTATTGAATAATATTAGTTTTAGAATGTAACGAAATAATGAAACTAATATGACTGTATTAGTTTCCATTTTTCAAAGTATCAGTCAACTTGTAGAGTTGCTTTACTATCTTATATTGCAAATAATCACAAAATTATCACTACTTGCATTTTACCCTTTTATTTTAACAATAGAAGAGAGTAGCTGGTTGACACTTCTCTGTTGGAAAATTACTGCCTATATTTAATAGTGATTGTGTACAAAAATGGTGCATTTTTCCTGGTGCAATTTAAATCAAATGCAGGTTCCCTTGTTGAAAGTGACCATTCTCCTTTCTATCTCTCAGTGTACCATTATAACTGTTTTAACTCTCAGATTATGCAAGGTATTCTTTGAAATTTAAATTCAACTAGTAAATAGTTCCATTTTCAAGCCTAGTTTAGCTTTCCATAGTTTCAGCTAAGAGCTGTAAGACCTTGGGTGATTGCCCTGATTCATTGTAGTGAATTTAGCATTCAAAGAACTTTCAGCAAGGAAATGAAATCTTATATCATGATATATCGACCATGCTTCTATATGGAACAAATTAACCTTACTCATTTTAGGCCAACAAAGATGAACTACTGCTTACTGAAAATCAAAAGCTAGGTTACCCAATGATAGAACTTAAGCAATTTAAACCTATAGCATGTTTGGGAAACAAAGCGGCTACAAACAGAAATTACATTTCAACCAACCAGAATGGTAAGTGCAAAAACACATGCTCTGAAAGAAACTGGTATACAAGCCGTCATAGTTTTATAATGATATCACCTTACTTCCTCCATGTACAATCATTGAAGAAGCATTAGGTTTTTGTTGTCAGCTGGGTGAAGAAAGCTGAAGATATAGAGGCGAAAAAAAACTAAACAAGCATGGAGTGCTTGTTTCCACCAACCCATATCATAACCAAAAGAATCATTATCTGCACAAAATAAGACTTTCAATACATAACAATTATATTGTATTTACATGACCTCCCTCCGAGCCTGTGTCAGGGATGATGCAATGCAACCTATTTTTGAGTTTGATTGCTGCCATCGCATCCCCACTGATCTCTGCTGTGAAAGATCTTGACTGAATTTTAAATAGCCAAATGCGAAAGGAAGCATGAAACTCCAGCATTTTTAGCTTCATTCATTAAGGATTTGAATGGCTATATATATATATATATATATATATATATATATATATATATATATATATATATATATAGTACTATATGTCTATGTGACCATGAATGTCTAAGAAATGGTATAACAGACCTGATAGCTTAGGGACAACTCTCAAGCAGCATTGGCCATTAGTGAGGATGAAGTTAATGAGCTTCTTATCTTCCTCTGCAGTCCATGGCCCCTTCTTCAACCCAACTTTGTCATAACATGGTTGCCTTCCCATGTTTTTTTAATTAAAACAGAAATGCCATAATCCTATAGAGAGGGCATGTGACCGCCACCACCGGAGTCACATGCCACCTCATCTGGAGCCAAAGGAAACCGAGATTGATCCACGTTATGGTGTTGAGATTTTGTTTTTTTTTTAATGTAGATTTTGAACCTTCAGGTCAATAAGAAAAAAAAAGAGTTTCTTAAGTGGCTCAAGGGAGATTGTCCCAAAAAGAGATGCTGCTGCTGTTCCAGAAAGAGATCAGAAACCAAGAAATGGGTGAAAGAAAGAAGAAGAAAGAAAAAAAATATTAAAAAGTAACTAAACGACGTCGTCTCTTCTTCCACGCTGTCCCACATCCAAGCCGTGTTAGCACACTAACGTGCCACATGGGCACCGTTAGTTTGGCCGTTACGGTGGACTTCACAGAAGGAATAACGTGGCCCCTTTTTTGTTATTTCAGGGACCAATTTGGTCCTTTTTAATTGCTAGGGACTGAAAAGGCCTTCGTGAATATTTCCAAGGACTAAAAAGGGTATTTACTCTAGGATTTTAATTTTAATGGATTTTCTATTAGTGTGGATTTCGTGAGACTTTTTAGTGAGAAATAAAAATAGGATATCCCTCTCACAATCTCACCATAACCCCTAGGATTTCTTGAGGTTTCTCTATTGTGGTGTCTTCTTCTTCCTTCGGTGGGTTGACCCGCTCGAAATCAAGTTTGAAGCAATTTTTCAGCGATTTTCGTCAAAGCTCAAAAATAACAGATTTTTGAGCGATTTTCATCTCAAAACAATCCCGAAACAACAACACAATAAGATTTTAATCTAATCAATCTAAAAAATAGCAGATTTTGAAGCAATTTTTGAGAATTTTTGAAAGTTTAAAAATGACTTTTCAAGCTGTTGGTCATGATTTTTCTTGGTAAAAAAATGTGTCATTTTTATATTAAAAACAACAGAAAATAGTGGGAAAACAACAAGGGAACAAAAACCCCCAAACCAATTTTCATTTTACATCGATGAAATAAGATCGATTTAAAGAAAAATTGAAACTTTCATAATATGAACCCTATGTTTCATAATAATACATTCATGAATGAAATTCCTTCGTTATATAGGAAACGATTTCAAACAATTTTTGTGTCAATAGATATCTAAAAATTTGTTTTTCAAAACCCCCAAAGCAATTTAAGATTTCAATGTATTGATTGAAAGTAATTTCAGAAATTTTCTAAATCTTCATGTAATAAAACCCAGAAATTTAGATTCAAATTTTTCTTGAAATACTTAATGAAAACATGCATATGATATATGGTTAGAAAACTCTCATCAAGTAGAACAAAAATCCTAAAGTTTACAAGATCAATAGCAAAAAATTTCAAACAAAAATTTATCATGAATTATACTAATTGAGAAATTTATATTACATTTTTTTGTATTAATATCATTGTATTTCTTTATTAACTTTTTTTATTGACTCTTGTAATTTTGAATATTTGTTAAAAATTCATATGATTTTTTAAAATCTTAAAAATTCATATTGTCTTTTCAAATCTTATAAATTCTATTAAAATCCTTTAAAATTCAATCTTATAAAATCTTGATTGTTAAAATAGTCTTTAAAGTCTCTTCAATTCTGAATAGTCTTTTAAAATCTGTAAGATTTTTTATCTCAATTTTTTTTTTTAAAATCCTAATACAATACACCCCTTAATCTTAGCCAATTCATATATTATCGCATTGGATTGTTTGCGACTTCTTATCTGCAAACACATCAAGCCCTCCACTTGTTCAAAGTCTTCCCCTGAGATGGAGCTGAAGAAAGCATCCATTTGATCATATGCTTCACCAATGAGGAGGGGATCAACCCCGTAGTTGATTACTTGAAAGAATCTATGGGTCAAGCAAGATTTGCGTATGATCTTGTCTGCACGATGCTTGTATCTCATCGCCCTCATTCTTCACTAAATAGTAAATAGCAAATAATGCGTATAGTATTTTATTTTTATTTTTTATGTGAACCCATGTGAATCACGGGGGAAGTAAATAAATTAAAATTGCTGTAACTATAAAAATATTCAGTTTACAATTAAAATCGATTCAGCTCATGCACCCAATTATGCGAATCAAAGTGGACATCATAATATAATCGGAATGGTTGCTTAAATCACTGGCCTCGTGCGCCTCTCAGCATAAATCATGAATCGATTGCCAAAAGCAATTCAAACATGCGTTTTCCGTAGGCGTTGGGTGGATTGCAAACTCAAGTTGAAGATAACCCAACGGGATATTGTTACATACGCCTATTATATATATATATATATATATATATATATATATATATATATATATATATATATATTGAAGAAAATAGGGGATTTAAGTTCAACCGAGGGAGTCATGCCTCAAACACGCAAACAAGTGCACAAAATATCACTGTTTTAAAATCGATCGATGTACTGAATCATTGGTTCAACCGGTTTAATTAAATTTATATTAAATCATATAATAAACATATTATAAGATACATTTTGATCAACAATTAATGGTAGCATAATGATAAGTGGTAACACTACTCACTCCCATCGGTTGGGTTCGATTCTCAGCCACTGCCACTCCCATAGCCTGGGTTCAATTCCCAGGCATTGTCAAAAGTGGAATCCTGCATGACCAATTCAATACCAGCTCGAACCGGTGTCCTCATGGGTTACCGAAACCCGAGTCGACCCGACCGGACCGATCTCAATTTTAAAACTTTGCAAAATATTTCTTATTATTTGATGATCTTTATTCCAATATTTCAAAGTTTAAATAGATAATACAAGCTAATAATAAAAGCAACTATCAACTAAGATTAAATAGGCTCCACTAATAATCATCACCTACCTTTAGCAAAGCTAAAATTCAAATAACAAAACAAATAAAATAACTACACACTATTTAAATAGCACAACACTTCAGAAAATGATAAAATAATAAAAAATAACCGAAACATTCCCTTCTAAAAATTTACTCTTGTCCTCAAGAGTAAAATCAACTTCAAGTAATTAAATCATCTTTAATATCCATGTCCGCCTCTCCATTGTTGTTGATCAAAAGTACTCTCTAGCCACAACTTTTTCTTTCCTCTTCTCAAAGAATTGTAAAAGTGAATTTCTCATTGGACCAAAAATTTTAGGTCTTGATTAATGAGCCTTATTTAAATGAGACACTTTGTCTGCATTCAAATTTCTAATTACACCACCATACTTATAAAGCGCAACATACTTATACAATTAAGCAGAATGGTAGTTGGTTAGTTAACATGCAAAATGGTATTTAAAGCGCAACATACTTATACAATTAAGCAGAAGACTTTTGTTAAAATATCACTGTTATCCTATGTAACTATGTGACTTATCTTTTTTTTTTTGCTTTTTCCTTATATATTGTCATGCATATTATATTTTTAGTATTAACTTATAATTGTACAGTCTCATACCTGCACAGAATTCCAACTTAATAATCATGTAATCATAATTAACGGTCACTAACTATCCGAGTATGATAACATATATCACCCCAGATAGAATCTCACGGACAACATTTCTATTGTAAACTAGACAATCCAGGATACGATCCCACAATCATTCATGGCACCTGAAAATCAGAAGACACAATCCAAACATATAACAAACAGTCCACGCCAATGAACCTAGAATCCATCCATGGATTCATACAAATAATGGTTTCGTGCCAACCTTTATATAATCTAACATATCATACATATATTCATATGCATGCCAATATCAGAAGCATATAAATGTATAAAGGCCACACATGCCTTAATTGTAGAATATATACATCATAAACATACATGTCTCTCAAAATAAATAACAGACTATCTCTATGCATGATCATACATCATGCTCCAAAAGAATAGATACAATCATCCTCAAAATAACACGTCCAATATAGTTGGGTCCTCTAACCATGTATGGGCCTCGTGTGCTGTAAGTTACTCTCTCCTACTGCTGGAGTACCTGAAACATGTCACCAAACGAGATGAGATAATAATATCTCAGCAAACTCAGGATTTATAGAGTAGTTCTCTATCCATAAGTTCACTTCCTGAATGAAAAGTTAGTATCCACATGGTATGAGCAGTTGAACACAATATATATCCATAGGACCCAGTGCACCTATGTACCCAGTACACCCAATGTCCTCTTGGAATTCCCACAAGACATGATGTGCACCCAGTACACTCAGTGGCTGTCTCAATTGTGCACCCAGTACACTCCAAGAATTCATAATCCTAATTCTAATGGCCATAGAACATACAATAGTCAATCATCACATAAGCTTCAAGTGTATATCAATCATTCCACTGATATACAGTATAGCCCCTAGTGCTTGCCCATTGGTTATTTCACCAATGATACAACATATCTATATAAATGCAGTCATACCATATTACTAACACACCATTCAATCATCCAATTATAAAAACATAACTCCCATAGGAGCCTGGTGGAACACACATAGGGAGTAAAACACCTAAACCATGAATTTACCTGTTTAAGGTTTCCCTCCAATGTTACTTAAAGTCCAAGAAAGCTACTCCAAATATAATTCTACACCAAGATCACCTATTTCAAGTATGAAATTGGTATCAATAACTCATATAAAGCATCAAATATTGACCTAGTAGTCAATATACCAACAAAAGCATAATTAAACATACATACCCTATTCTTGATTGATCAAGAACTAGGGCTTCCAATACTAGATTAATTTCAAGCTTGCTCCTCTAAGGCTATAGTACTTGTTCCAACCCTATAATATTAACCAACAACAACCAATATCATATAGGTTAAATTTCAAGTGTCAAAGTTCCAAAACTAAACAATTTAACCCACCATTTTAATTTCAAATTGGCCATACAGTTAGTCTAATTATTTTTCCACCATTTCATATCATTTCTCATCACATTCACATTGCCATTTATGCCAAATTCAAGTCATAACCATTTAACTCTAATATCCAAGAGTGTTAGGCTCTAAGTCCTTATCTCTTTGCCTTAGTTATAAATGAACTAACAAAAGATATTCAAGAGGAAGTGTCATGGTGTATGTTTTTTGCAAATGATATTGTGCTTATTGATGAGACCAAAGACAGTGATAATAGAAAACTTGAATTGTGGAGAAGCATGTTGGAGTCTAAAAGATTTACGTTAAGCTGGAGCAAGACTGAGTATATGAAGTGTGAGTTTTCTCTAGTAAGAGATGTAGACCAAGATCTCGTGCATCTACTTGGTCAAGAGGTACCCAAGAAAGATGTTTTTAGATACCTGAGATCAATTTTGCAAAAAGGTGGAGAAATTGATGAGGATGTAAATCATAGAATCAGAGCAGGGTGGATGAAATGACGTAGTGTATCTAGGTTTTTGTGTGACCGCAAAATTTCCCTTAAGCTAAAAGGAAAATTCTATAGAACAATAGTAAGGCCTGCAAAGTTATATGGAGAAAAATGTTGGCCAACACATAAGCAACATGAGCATAAAGTAGCAGTAGCAAAAATCAGGCTGTTAAGGTGGATGTGTGGCTATATGAAGATGGATAAGATAAGAAATAAAGATATTCGAAGAAAGGTAAGAGTAGCACTGGTGGCTAAAAAGATTAGAGAACATAGATTGAGGTGATTTGGGCACATAATGAGTAGGCCTCTGGATGCTCCCGTAAGAATAAAATTTTGTTACCAAGAGCTCAACAAAAAGAAAGATAGAGGTAGACCGAAACCTACTTGGGAAAAAGTAGAAAAACAAGACTTAATGGAATGAGATATAAATTGGCAAATGGTGTGCCTTAGGACGGAATTGAGAAAAACTATAAATATGGCAGAGGGTTAGACCCGATATTATTCCTATGTTCCAGATGGTCCATTTTTAGTCCTTTTCCTCTTTATCTCCCCCCTCTTAGTCTTTTTTCCTTCTTTTCCTTTAGGGTGTGTTTGGTACAAGTTTTTGTTGAAGATACCTAGGTAAATGGAAGTGGTATTTTAATATGTCCATGTTTGGTATCAGGTTTTAAAAGATTTTGCTAGGAAAATTATTTGCCAAGTATTTGCTTTTTGTGTGTAAAAAACACTGTAAAATAAAACCACCTACAAGGTGATATTTGCTAATAGCTGTGGAAATCCAAAAAGGGCAATTGTGAAAATCCAAGCAAGAAGACCAAAATGACCCTGATGTTGGGGAAAACTATTCAGTAAACTAAAACCATATTTTTCCATTTTATTTTACTCAAGGGTGATTGTGGTAATTTAACCATATTTTCCTACTTATATTTTACCTTCAACCAAACATAAACTTAGCAAACTAAAACCAATTTTCCCGATAATATTTCGGCCTACCACACAACTTTTTTTAAACTTTCCTATCAAACTCACTTTCCCACCATATTCTTAGTAATTATATTTCCCTTATAAAAAAAAATTCTCCTCTACCAAACGCCCCCTTATCTCTTTTCCCCTTCCCTATTTTTTTTCCTTACACCACTTTTATTTTACTTTTATATATATATATATATATATATATATATATATATATATATATATATATTATTTATTTCATTTTTTATCTTTTTACAATCCCTTTGTATCTTTCATTTGGGTTCATCTACCACCGACTCCAAATAGTTTGGGATAAAGGTGTTGTTGATGTTGATCCAAGAATGTTCACATACACATTCTACCATGATTACAAGGTCAAAGTAAGAGTTTTACACCTTCCAAATACTTAGTATGGTCCTAAAAAATTAGGACAGATACTGGTAATACTGTTGCTTGTGTTTCTCATTCTACATTACTTGAACCTTGGATATTTGACTCAAGTGCTACCGATCACGTCTGTGGTAGTAAGGAACTATTTACATCTCTTACTTATTCTGTTCATTTACCTTCCTTTACCCTTGCTAATGGCACTAAAGCCCCTGTTCATGGGATTGGACAAGCCTGTCCGACCTCTTCTTTGACCTTGACATCTGTCTATAACATTCTTGGCATCCCTTATAACTTAATTTCTGTTAGTATATTGGTCCACTCCCTCACTTGTATCATTACTTTCTCTAACCATTATGTTTTTGTGCAACATCCGAGTAGGGGGACAACGATTGGAGTGGGTCGTGAGCAGCAGGGTCTTTATTATCTTGTTGTGCCTCGTCCTTCAGTGGCATGCTCTCTCACAGAATTTCCACAACTTATCCACAGTCGCCTCGGTTATCCAAGTCTTTCAAAATTGCAAAAGACGGTTCCTCTTTTATCAGATCTTCAGTTTTTAGATTGTCTGTCGTGTCAGCAAGGGAAGCACACATGCTCCTCCTTTGCCAGTCGAGTTAATAAACGAGCGGATGCTCCTTGCTCAACTAGAGGTGGAGTACTTGGGCCATGTAGTATCGACAAAAGGAGTTACTCTGGATAATAATAAAGTCAAAGCTATGGTAGATTGGCCAATTCCAAAAAATATTATGCAGTAGAGGGGATTTTTGGCCTCACTGGGTATTATAGAAGGTTTGTGTGTGGATATGCTTTAATAGTTGCACCACTAACTGACTTGCTGAAGAGAGATTCATTTATGTGGTCCACAGCAGCGCAAACAACATTTGATAATCTCAAAACAGCCATGACTTTAGCACCTGTTCTTCCCCTACCATATTTTTCTCAAGAATTTGTGGTTGAAACTTACGCTTCAGACTTAGGTATTGGTGCTATACTCGTTCAGATAGAACATCCCATCTCATATTTCAGTAAAAAATTGTCCCTCTGAATGCAAAAGGCTTATGCTTGTGTGAGGGAACTGTATGCAATCATGGAATCTGTTAAGAAATGGTGGCAATATCTATTGGGCAAGAAATTTAGGACAGATCAAAAAGAGTTTACGAGGCCTACTTGATCAGGTTGTTCAAACACGGAACAACAGTACTATCTAGCCAAACTTTTGGGATTTCACTATTCCATAATATATACGCCTGGAAAAGATAATTGGGTGGTAGATGCATTTTCAAGGTACCCTACTACCATGTCGCTCATGACACTTGCCATGGTACACTGATACTTTAGAAGAATTGAAGAAGGAAAATCAGCAAAAGTTTTTCTTCCAACAAATACATTAGCAATTAAATGAAGATCCAGAACTCCATTCAGAATATGAGGTCCGAGATGGGTTATTATTAAAAAAAGACAAATTACTATTAGATTCTACTTCACCTCTAGTCCAGCAAGTTCTTAGAGAAAATCATGTTACTTTGACTAGTGGCCATACTGGAATCCAGAAGACATTGACAAGAACTACAGCTAGCTTCACATGGCCTGGGCTTAAGAAAGATGTTAAAAAGTATGTTAATTCTTGAGTGATATGTCAACAGGTCATATATCAGACTAAACTCCCTGTTGGCCTTCTGCAACCAATTCCAATACCTGAAAGAATTTGGGAGGATTTGTCCTTAGATTTTGTGATTGGTTTACTTGCCTCCCACAGCTACACTACTATTTTTTTAGTTGTAGATAGGCTCTCAAAACAAGCTCATTTTGGCTATTTGCTGAGGAAATACTCGGCTGCTAAAGTGGCTAATCTCTTCGCCCAAATGGTCTGTAAAGGGACCTTATTTTTTCTTAGTAAATTTTGGACTGAGTTGTTTGAACTTAGTGGAACAAGTTTGAGGAGAACAACAGCTTATCACCCACAATCGGATGGTCAGTCCAAAGTAGTTAATAGAGTATTAGAGCAATATCTTAGATGCTTTATGGCTGATTTTCAAAAAAGTGGTTTAAAATCCTACATTGGGCAGCATATTATTATAACAATATTTACCACAGTGGGAATGTCACCCTTTAAAGCTGTCTATGGGCATGAACCACCATCAGTGCTAAATTATCTACCATCTACAGCTTCTCTAGAGGAGGTGGACAGATTATTGGAGGGTAGACAAAGTATTTTACAGCAGTTTAAAGGCAATTTACTCCACTCTCATATGATTATGCAGAGGCAAGCAAATAAGCGCAGAAGAGATGTTAAATACAAGTGGGAGACAAGGTGTGGGTACTATTACAGCCATATAGACAGTCTTCAGTGGCTAACAGAATTACTCACAAGTTATCCAAACGATACTTTGGTCCATTTTACATCCTAAAGCGCGTAGGCAGTGTTGCCTACAAACAGGAGTTACCAGCCAATGCTAAAATCCACCATACTTTTCATGTGTCTTTGTTAAAACCATTCCAAGGTGATCAACCCATACCTTCCTTTAACAGAAATTTTCCAAGTAGGGCTACCTGTCCTTGAGCCCCAACAAACATTGTCTACTCGCATGACTGAGAAAGGTGATTCTCAAAACAGACAAGTGCTGGTGTTGTGGGCTAGAATGCCACAAGAATGTATCACATGGGAGTCCTGGGATTGATATGCCACAAGTGTTGGTGTTGAGGACAACGTTGATTTTAATGGAGGAGGTATTGATATGGGTCCAGCTAAATCAGGCCCAATTAAGGAAACCCATAACCACGACCTAGCAGTGGAAGACCCAAAATCATCACTTCAACCAATTGAAGCAAGCCCTAGAGTTTCACAAGGACTGGCTGATGAAGTAGGAGCAGGGAAGATACATGACGCATGCAGCGAAGGATCTAGAAGCACATTCTGTTCATCAAGGATAAGAAAGGTCCATTGCAGAAGGAAGAAACAAGAGAAGGACAAGAAGGCCCAATCGCTTGAATGACAACGAGTTTGTGTTGCAAGTAGTAGATGAATTTTGTAAAATACAAACATGTTGTGATTCATTGTGTAATAATACTAGAATATTACTATAATTGTCTGTTTGTTAGTAGCATCTTACAGAAGAGGATAGTTGGGTCCTTTTGTTGTATTGAGTAATGTTAAATAGGGAAAGCAACCAATTGTATGGGTTGTTGAAGATTGAATAAATTCTCGATTTCCTCATCTTCTCGTCTCTCAGTGTTCTCTCATCTCCTTCATTCTGCTCCCTGATAGAACTTGGGTTCTATCAGCATAATTCCCGAATTTTCTTGAGGGTAAATTTTGAAACTACTCCAGATAATTTTATTCTAGAGCCCAAAATCATAAAATAAAACATTATATAATTTCCCAATCACTTCCTTCATCTGAAGATGCTCTTCCCCATTTCAAAATATTAAATAGAAATTTGGGATGTTACATGGAAGACATCAGCGGGGGCATTTTGCTAGGCATATGCATCCGTGGACAAAACGCTACGGGCATGCATCCAGATAAAAAAGCATTTATGATTATATCTTATCAAAAAAAAGGTTGACAAATAGAATTGTTGAAATTATAGGTAAAGGTATGGAAAAAGAAAATGGAAAAATATTGACTCTGAATAATAATATGACATTAGACTGATATGGTGTGATATGTGATACAAGACACTAATCAAATCATTTTATTTATAGTAATAATTAGGTTAAGTACAAGCCTAATATTACAAGTATAAGTCCAAACCCACTAATATAATAAGACTACTAACCTTAAGTAAACACCAAACCCACTAATATAATAAGACTACTAAACTTAAGTAAACAAGGAAACAAATCAACTAGGAACGCATAATATTGCTTCCTCAATTAGATAACTAATTAATTCCACAACATATTCTAAAGATTTTTTTTTTTAATAGTTTTGAGATATAATGGAGATTTTCTAGGATATTCTAAATTACTCTTGAGATATTCTAAAATAAAATGCAAAAGGCATTTTCATACCTGGAAACAGTAGATTAAATTATTATTACTCCTGACATCACTGTTATTGCATTAACTTGACGTATTAGCAGCAGCAAGTTTTTCCTGAAGCTTCGTTATTCGAGCCTGTTATAACATAAATGTAAAGAACAATGATTATTCCGGTAGAATTAGCCCCTTCAAATTTGTAAACAGGCAAACCCAAACTAGATCCAAAGAAACGAGAAAGAACAGAAGAAAGAAGAGGCCATGCAAAAAAGAACTTTCAAAATTGTTCTCTAAAGCAGTACAAGATATGACAACTTTATTATTATTAATCCATCAAAAAATAGGAGCTTTTCCATGTGAATGAGATTATTCTAAATAGAAATATGGAAGTCAATAATCTTTGATTTCTTACTAGGATTGCTTATATTGTTGAGATTAATCTTTGGCATAGCTCCCTAAATCCATGGAAAATACAATCAATGTTCTTTCTTATCAGTTTTGCTACATCTTCCTTCCCAAAAGCCACAGATGTCTAAGTTTATGCTAAAAGAAATACATAGGATCAGAATAGCTGAAGACAAAGATTCAATGCTACCTTGAATGATTTAGAATGACGGATAGAAGGATCTATATCTAAAGATGCTAAATATGACTGTTCTGCTGAATCAAGTTGCTGCAGTGCCAAAAAGGCATCGCCTTGGCAGATATAAGCCTGCAAAGTGAATTAAAAAATAAACAATAGAGAACATTTAAATTTAACAAGAACCCTTAAATCATAATTTTTAGGACAATAACAGTTTGTTTAAAACATAGGCACAACAAATACAAATGAAAAATTAACATACTCACACAGGTGATAGGCAAATAAAATTGAGGTAAGGATATCAGGACCAAAATCTCTTGCTATTGACATTTTATAATGAGATTTTGGTAACAATCAGAAGGTGAATATCTTTCATAACTGCCTAAAAAACTGGGGAACTGAGCATGATAGATTGAGTAAACATTTTGGGACTTAGATGGAAAGGTGGACGTCTAAAGAGTAAAAAAAAAAAACTTGTATCCTGGTTTAAAATCAAGATGAGATTTTCAAAAGCTTCTTACGGTGAGAAAGCTCAACCTCTCGAGACTCGAAAGTTGCACCTTTCCACAGAAATTTTCATTAACAGTATAGACTGCTCTTCAAGTCTTCATTACTCAAAACTTCACAGCATATTTATTTCGGGTGGGCAGGGAGGCATTGGTTCTTTCCCAATATGCATTTGCATAGTTGATGATTGTACTGTGTGATTAGCAATGGTAGCGCATCATTAACCACCCAATCCAGTGGACTTCTTATAAATTAAAACAGCAGCAAATTTAACTGTTTATTTTTCATTTATTGTGTTTGTAGCATCTTTAATTGATAAAGTAGCAAATTTTCACAAAAATATAAAAATAAAAATAAAAAATAGTTTTTATTTAGCAGGGGCGTCATTAACAGTTGAGGCTCACGATGTAATCCATTATTACAAAGCATACTCTTCCATACCAGTGAGGATCAGAAACAAGTGACGATTTGACATGTCAGTGCAACTAGGAAAAAGCGTATGAATTTGAGTCACCTCAGAATACCCGGGAGCTAATGTCAAAGCCTCCCTAGCATCTTCGAGGGCACCATAGTAATTGCCCAATTCCAACCTTACAAATGACCTGAATGTAAAAATACATAATGTACAAAAAATAAATATACACGATCACATACCATTTTGCAAGTTATTTCAACTGGAGACATAGAAAATCACCTAAGTTTAACAAACCTGCATTTAAATGTGACATGTATGCCACCAAATGGTTTTAAATCTATAGCCTGCATCAGCATGGCACAATGAATCAGTCTCTCTCAAGTCTCAACTCAAGATTGATTTCCTTTAAAAAGAAAAATAGAAAGGCGCGCACCTGTGAGAGCAGAAGCTCAGCATCAGTGAAATTTCGCTTCTCAAACTCAATATCGGCTCTCTTCCTCAAAGCGAGCGCATCCAAACTAGTCTTGGAGTCGCCATCGGCAAACAGACTCACCATGACCTCCGCCGCCCGAGCAGCCGTCCCGCAATGGCTGACGATGAGACCATCTGGCAGGACCACCAGGTTGGGGCCGCCGCCGCACCGGCCCAAGCAGCCGCAGGACTTAATGGCGACGTTTGGAGGAGCTAGGCCAGATAGGGTCTCCAGGGTTTGAAAGGAGCCCTGTCTGCGGCAGGTGCGATTGGTGCACACCCGAATTTCTTGGAGCTGCTGTGCTTTGGGACGACATCGTTTGGGGGGAGGAGAAATCAGTAACAGAGTCAGAGTGTGACTCTTCATAGATTGATTCAATTTAAAACAACGCTAACGCTCCTCCTCCTCCTCCGGTCCTCCTATCCCTTTGGTACGTTGCACCGATATCGAATATAGACAAAGTACATACACACGTTCATTTTAAAAAATAATAAATTTTGATACATTAAAATAAGTTTTGATATAAAACAGGGTCACCGGTTATATTTATAAATTTTTTTTCTTACAAACTACACTAAGTACTACCGGTCATACTTTAATTATATAGTGTATGATCGGTGTAATTTGCAAAAAAAATTTGTAAACGGATCCTATCCCTATAAAATAACACTTTTAATTTATATTATATTTAATATTTGATAATTTAACAAAATTTTTTTTTATAACATTCATTAATTTTACAAAGAGACATAAAATATCCCAAATATTTAAATTAGAGGAAGGTTATACTTACAACTTTTTTTTTACAACCATATCTTAACACCGTTGATTTCCGCCAATTAACGGTTATAATTTATTACGAATTAATAATTAATTAATGAGTTTAATTTGCAAAAATCATAACCGTTGATTGGCGGAAATCAACGGTATTAAGATATGGTCGTAAGAGGTTGTAAAAAAAAAGGTTGTAAGTATGATCTTTCTCTTTAAATTAAACTCAATAAAATGATAATTGTAATATAACGAATCTAATAGTTGAAATTAAATACACAACGTAACACAACTTTCAAATCTTTTTTGAGTCTCTACATGTTGAAATATCGGGAATCAAACACTAAGTTTTTTGAAGTGTTTGCATCATAATCGCCGAGCTCATTTATTATGGTCGTGGAGTTTGTGCTCATTTTTTCAAAAGTAGAAAGAAAAAAGGATTGAAAGGGGATTTAGAAGGAAGAAAATGGTATAAATGGAAGAAAAAATTTCCTTTTTTGGCAAAGGACCGTCAAATGCAATGTGCTCCTCGAGCACATTAAAAAAATCCCATAATCGCCTAACACTTCTTCTCCTCACTTCCTCACTTAGTAAATATAAAACACGTGGATTGGAACCGCATCATCATATTTAAACATTAAATTAAATTAAATTAAATAAATATCCGGCAAAGCTTTGTACCAGTGTTATTAAACCTGACCCGGGCAACGACCCGATCAGAGTATTGGGTCACTGGTCGGATCAGTGGGTCACGGGTCGGACCGGTTGACCCAGGTATATATAAATATATATAAATATGAACATATAAATTCAATTATATTCTCCATATCTAAAATGAATTAAACAAGGTTCACTAAATAAGCTCAAAAACATGAAACATAAATAAATAAAAATGCACGCTATTACTATGTCAATTTAAATTACAACTCAGAATCCCCATAAACATATTCTCAATAAACATTTAACTCATATTTTTCAAATTCAACTACAATAAAATGACATATGTCATATTCTCTTAATTTATTATTCAGCAAATTGCTTCAGTATTGAAAGCTGAAATTTGAGGTCATTGTAGAAGAGTATACTAACAAATAAAATTACAAAAAGTTTTTAAAATGAGTTCTACATTTTTTTCTCACAAGATGAAACAATTTTGATTTTTGATTTATTTTTAAATGCATGACCCGATCAGGTCACTGGGTCACACCGGGTCACCGATTTTGACCGATTTTGTCCGGGTTTGACAGGGTCGATGCATGACTGGTTCAATGCTTGACCCGAACCGGTCTGATGACTGGTTCACCGGGTTTCGGGTTGACCTGACCGGGTCGGGTCGTGTTTTACAACAGTGCTTTGTACTACTACCTACATACAAAATTATCTATGCAAGTTTTTGGATTTTCATGGAAAATATTATTTTATTTTATTTTTTGGTAATCTAAGGGGTAAACAACAACACCTCAAAGAGATCAATTCAATAAAATCGTTCTGAAATTACAAGAAAAAGATAAATCAGCCCAATACAAAGGCCAAATACTAGGGGTAGGGTTTGAAAAAACACAAAAATTATTTTCAACAGTATAGTCTAAAGGATATTTAGAAAGCCAATCTGCACAACTATTTCCTTCTCTAAAAACATGAACCAGGTGAACTTCCCAATTCTCTTGTAACCATGCTCGAATCTGAGTCACTAAGCGAGACTCTCGAGTTGCTCTTCCACTGCTGAAGAGCAAAGTGATAACTGAGCTTGAATCACTTTCTAGGTTGCAGCGTCTCCAACCTCTATTCCAAGCAAATTCGAGACCCTTGAGGACGCCCCATAATTCTGCAACAAAAGCTGAACAGTGGCCAATATAGTAAGCAAACCCTTATTTCCAATAACCATTTTTATCTCTTATAATTCCTCCACAAGCACCCCTGCCATCACTCATGGCTGCACCATCCGTGTTTAATTTCACCCAACCTATGTCCGGAGGTAACCCTCTAATAGGAACAGAAATGTAATTCTTGGTCAGCTTTGTCCCCTTAGAAGTTATCCAGGCTTGAGTATACTCACGGACCAGACTCTCAACGAACTGCACCTTGTATGCTTTCCCGTTATTTTCCACACCATGCACCTGATTGTTTCTCCACTGCCAAGCTAACCAAACAGTAACAGCAAAAACAAACGACCAGGGGGCATCAAAGCACAAAATAGATACATTTTGAATATTTAAGGAAAGCCAAGAATCTAAATCAGTATCAAATATTATTTATCAAATTTGGCCTCAAAAGATCAGATCAAACTTTTTTAATCTTAGGACAGTCACGTGCCATATGAATAATGGATTCTTCATGAAAATTACAAATAGGACAGCTAGGAGGACACAATCTAAAGTTAGCCAGGAAGCTTCTAGTTGATAAACGATGATGAGCAGTCTTCCAAAGGAACAAAATTATCCGATTGGGCCCATTTAAATTCCAAATGGCTGACCACAATTTTCTATCAATACCATTAGAATTATTCTGATTTAGCAATGTAAAATAAATATTTTTCACATAAACTTCATCAGATCCAATTAAATTCCACCATTTTCTATCCATACTATTAGATTCATGAGGAGGCAGTATACTTCTAATAATTTGAACACAATCATCAGGAAGAAAATTAGAAATATTCTCACAATCCCAAGTTCCATCATGAGTAACATAATCAATTACTCTCTTACCAGCCTCTGTTAGGGAAATTTGAGTAATAGTTCTGTTTGCAAGTTTTTCCCCAATGTTCACCCAATGATCCTCCCAAAACAGAACAGAAGATCCATCACCCACATCCTAAACCAGCTTAGGTTTAAGCTTATTCCAAACATCACACATAAGTTTCCAAAGACGAGAATTACCATTCTTCCAAGTTAAATCAGTTTGATTATTGGATGAATTTGTGCACTTAGCTTTTAGTACCTTCACCCAAAGCTGATCAGGATCATTAACAAAATTCCAAACTAGTTTTCCTAAGAAAGCTTCATTCATTACTTGTAATTTTCTCAACCCCAGCCCTCCATCTGCTTTTGGTCTTGATTATTGAAGTTGTTCTAATTCATTACAGACAGCTTTAGGAATCATATTGCTTTGCATGAAGTAATACGGCATAGTAGACAACACAGATTAAGAAAGAATCACTCTGCTCGCCTGAGAGAGAGACTCGGATTGCCAGCTAGATAATCTTTCTTTAACTCTCTCAACTATACCAGAAAATAAATTTTTAATAACTCTACCATGATGTATCATTGCTCCAAGATATCTTCCTATATTTGTTACTCTTTTGAATCCACTTTGTCCTGTGATTTAGTAGCTAACTCATCTGGAGTATTCTTTGAGAAATAAATAGAAGCTTTTTGAATATTCACCTTTTGCCTAGAAATGTCTCCAAACAAATTCAAACATCTGAAAAGGATATTAAGCTGATCCTCACTGGCTTCTAGAAAAAACATCAAATCATCCGCAAATAGGAGATGAGATATTTTGGGTCCACCCTTACCAGCTCTTATTGGCTTCCAAAGATTCTCATTCACTGCTGTATCAATGATATGAGAAAGCTTCTCCATTGCCAAGACAAACAAGTAAGGAGAGACCGGGTCTCCTTGTCTGACACCTCTGCTTGGTTGGAATTTCTCTGTTAACTTTCCATTCCAAATAATGTTGGTTTTTAGAGATGTGACAGCTGCCATGATCAGTTTTGAAAGTCTATCAAGGATCTGAATTTCATCAAGCACTCTATGAATGAACTTCCAATTTAAACGATCATAAGCCTTCTCAAGATCCACCTTAATCACCATAAAACACTTCTTATCCCGCATTCTTCTCATAGAATGAACCAGTTCTTGCACAATAATGATATTATCTTGAATACTTGGAAATGTTCAAATTATATTTTTGGATTTAGTTTATAAATATATTAGTATTTTAACTCGTATGATACACAGAGATTATGATGGAATGATTTTTATTATATGTTGATATGAAAATTATACGCTAAAGATTGTAAAATACATAAAAATAAATTTTGAAGGAAATATAAAAGTAATAAATATTATTAAATTTAAATAGAAGACTAAAAAGACTCATGTATTAAAGTTTAAATCTTTTTATACACTTCTTATTAAACAACACTGTTAGTTTTTTCCATGAATTTCCATTTTCATCTAATATTAAAATGTTCAAACCATTCCTAAATTTTACTTTAGAAATAGTAACATATAACTATCCAAGAGTAAAAATAGATTTCAGTAAGAATAGTCCAACATAAGAAAGAGATTGGTCCTGACTCTTATTAATGGTCATGATAAAACATAGACTAGTTGAAAATTGCCTTCTTTCGAATCTCAAAGGAATGTCAGGATCTGATGGAATCATATTCATTAATGGAATGTAAACTTTATGACCAATATAGTTTCATGTACCGACAGTTGCACCAATTATGTTATTTGTTAATTCTTCAACCAGTGTTGTTAAACCCGACCCGGTCGGGGTACTGGGTTACTGGTCGGACCAGTTGACCCGGATATATATAGATATATAAAAATATATATAAATATGAACATATAAATTCAATTATATTCTCCATATCTAAATTGAATTAAACAAGGTTCACTAAATAAGCTAAAAAACATTAAGCATAAATAAATAAAAATGCACGCTACTATTATGTCAATTTAAATTGCAACTTAGAATCCCTATAAACATACCTCTAAATGACATTGAACTCATATTTTTCAAATTCAACTACATTAAAATGACATATATCACATTCTCTAATTTATTACTCCACAAATTGCTTCAGTATTGGAAACTAATAGGTCATTGTAGAAGAGTATACTAACAAATATTATTACAAAAAGTTTTTAAAATGAGTTTTACATTTTTTTTTATAGGGTGAAACAAAAAAAAAATTTAAATGCATTATTCGACCGGGTCGCCAGATCACCGGGTTTGGTCAGGTTTGACCGGGTCGATGCATAACCGGTCCAATGCTTATCCCGAACCGGTCTGATGATCGGTTCACCGGGTTCGGGGTCGAGCCGGCCAAGTCGGGCCAGGTTTTACAACAGTGTCTTCAACTATCGGTCTCGTTCCATTGCACAAGCCAGAAGATTGGTCTATATTCCTTAGAAGCATAATAAGAACTCTTTTTTCAGAGTGATTTTATGATTAGGAAATCCAAAACACTTAATTTCATTTAAAAACTCTACAGTGAACCAATTAGGTTCAATCCCAACATCTTCATCTGCTATGCAATATGAGTCTGAACCCACATATTCTTTCTTTTCATCGGAGACTTGAGAAAGGATAAATTCATTCGTCATCTCAACTGCTTCAAGAGTTGGAGTCAATATGACTCTTTCTTCAAAGAACTTAAAGTCTTTCATGTTCTGTAGCAAATTTGGATAAGTGAACTGAACAATACTAACAAGAGGTTTGGTTGAATCCAAAATTAAAATATCTTATAGAATTTTTACTTGAGCAACACCATCAGTTTTTATGCCAAATTGTCCATCACCGACTTTGATTATCCAATTGCGAAATCTTTCATTAATTGATGTTCTGCTGACGCTGCTTTCTTCGATCTCATGTTTTTGGTCAATGTAAGTACCTTACAGTGAGACCACAACTTTGATGAATTAATTGTTGTAGAAACAATGTCCTCCTTAGTTGCTTTTGGAATAACTGGTAATATTTGACAAAAGTCTCCTCTAAGAACATCACATTTGCCTCCAAATGGTCTCTCTTCAGAATTGGAGTTAGTAAACCTCATTATGTCCTTACGTGAAAGATCAAGAGCCTCAAAAGCCAGTTTATTAATCATGCATGATTCATCCTATATAATTAGAATCGTTTATTGAAGAAGCTCTACCTTTAAACTCCCTTGTTTAATATTGTTGTATTGCATTTCGAGAATTCATCAATTTTTTAATGGAATTGAGAATCTATAATGTGTTGTCCTACCCCCTGGCAAAAGCAAGACAACAATCCCACTTGAAGCATTATTGAGGACTATTTTACTATGACACCGAACAACTGCTGACAAAGTTTTTCAAATAAAAGTTTTCCCAGTCCTATCGTAGCCATATACAAAAAAGAACTCACATGTGTTATGTTGTACAACATGGATTATTTGATTAAAAAATTTTCTTTAGTCTTCTTTCATTGTAGATAAGAATGTCTTCAGACCTAATGTCATTTGTTTGCGATCGTAGCTCAATTTGTCGAATAAGAAGTGATTCTCGAATTCATTAAGCGAACAATGATGTGGGAATCACATGGAATGAAATTCTTTCAAAGATCTTCCATTTGAATTGAGCAATCTCTCTATTTCAAACAAACATAGATTTTTTAAGTCTTAAGTAGCAATTGAAAGATCTACAGTGAAAAAGGAAGCAATATCATTATCTGTTTGATGAGACCGTTGTTTATTGAAAAAAAAAACTATTTGAAGAAGTTATTTAAAATTGTATTGTATGACCGAAAGAGATGAAATATTGTATGAGAATTATAAAGTATTATGAGGTTACATCCTAATGAAATGAAGGCATATAATTTCAGTCAAAGATTTGAAAATAAAATTATAAAGTCACCTACCATTTGAGATTTCCAACAGTGCAACTCTTTTGTTCGGGTTAAATGTTATTGTTGAATTAGTCAATGGTGTCGGCACATGTGTTGTTTCTACACAAATGAGAATTTGAAAGTTCAATTGAACATAAAAGTTTACAAATTTAATAATAGGAATAAATTTGTACTACAAATGGACCTTATATAGCAGTTGTAAGATTGAATGTTTGTAACGGTCTTCCTCGTTTTCTCTGTTGAGTTGAAGCACCCTCACATTGACTTTAAAGTTGATTTTCCTGTAACCCTACAAATATTGTTACAAATTTAAAATAAAATAGGATATATTTATTTTTAATTGCTAATAAATTTGATAGATAAAATAATATTTAAATTGAAGAAGTTAAAATTAATAATCTTAGACTTGTAAATTAGCTACCGGAATAGATGACGTGTATGATCTTGCTCTTTTCGTCAAAGGATCGAGTAGTACAATCATTGCATAGAGTTGAATTTTTATTTTCTTTTAATACTGCCAATGATATCCAACAAATATGAGCAATTATATATTAATGCATATGAAAGACATTTAAACATGTATTGTACGTTATAAATTTATACTGCAAGAATCTTTTGATGAGTTAACAAGTGTAAGATATTGTCATTTTAAATTTTTAAATTATAATGGAATAGTAAATAATAAGAAGAATTAAAAAACTAAATTCAAAGAGAATACTTTTTTTTAAACTTTTGTATATGAAATCAAATTATATTTGAAACTAAATTACTTTATAACAGATATGATATGTTTAAAAACATTATGTGTTACTAAAAATTGGTTACAAATTATAAAATTTGGAAACAAAATTTATACTTTAACTATATAATTCTTTCAAAGATTTACTTGATAGAAAAAACCATAAAAATAGTAAACCTTTAAAATGTATTATTATGGTTGAAATTGATATTGGGCATTAGACGTATGTGAAACAATTGTTTAAATAAAAATAGTGTTTTATGAGTACAAAGGGATGCAAATTTTTCATTGTAGAGTATAAAATTTAAATTAAACAATTTCGTTAAAGGAAAGAACAAATGATGCAAAATTGTTGAGTGAAATGTTGTTTGCAAAAGACCAAAATTTTCTGAATTGTGTGGGTTGCTCAATTGTCGTTTCCTACACAGCCGGAGCTTTTTTCAAATCTTGCTTGTTTTGAGCCAAAAGTTGAAGATGCCAATTTAATTTAGATGATAGAAAAGAAGATAGAAGAGATATTCTGTGGGAGATATATTGAAGAATGAGAATAAGCGGATGGGACACAGAATGATGGTAGAGACGTTCTTTCTGCCTCAAGGTAATTATTACTAGAAAAATGCTTTGATCAAAAGCGTTCTTGATCACCACGCAATACTTGAAACCATAAGTCCTCCAATAAGTCCACACCACCTTGTTGTCTTGTAGGAGAAGAACGATTCTTCAACATCCAAAATCCTTCAAGAGAGATTGTTAAAACTCAAGAGAAAGGCCAAGAGAAAGTGGCGGCTAAGGGTTGTTCAAGAAAGATAGGCCGTCACATAAATAATTGGTTTCCTTAATTTGAGCCAATCAATCTAATTAATTGATTTCCTTAATTTCCTCCATTTTTATCAATTCTAATTTTATGATTATATTTAAATTCAAAATTAGAATTCGAATTAATTTTATTAATTTGTATGTGACCCATTGAATTTAATTTTTTTTTAAAACTTGTTTAAGATTAAAAGTTTACACTTTAGATTACCAAAATTATTTTTTACACTTTTCAAAGAATCCAAATCATTGTATGAATTACACGTGACAAAATTTTTCACAAAATGACTCTAAATTATAATATAGTATAGATTTTACATTTGTATTTAATTTTTTTATACGCACATTTGTAACCTCTCAAGCCCTATCATTCCTAATGACTTTACACTTGCATTTAATTAAATAAATTATCCCCATATTCGAATAACCAAATCTAGCTGTGATTATTTATGTTAAAAATAAATAATTTTTATCATATTATTCAATAAATTTGACATTTCATAATCAAACTTTTAAAACCATTAAATAAAGTTTCAACACAAGATTAGATACGAAATGTTAACTGATAATGCCAGTGATAAGTTAAAGTATAAGAAAGGGTTATTTTTCTAATTTATATGGGTCCTAAGAAAAGCTCATAAGAAACCTCATTGAAAGGGGGAAAAATAGTGTGTATTACACAGTTTAAATCTATGCATCCTTATTACATGTTTCACTCGGAAGTTTAGTGATCAAATTTATAATCATTTTTTTCAACCGATTCATCGCGATTTTCAAATATTTAAAAGAATAAAATACGAAAAAATATTTGTCCTTTTAAAGAACATAGAATTATGTTATTTTAAGTGAGAGAAAAACACAAACTAATATTTTTTATTTAAAATTTAAATTAAAAAAATCATATTAAAAAGGAAAACCTTGAGTTGGAGTATTTTTTTTAATAAGGTACTCTCCCACTTGAATTAAAAATATATACATTCCCATGATATTAAAAATAAAAAAATAGATCTTGTACCAAAAAGAAAAAAGAAAAAAAAATAGATGGAATATTGTGACTACTGAGTGATTTGTTTCTAATTTAAGTGAGAGAATCTATAGAGATGAAATCCATCCATTTAGTTGATCATATAAAATTTAACTCGTGTGGAAAAGTATTTAACACTACTGAGCGAGCTCCTGTTGTAAGAGATCGACTCTGTTTAAGACGTCTCTCAGGCGCGTGTTTTCGGCCATGGTGTGGGAGGAAGAAGCTCGATGAAAGCACCAGATTGTTAGAAGAATTTTAGTGAGGGAAGGAAGAGGACTCAGAAGAAGTTAGAGAAGAGATAGAAAGAAGCAGAGAGAGAAGATTGAATAACCATTCCATTCCTCTTTCATTACTAGCGGTGACTTTAATACATTCTACATCCTCTTAACCGTTTCATGAATTAATACACTGAAGTATACCCACCCTTACAGACTCTAGACTCGCACCTCCCCCCTATACAAACAAAACATGGAATCTGCTCCTATCATCAACAAGAGTATTCCTCCAAATAAGTGGGCCGCTTAATAGTCCTTCTGGGCCTTATATCCAGCTGGGCCGTAACATAACTCAACAGCTAAAACCTACCCTGTAACACGTAATTACTCTAATTATATAAGCAAGCAAATTTGAACTGACTTGACTTGACTCAGGTAATTTTACAACAAAAGATCACAGACCACGGTGAGTCTCTGGATTTAGGGGAACGTACAGAAATCTTGAGGTTCGTGAAAATATTAAAGTACAAAAATTGAAATGAGAAGAGAAGCACACACCAAACTTATACAGCTCAATGTCATGTCACTGCAACGTCATCCACAACTATAATCTTGTGACATCCACACCAAGGACTAGCTGATCAATCTATAAACTTACTCCCCACTGACACACCTCCTGCAAACGTATACATACTGCTTTAATGATTTATAATAATTTAGATGTGCACAACATGAGAACTGCCCCATCTTCTTTTATTTTAAAATGCAACTATGGTAAGGGATAGAAGAAGAAAGAACTTGCTTAAGAGAAGAAAAGCTCCACTATCTTCAAATTATTCTCACCAAAATAATTCTATATTAAAAGTCAAACATCTTTACTGGCTTTCGATTCCATGATTCTCCTAGGACTCTTTTTATCCAGTGAATTAAAGAAAAAATGAGAAAGATTACAAAGGAAGGTATTGTCATACAATCAAATGTTGCCCAGCTTGAAGGAGGTACAGTTGAGAAGTTCTGTTTATCGTCATGGATGCAAAGTAGGCTGAAAAAGTCAGAAGTACCATGACTCTTTCCTGTGGACTTGTCAAAATCAACTGATGAGGATGGCCTCTTTAATGGAGGTGAACACTTCTTTTGCATGTCCATAGAACCCTGAATTGCAAAGATAAACTTTTAAAAACAATTCCCCCCCCCCCCCCCCCCCCCCAAAAAAAAAAAAACATAGTAGATATTGGAAGGCAAGCAAAAATTCAGAGTAAACAAAGTGAAGTAAAGACCATTGATCACGGAATCTTAGAAAATGGAATCTTAACGTTGACCATGGAAGCAAAAATAGTATACAAGCTTACAACAATAGATCATGGAATCTTAACAGTAAACAAAGTCAAGCAACAAGAAACAGGGAAAAATAGTATACAAGCTTCTCAGTGCACACAAACCAAAATAAGTTACCTGCTCAACAATTGTGTATGTAACAGGTTCATTAATTGATCCATTGTGCAATTAAAATCCAAAAGGACATTATCTATAAAGGAATCAGAGAACTTCATGAAAAACATGGTTACCACAGGAGATCTTGTTACTGGGGGCAGAATTTGTGCCATGTGGTTCGCAAGAATGCTTTCTTCAAGAGAAAGTCTCCTACTGTTCTTTGGAATATCACTCCTAACCCCACCATCTGGTGACTCATTAAAGTTGCAGATCATTTCAGCCGACTTTGAAGTTGATTGTACTCCAACTTTGGAAGCCCATCTTTTCTCCACATACCTGAAAGATCCTTAGCAAGTTGAGTACAGTGGGGAATGGAAAAGTAGATGAAAATTAAATCTTCCAGTTTCAAGTAATGTCAATCCATCAGAAGTTTACTTGGCACGAATAAACTTCTCAATTCCCAATCTACTTCTGTCAAAATTTGGCGGCAGTTCTGCCTCCCAGTGCTTATTTGACTTCTCATTACCTGTGACTGCATAGAACGTGCAAATCAAGAGACTAGTCCAGCAGCCACTATGTGCAACCAAGGCAAGAGAATCAAAAGCGAAAAAAGAAAAGGCCTATTATTACACATATGAACCAGAGAAGAAAAGGGAAAGTGCTCATGAGAGAGAAAGGGAAATCTGGAAAAATGTAAAATCATCCATTAACTGAAACAGTGAAAGGTATATATATGTACAACATCAGCTGACGTCAGAGGAGAAATAAAATTACATTTTAGTTACAATCTAACTAAACTAAAACTAACCAAGTTAACTAACTAACCAAGTTAACTAACTATAATACTCCCCCTCAAGATGGAGAGTAGATATCTAACACTCCCATCTTGGATAACAAAGGAAACAAAGAAGAGGAAGGCAGAGATTTAGTAAAAATGTCAGCAAGTTGAAGATGAGATCTAATGGGCAGCAGCTTGATAATACCAGAAGCAACTTGGTCACGTACAAAATGACAATCTATTTCAATGTGTTTGGTGCGCTCATGAAAAGTGGGATTGGAAGCAATATGGACAGCTGCTTGATTATCACAAAAGAGTGCAGCTGGAGAATTCAGTTTGAATCCTATTTCTTGTAACAGTTGAGCTAGCCAACACAATTTTGCAGCAGTAGCAGCCAAGGCTCTATATTCAGCCTCTGCTGATGACCTTGAAACAGTGGTTTGCTTTTTAGCTTTCCAAGAAATCATAGAATCTCCAAGAAAGATGCAGAAGCCTGTCACAGACTTCCTGGAATCTGGGCATCCACCCCAATCAGCATCACTAAAAGCCTTAAGTTGCATAGAAGATGAAGAAGAAAATAAGACCCCTTGCCCAGGTCTGCCTTTGAGGTACCTCAATAAATGATGAGCAGCTTGCAGATGAGTGGTGCGAGGTTGAGACATAAATTGACTCAACTTGTGTACAGCAAAAGTGATATCAGGCCTAGAAAGAGTGAGGTAGAGAAGCCTACCTATAAGTCTGCGAAATTGAGATGGATCTGTGAGTAGTTCTCCATCCTTTGCATTTAATTGAAGACGAGGATCCATAGGGACAAATGCTGGTTTACAAGCCAGAAAACCAGTATCTTCAAGAAGCTGCAATGTATAATGCCTTTGAGAAAGAAAGATACCTTTCTGTGCACGAGCAATTTCAAGTCCTAAAAAATATTTCAAGTTTCCCAAATCTTTGAGTTTGAAATGGGTATGCAGAAATGATTTCAAGGAAGTAACCACTGCAGGATCAGGTCCTGTAATTATGATATCATCTACATAGACCAACAATGCCACAAAGGAAGAACCAGCACCTTTAGTGAATAAGGAATAGTCAGATTTGGACTGAGCAAAACCATGTTGCAAAAGAACACTTGTGAACTTAGAATTCCACTGTCTTGAGGCTTGTTTTAATCCATAGATAGCCTTATGCAATCGACAAACAGACTTAGTCCCCTTTGGATAATGCTCCCCCTGAAGGTTGTACCCAAGAGGTACATCCATATAGACTTCTTCAAAAAGGTCACCATTCAAAAATGCATTATTGACATCTAATTGATGAATCGTCCAATGCTGAATAGAAGCAATTGCTAAAAGAGTTTTAACAGTAACAAATTTAGCTACAGGAGAAAATGTTTCAATAAAGTCCACTCCCTCTTGTTGAGTGTAGCCCTTTGCTACAAGACGAGCTTTGTATCTTTCAATGGAACCATCAGAGTTGAATTTAATCTTATAAATCCAGCGACAACCAATAGAATGTTTTCCTGGAGGCAAAGGAACTATAGTCCATGTGTGATTAGCTTCCATGGCCTGTAACTCAGCTGCCATGGCATCACGCCATTGTGGAGAGCTAACTGCTTGATGATAGAACTGAGGTTCAAAATGTGAAGAAACATTAAGAGAAAAATTTCTATGAGTGGGAGACAATGCTGCATAAGAAAGTACAGAAGAAATAGGATGCTTAGCTCTTGAAGCAGGAACCTCTGTATGACTCAAAAGGTTGCAGTGATATTCCTGAAGATAAGTAGGTGGTTTTGATAACCTATTGGACCTGCGTGGGGGTGGATTTGCTGCCAGATCAGCCTCTGTTGATGAAGAAGTAATGTGTAAATTTGGATCATATTCATTAATTGGAGAAGAAGTTGATGTAGTACCCCTTGCATCAGAATCCAGTGCACTTTCATGAGGAACAGAATTAGTTGCTGGAACAGAGAAACTAAGATCTCTTGAAGGTAAGACTAAATCTGGAAATATGTCCACTTGAACATCAGACCTGCTGATTGTATGGAAGGGAAATATGTCTTCATGAAATATCACATCACGAGAGAAAAATACTTGTTGATTATCTAAGTCATATAGCTTGTATGCTTTCATGCCTGGAGGATAACCCAAGAAAACACACCTGCGGGCTCTAGCTTGAAACTTGTGTCTATGTGCTGCAAGTGTAGATGCAAAGGCTAAGCAACCAAATACCCTCAACAAGGAATAGTCCACCACTGTGTCATATAGAAGCTCATAAGGAGATTTGTAACCAAGTAAAGAGGATGCAGTGCGATTTATTGTAAAAACAGCTGTCAATATGCAGTCTGACCAGAAAACTAGAGGGACTTTGGACTGAAAATAAAGAGCTCGAGCAACATTAAGAATATGTTGATGTTTTCTTTCCACCACGGAATTCTGTTGCGGCCTTTCAACACAAGCAAGCTGATGTAAGACACCTTGAGCATTAAAAAAATCAATAAATGCTAACTCAGGAGCATTATCAGATCTGACCACTTTTATTTTCTTGCCAAATTGTGTGAGTACCATGTTGAAATTTTTTGGCAAAACAGAAATCACATCAGACTTATTTTTCAACAAGAAAACCCATGTAAACCTAGTGCAATCATCCACTAAGGTTAAGAAATATCGATAGCCTGAATATGAAGTAGTGTGAAAAGGTCCCCATGTATCACAATGTATAAGATCAAAAGGAGATTTTGAGAAATTATAATTGGAAACAAATGGAAGTTTGTGTTGTTTAGCAAGGGGACATATGTAACATGGATCTTTATTATTCATATGTAAACCATAACAGTGAAGTTTATCTTGCATATGTAAAAGACATTTATTAGACAAATGTCCTAGCCTATGATGCCAAATCTGGGCAGATACATTGCTAAGAAAAACAGAATTCAAAGAATTGGAATGATGTCCATGGAGATCAAGGACATAGAGTCCCTCAAGCTTGTTACCCTTGCCAATCATCTTCTTGGTAATCAACTCCTGAATCACAAAGGAGTCATGCAGAAATGTAACCATGAGTTGTGAATCAGTAGATAGTGCACTCACAGACAGTAAATTAAATCTGAATTGAGGCACAAATAAGACATCCTTCAGAATCAATTGAGGTGTGAGTTGAACATCCCCAATGAGAAAAACCGGAATTGAATTGTGATTAGGTAAAGTAACAGTGTTTCCATGTAATGTTCTTAGAGAAATGAAAACTTCAGCATGTGCACAAATGTGCCTTGAAGCACCTGAGTCAACGACCCAAACATTGGGTGAAGATAAAACAGGATTACTTGATACTGAAAGACAAGTACCTGTGTTGAGAACAGTTGAAGAAACTTGATGAACAGATTTATCAGAAGAGTCTGAAAGTTGTTGAGTAGATGCCATTCTATTGCACAGTAATGTCAGAAGTTGATTGCAGCTTGCGTGATCCAGATTCTGAAGAATATTATCAACAGGAGCACTGGATGAATGTTGACTAGATGAAATCTGAGAGGAAGTCTGATTAGCCACAGCTGCTTTAGATGTGTATGATGGATTTTTCAATCTTGGCTTGAATCCTGGAGGAAATCCATGTAACTTGTAACACTTCTCAATTGTATGACCATGATATTGGCAATGAGTGCAAAAGGGACGATCTCTGCGAGGTCCTTTGAAATTAGAATCTGTTTTGGCCACAAAAGCCAGTGTGTTGGAAGGAACATCAGTGGACATGGAGTGAGGAGTAATCTGGCGCTGTCGTTCCTCTTGAACTACCAGAGAAAACACTTTGTTAATGGGAGGAAGAGGGTCATTGAGCAGGATTTGAGTTCTGATTTGAGCAAACGAATCATTTAAACCCATAAGGAATGCCATAGTATACTCCATTTGAAAATAGGACCCCAATTTGCGGACACCACCACAAGTACAGGAATTACAGGAACAACTTGGGCGAAAATTGCTCAATTCTTCCCATAAGGATTTGAGTTTAGTAAAGTAGACGCTCACAGAATTATTATCCTGATGAAGAGTAGTCAGATCTCTTCTCAACTGAAAAATCCTAGGACCATTGCTTTGTTGAAACCTATCTTTGAGATCAGTCCATATATCTGAAGCAGAGTCTGAATATATGATACTAGCAGAAATTTCTTTGGACACAGAATTTAAAATCCAAGAAATGACAATATTGTTGTTTCGCATCCAAGAACGAAGAAGTTGAGAATGATTAGGGTTCGGTTTAGAAATTGAACCATCTATAAAACCAACCTTGTTCTTGACGGATAGAGCGATTAGCATGGCGCGACTCCAAGAGGCATAGTTATCTCCGGTGAGCGCTTGTGATACCAGAACCAAACCTGGACTATCGGAGTGATGCAGAAAATACGGACTATGTGGATCATCTGCTTCCGATCTAAACGCTGGAACAGCGTTTGTGTTAGGGTTGACTGATTCAGATTCGAAGGAAGTCATCGATTAGATGTCGTATGATTCCAGTCGAACAGATAGAAAGCAATATGTCACAAGGAAAAAGTAACATGCAACAAAAGAATCACGGATCTATGTAGAGGAAAGCAAATTGATGAAGAAAACAGAGAAATCAGAAGCGAAAAGACAAAAAATCTATCAACTGATACCATATTACACATATGAACCAGAGAAGAAAAGGGAAAGTGCTCATGAGAGAGAAAGGGAAATCTGGAAAAATGTAAAATCATCCATTAACTGAAACAGTGAAAGGTATATATATGTACAACATCAGCTGACGTCAGAGGAGAAATAAAATTACATTTTAGTTACAATCTAACTAAACTAAAACTAACCAAGTTAACTAACTAACCAAGTTAACTAACTATAATACCTATCTTCTACGAAAAAATAATTTCTTTTGTCCTTTTCTTGTATGTGTGTGTGCTGAGAAGTTTATCTAATCAATTAACAGATATATGACATGATCTCCCGGAAATGCTATCTCTATGTACATGCATATGGAGTGGCGCAGATCACTTGTGCTATTTACTAATATAATCTTGTTCAGTCCTACTGCTAGTATAATAACGAGGAGGAGTTCACAAATTATCTTCCATTTAAAAAAGTGTGACACACATCTTCTCATAATTTGCTTAATTATAATTTTCACTAAGAAAACAAGATAGAGATTGTATAGTTTCTTACATTGCATAAAAGAAACTTGATCTGGCAACCATGTATCCAAAGTTGTTGATCGCACCTAGTAACAAAATCATAAGGCTCAGCCATTATCAATTTACAGATAGAAGGAAAAATGTATGTACAGAGCTAGCATATTCTGCTTTATTATACCCCTCTACAGAAAAGGAATCCCAGCTATAGCTTACAGAAAGTTCTCTTATAATACTGATTTGCAACTATTTGTACAGTCATATAGACATAACATTTTATTAAGAAGATTACAAAAAACATATAATTAGAAAACCATTGAAGAAAATTATTAGCAATAATAAAATGACTTCTGCTAATTGTACCAAGTGGTTTCACCAGATTGACCCACTGAATGTATGTTAGACCTCAGCTTGATGAAGAAAGGGTCTGGAAGGAATATGTGGGAAGGAACAAAGGGAGAAAACAGTTAGAGTAATTGGAAAGGTTGTATAAGCTGGCAAGCGGTTAGATAGTTAGGGTGGTACTTAAATACGAGATATGTTGTAAATATAGTAGTTTAGTGTGAGGCTTGAAGTCCCACATCATCTATATCTCTTTGTAATTCCTTTTCATTTAGTTATATAATAGAGCCTCAACTGTGTAGTTGAAACCCACGGATTTCAGTATATGCTTCTCAGGTCCTAATATTAAACATGGTACCAGAGGCTAACAAGAGAAACCCTAATCCGTGCCTTTTTGGTGGGCCCATTGTCCACTAAGTAAACTTTTTCCCGGAAACTGTGATGTTCGTTAGTTTCTAGCAGCCATCCAAGAGCGTTTGACCAGCATTGACCACTGTTGACCGGTGACCTTTCTAATGTATACTGACGACCTTTTTTGCATCGACTAACGACTTTTCCAACATCCACCGATGACTTTCCAGCATTGGCCGTTGACTTTTTTGACGCAGGTCTGTCTCTCCAGCACACCCAATGACTAGATTTGGTCCTTTTTCCCCTCCTGGGATTGTTTTGACACCTGTGGTTTCCAGCACCACTACTTCTATTGTGCACACGGGTCATAATTTTACTAGTTTGATTCAAACTCAACCTGTGGTCATTAGGTTCTTGATTCCGGTGCTTATGATCACATCTCTGGTAATAAGTCTTTATTCTCTTCTCTTGCTACCTCTGGTTACTTGCCTACGATCATTATGGCTAATGGTTCCCAAGTGCAGTCTCGTGGGGTTGGAATAGTCCATCTCTTTCCGTCACATTTTATTGATAATGTGTTTTATCTCCCTGGTTCCCCCTTTAATCATATACCATTAGTCGATTAACTCGTTCCCTTGATTGTCTTATCTCTTTTACCAAAGACTATTGTTTTATGGGACTAGGGTTTGGGGAGAAGAATTGGTGTCAGTTATAAGTGTAATGGGCTTTATCAGCTTTCCGACTCTTCTCGCACTTGTTTTGTCCAGGATTCTTTGCTCATTATCTATGTTCAACTTGGTCATCCCAATCTAAGTAAGCTCCAAAAGATAGTGCCTCGTCTATCAAATTTGTCTACTTTGTATTGTGAATCATGTAATTCGGGAAACATATCAGTTGTTCCTTTCTCGAAAAAGTCAATCGTTGTGCTTTATCTTCTTTTGGTTTGTTCATTCTAATGTTTGGGGCCTAAGTCATAATGAGTCTACCATAGGTTCTAGATAATTTGTCCCATTTATTAATGATTATTTTTAGTGCACTTGGTTATTTTTATTGAAAAATCGATATGCATTGTTTTCCATATTTCAACAGTTTTATCATGAAATTCATATTCAATTCGGTGTTCTTATCCGCACTCTTCGCAATGATAATGCATGTGAATATTTGTCTCACCAATTTCAAAATTTTAAGGTCTCTCACGACATTCTTCACCAAATGTCTTGTGTTCATACCCCCCAACAAAATGGGGTCGTTAAACAAAAGAACCGACATCTCATTGAAACAACTCGGACATTGTTACTCCATGAGCATGTCCCTTATCGATTTTGGGGTGATGCTGTACTCATTGCATGTTATCTCATGAATCGGATGCCTTCCTTTGTCCTTGATAACCAGGTGCCTCATTCTGTGTTGTTTCCACATCAACCTTTGCATTCCTTGAACCCCATGTGTTTGGTTCTACTTGTTTTGTTCATAACCTTAATCCTAGCCTTGATAAATTGGCTGCTTAGTCCTATAAGTGTGTTTTTCTTGATTACACTAGGTCCCATAAAGGTTACAGATGTTACTTTCCCACTCTTCTTCATTATCTAATCTTGGCTGATGTTATCTTCTTTGAGTCAGATCTCTACTTTGGGTTTTTTCATTCACCCCTGAGTCAATATTTACTGTCTTACCGCTTCCTCCAATCTCAGTTGAGTTCACATCACCACCACCACATTTTCCTCTTGCCCAGGATGATCCAATTTCTATCCGCCCCCTATAGGTATATCCCCGTCAGCCACCTCCACCTGAGATTGCACCTGCTCCTGTTGTTGCTGAGGTTTCTGCAAACTCTGCTTTGGCACCATCTCCGCCTCCAAATCCGGTCGTGCCCTACCCATTGCCCTCAGCAAAGGTATTCATACTACTCGTAATCCCTCACCCCATTATGTTACTTTGAGTTATTATTGGCTTTCACCTTCCATTTTACTTGTCTTTCTTCGTTTCCTTGTCTTCTGTGATTATTCTCAAGATTGTAGGTAAAATTTATCTCATTCAGGATGGAGACAGGCTATAATTGACAAAATGTGTGCCCTTCAAAGCAGTGGTATTTGGGATCTGGTTCCCCTTCCTTCTGAGAAGTCTGTTGTTGGTTGCAGATGGATAAACACTATCAAAGTTGGTCCTGATAATCAGCTGGATCGTCTCAAGCTCAATTGGTGGCTAGGGGATACACTTAGGTGTTTTGCCTACATATGAAGACACACTCTCCCCAAAAGTGAAAATGGCCTATGTTCGCCTTTCTTTCTTACTATGGTTGTTATCCGTCACTGGTCTCTTTATTACTTGGATATCAAGAATGATTTCCTCCATGGTGATTTTGCGAAAGAAGTTTATATGGAGCAACCTCCTGGGTTTGTTGCTCGGGGGGAGTCAGGCCTAGTTTGTCATCTCTGCATGTCCTTCTTAAGCAATCTCCACGATTTGAAAGATTTAGCATTGTTGTACAACAGTTTGGAATGAATCAGAGTGAGACTGATCACTCAATATTTTATCACCACTCTATTTCAGGATCCGTTTATATGGTGTTATATGTTGATGACATTGTCAATACAGGTGATGATGATTACAACATTGCTCAGGTAAAACAACATCTTTGTCATCATTTTTAGACAAAAGACCTTGGAAGATTCCGGTATTTCTTACGGATAGAGGTGGTCTAATACAAATATAGTATTGTGATATCCCAAAGGGAATATACTATGAATATTCTTGAGGAGACAACTCTGTTAAATGCTAAGTCAATCAACACTCCTATGGACCCAAATGTCAAGCTTGTGGCAAATCAAAGGGAGTCATTCTTAGATCCAGAAAGGTATAGAAGATTAGTTGGGAAGCTAAATTATCTCACAGTCACTCGACCAGACATCTCATTTTCTATCAATGTGGTAAGTCGGTTCTTGATTTCTCCTTGACAAGATAACTGGAATGCAGTGATTCGTGTTTTCAAGTACATCAAGACAACTCCAGAAATAAGTCTCTTCTATGGAGACAATCGTTATACCTGGGTTATGGGATACTCAGATGCTAATTGGGCAGATTGCCCCACTGATAGGAGATCCACCTTTGGTTATTGCGTATTTGTTAGAGATAATTTAATATACTGGAAAAGCAAGAAGTAAAATGTAGTTGTCAGATCAAGAGTTAAAGCAAAGTATCATTCCATGGCCACAACCACTTGTGAACAAATCTGGCTAAAACAACTACTTAAGGAGCTCCAGTTTGGAGACACTTGACTAACAACTCTCATTTGCGATAACCAAGCTGCTTTGCATATTGTTTCCAATTCAGTGTTTCATGAAAGGACTAAACACATTGAGATAGATTGTTATTTCATCAGAGAAAAGATCCTCTCGGGAGATATCATCACTAATTTTAATAACTTAAATGATCAATTGGCTAATGTATTCACTAACTCTTTGAGAAGTCCTCGAATAAATTACATATCTAACAAGCTTAGTGCATATGATCTGTATGCTCCAGCTTAAAGGGGAGTATTGCAAATATAGTAATATAGAATAGTTCAGTGTGAGGGACGAAATCCCACATCATATATATCTTTTTGTAATTCCTATTCATTTAGTTATATAATAGAGCCTCCATTGTTTAGTTGAAACACACATATTTCAGTATATGACTCTTGGGTGCTGATACTGAACATTACAGAAAGGAGTGGAGAGTTCTATCCGTTGATCCCAGTCTTGGAACTCAATTGTGGTGAAGGAACCCTTGTGAATGAGCATTCTCGTTGTTCTACCATTTCTCAATAACAGATACACAATTCTCTAATTTCCTGTCTCTTTGATCTGTTTTACAGCTATATTATCTGGCTGTTTGTTGTTTTCTCTCCCTAGAACTCTAACAATGTACGCGGCAACTTTTAGCAGAAGGTAAAAAAGTAGTTATTAAGGGAGCATAATTCTATCTCTATACACCAATTCATCCTGTAGTATTTTGATCCAAAAATCTCAAACATCTACTATCATTTTCCTGTCAAAACTCAACATAGAAGAGAACATGGTAAGCTAAAAGAAAGCAATGAACAATGTACACCTTCGATATATGCACTCCGAGACTCCGGTGAATCCCTGAACATTGCATGCAAATGAAAATCCCTAGGTTCACACTTGCCCATCGTGGTGCCCTGGAATTTTGAAATTAAATGTTAAATATCAACATCACCTCTATCCCAGATGAACCAAATAACGAGTATGGTAAGATTGAGGGAAAAATAAATAAATAAGAGAAAAATAAAATAAAAATTAGAACAAAATAATAATAAACAATTATATGTTAAACCATAAATTCAAATTATATGTTACAAAAAGAGTGATAAAACCTCATTAATTTCTATGCAGAATATTTGCAAAATCAAAAGTTCAATCTTACACGATTGCAAAGAAACACTTAGTATGGTTGGAAGAAAAAAATCACATTAATGATGCAATATAAATTGAACATCTCTTCCTGTTTCTACCCGATAAATTTCATGACTAACGTATGAAAAAAACTGATAGGAAAATTTAAACTCTTTATATATCATTTCGACTTAAAAATTTGTATTGCATGTTGTTCCAACAGAAATGACTTTCTCTTTCCCCTCATTTACTTCACGAGACAAACACCCTCAAATTGTACGATATTTCCTATTACTAAATGAATCATCAATGTTGAAACATGAGCTATCAGGTAATTTTTTTTTTTTTTTGTGATATTTATGATCCCAGAATCATATGAATCATTAATATCCGTATTTAATATCTGACGCACAACTGATGGCCATGTTTAACATGGTAACAGGGAAAAACATAAATGACTAAACAGAAAACCAGTAACAAACAGTAACAGAAAAGGTAAAAAAATGGAAAAAAAAAATTTCTCTTTAATATGGATAAAACAGAAATATTAAGAAACGTTGGTGGCATGATAAATTGAAAACCCTACTTAATGCTCTATTTTGATTTAGTAACTAAACAAAAACACTAATACCAACATCAACAATACTTTTGTCGAAAATTAGCAGGGGTCGGTGGCGGTTGATGAATCCAAATAAAAAGCAAGAAATTTTTTTTAAAAAAAAAACAGAAAATAAAACAATAAAATGAAATGAAAAATAAGAGAAAAAATAATGTTGGAGAAATATGATATAAAATATAAAATCATTAATGTGCCTTTACCTATCAGCTTTAGTTTTTAAGTTGAAATTGTTCTTTACATAGTATCAAAGCCTTTATAATTAAGCGATCGAGAGTTCGATTCTCACCACCTGACATTTTATTAATAAATAATTAAATACTGTAAAATTTCTTAACACAAGTAGGTGAGCTGTGCATTGTCCACAGACCACCCTTCAAGCTTAATGGACTCTAGCATAAAGAGGCGTGTTAGAGAAATATGATATAAATATAAAAACATTAATGTGCATTCATGCAAGTGCTTTTTGGGATAAAATGACTCTTTACAAATAAAAAAAAAACTAAATAAGAGGAAAAAAGTAAATATGAGAGAAAGGTGTGTATATATATATATATATATATGGAACAAGGACTAAAATGGATCATCTGGAACATAGAAAAAAATGTTTACCCCCCCCCCCCCCCAAGCGCCTAATAATTTTCCTTCACTCCGTCCTAAGACACATTATCTGTTAATCTATTTCTCACTCCATTAAGTTTTGTTTTACTACATTCTACCAAGTAAGTTTTGGCAGACCTATTCCTTTCTTTGTGACATGCTCTTAGTAGCAAATTTTTGTTATTACGGGAGCATATAAGGGTCTTCGATCAATATGATCAAATTATCTCAATCTATGTTCTCTTATGTTTTCAAGCATCGATACAACACTTATCTTTCATCGAATATTTTTATTTATTATCTTATCCATCATCGTATCACCTTAGATCCACCTTAACATCCTCATTTTCGTTATTCCTTTTTATGCTCATGTTGCTTAGTGTTGGCCAACACTCAGCTCCGTATAATATTTCAAGCCTTACTGTTATTCTATAAAATTTACCTTTTAGACTCTTCGAGATTTTGCGATCTCACAATTTTGATTCACTATGTCATTTCAACCAATCTACTTTGATTTTTGTGGTTCACATCTTCATCAATCCCCCCTTCCCCCGCCCCAAAAAAATGCTTCTACACAATTTTAATTTATTGTTAACACCGACCTTGATCTCACGAATACGCATAATATCATCTGCAAATAGCATACACCATGGCACGTGTTAAAGAATAGTATAAATCATTAAAGAGGCCTTCACCTAACAAATAAAGTTTTTGGGTTAAATGATTCTTTACATAGTATCAGAGCCTCGATGTCACGGATTTGATCCTCACCGCCCATCATTTAATTAATAAATAATATTGTGGAGTTTGTTAGCAGAGGTAGGTAGGTCCTGTGTATTACGCATCCTTCAAGCCCAATGGGCTTTCGTAAGAGGGGGCGTGTTAGAGAATAGTATAAATCATGAAAGAGGCCTTCACCTAACAATTTAAGTTTTTGGGTTAAATGGTTATTTACAGCACATCATCTTAGACATCTTTTGTTAATTCATACATAACTAGGGCAAAAAGATAAGGACTCAATGCAGAACCTTGGTGTAAACCGACTGTGATACGTAAATAACTTGAAGCTCCATTCTACGCTTTCACACATGCAGTAACACCATAATATCCTTGATTGCCTCTACATACTTTTACGGTACTTTTTTCTTCTTAAAAACCCACCATAGAATTTTTCTTGGAACCCTATCATATGCTTTTTCAAAATAATTAAAAAGAAGGATTTGTATATTTTTGAATTGTATAAATAACTATACAAGAATTCTCTATTTAAAGAGACTAAAAACACCTAATGGGCTAAGCCCAAATAAGCTTCTAGAGTATTCTAACTATTACAAAATAGTGATACAAACTAATAATCAAATAATTCTAATATTTATAATACTTCTCAAGCTGAGGAATAGATATTTATCACTCTCAGCTTGTTAGTAAGTTCTTGAAATCTATCATTATGAAGACCCTTAGTTAAGACATCAGTCAATTGACGACCAGAAGGAATATATGGAGTAGTGATCAGTTCACTGTCTAGTTCCTTTTTAATGAAGTGGGATCAATCTCAATATGTTTGGTTAGATCGTGTTGAACTGGATTGTGGGCTATACAGATAGCTTACTTGTTATCACAGTAACTTCATAGATCCTTCATATTTCACCTTGAGATCATCAAGAATCTACTTCTACACTTGATCTAGAAACCACATTTTGCTTTTTACTTCTCCATGTTATTAGATTTTCATAGAGAAACATACAATAGTCCGAAGTAGACCGTCGATCAGTCACGGATCCAACATAATCGGTGTATGTATAAACTTCTATGGATAGGTTTCCTCTTCTCTAGAAGAATAGTACTTTGCCTGGTGTGCCTTTCAGATATTGGAGAATCGTGTACATAGTTCTCAAGTGTTTCTCCCTCGGATCATGCAAGAATTGACTAACAACACTAACTGCATAAGCTAGATCGGGTCTAGTATGAGCTAGATATATCAATCTTCCCACTCTTCGTTGATATTGCCCTTTGTCCACTGGAGGGTTCTCATTTCAACTTCCTAGTCTGTGATTCTGCCTAATCGGATTACTAGAAGGTTTACACCCAAGTTTTCCTTTTTTTTAACAAGGTCAAGAACATACTTCTGTTGAAAAAAAAACATCCCTTGCTTTGAATGAGCAACTTCTATCCCAAGAAAAATATCTCAGTTTTCTAAAATCTTTAACTTCAAATTCAGCAGTCAGTTTTTTTGGCAAAGCACATTTCTCACCTATATCATCCCCAGTTATAATAATGTCATCAACATAAACTAGAAGGATAATGGTCTTACCTTCCTGAGAATGTTTAAAGAAAAGTGTATGATCCCCTTGATTTTGCTTGTATCCTAATGAAAGCATAACTTTGGTAAATCTTCCAAACAAGCACACGAGGATTGCTTCAAACCATACAACGCCTTCTTTAACCTGCAAACTTTATTATCTCAATTCGTAGAGTTAAATCCTGGTGTGATTTCCATGTAAACCTCCTCTTCTAATTCGCCATTTAGGAAGGCATTTTTCACATCAAATTGTTTCAAATCCAAATTAATGAGCAGCGAGGGACAATAGAACTCTTACAGTGTTCATTTTGGCCACTGGAGCAAATGTTTCTTCGTAATCAATGTCATAGGTCTGTGTGTACCCCTTGGCTACTAGTCGAGCTTTATACCTCTCAAGAGTCCCATCAGAATTATACTTTGGAGTATACACCCATTTGCACCCTACTGTCCTTTTTCCATTTGGCATGTCAACAACTTCCCATGTATTATTCTTCTCCAAAGCATTCATCTCGTCATGCATGGCTTGAACCCCATTATCATCCTTTAATGCTTCATGTACTGATTTCGGGATTAAAACGGAGTCAAGTGCTATAATAAAACTTCTATGCTGCATAGAGAGATTCTTAGAGGAGACAAAAAGAGAAATAGGGTGTTAGGCACAAGACCTTTTCCCTTTCCTTATAACAATGGGTAAGTTATCAGAATTAATATTAGGCTCAGGAATAAAAGAAATTGCGTATTCATTACTTACCAGCGGTTCAGGCGATTGCAATTGTTGGTGGGGCAGTGTGAGTTGTTTCTTCCCTTGGTACAATAGTTCGAGTGTCCTAACTTTGTGTATTTTCTATCTATCAATAGGAGGCATGTCACATGAAGAATCAGATAAATTTTCAGTCTCAGCAACTAAGTCTTCCTTCTCATTGTCATGTATAGGTAAAAGAAAGAGAGACTTACAACCTGTTTGGATCCTCTTATTTTTAAGCTAGAAGCTACTTATAAGTTAAAGCTAAAAAAAGAGCTTACAAAAAGAAGCTAAAAGCTGTTTGGAAATTACATAAAAAACTTAGCTTAAAAGTTACTTAAAAGCACATATTTCAAGAAAATTATCTCTCTCTCCATCTTTATCACTCTTCATTTTAAAAAAAGCACACAATTCAAGAAAAACATATAAGAGCTTAAAAAAAAAGCTCCTCCTAGAAGCTTTTAGTTTTCAGCTTTTTTCTTGAATATAAAAAGAAGAGCTTTTCATTATAAGAGTTTTTCTCAAAACCTGTTTGGCCTAGCTTATGCTTATAAGTAGCTTCTAGCTTAAAAAATAGAGGATCCAAACAGGCACTTAGACTCGAAGAAAATGGATGAAGCTTCTATACTGTTCTCCACCTGAAGCTGAGGGTGTAGAAAGTAGGACTCAAATTCATGGAAGCTAACATCCATAGAGACAAAGAATTTACGACTTTAAGGGTGGTAACATTTGTATCCTTTCTTGTTGGAAGCATAACCAAGGAAGACACACTTAATAAAATGGGAAAGACGCTAATTAACATATTCTGTACCATTATCTGATCTCAAGCGTTTGATACTTTTACCAAACTGGGTTTCAATCATATAATAAAACTGGATAAACAACTGTGTTACTTCTGCCTTATCTTTCATCAAGAATATCCATTTTATCCGAGTATAATCATCAATAAAAAAGACAAACCACTTAGCATCAGAAACATTAGGGACCTTGGAAGGCCCCTATACATCAGAATGTATAATGGTAAAAGGTTCAACACTTTTTATTTCACTAAAAGAAAGGATACATGATAATGTTTTGCAAACTGACAGACATCACAATTAAAAGACTCAACAAATTGTGACACAAACAAAGGCGGAAATATAGACTTAAGTAAACTAAAAGGAGGATGACCGACGCGCTTGTGATGAAGCCTAATAAGAGAATCTGAAGTAGACTGACGAGTCATCAAAGTCTGATCCCTGGTACCTTCTGCAGAAAAGTCTAGAACTAGATAATACAACCGACCCTGCTTCTTAGCAACTCCAATCGTCTTCCCTGTGGTGAGATCTTGAAAAACACAATGAGTAGGGAAGAGCGGTAGGTAAGAACATGCAATGTTGACTAACCTCAGGAGTCATAGAGTTCCATAGCCACGTCATAATAAGAGAGTCCTCATCATCCCAATCAGCAAATTTTGGATCTATTTTAGCATGAACAGGTCCTTCAAGATGAGCAATCTTACGACGCCCTTTGAGAATCGTACGAACAAGCTGAAACCATTGCAAATAATTTTTTCCATTAAGACGATAATTCTGATGGAGAGCAGGCAAATCATTTGGACTCAGAGAAGCCATAGAGCATATAACAGATGATTGAATGGATGGAGTGTCTTCAATGCTTGACATAAAGCTTGCTAAAACACAAAAAGATCAGAACTGTCAGAGCAATCTTTTGAATCTGGTTCGAACAAACAAATCAGAAAGCTTTTTGATATATCCAAACAAGCCCTTTTGAAAAAGAAGACGATTAAATGATGTCAGATCAAACAAACGAGCACAGATCCAAAAAAAGCAAGAAGAGGCAATCAGAACCTAAGTGGTCCATGGCGGAAAGTCACCGTCACGCACCGGTAAAGCTGTCGGCACGTGGGAGTCACGCGCAGAAGGACTGGTGGCGAGTGAAAGCACGTGTGAGGTCCGTCGGAGATGGGCTTTTCACGGCGAGGTAGTCCATCTAATTGTCATGGTCATTCTTTAAGTAATCCTTCCTTGAATTCTATTTGTTTTTCCTCCTTTAACTTCCATCATCTTATTATTGGGTTCTAGGCACTTTTTAGCATTTTTTGTACTTTGTTTAACTGAACCTTTAAAATCACCAACTTATGTTGCGTAGCTACAAATTCTTAAGGGTAGGCTTTACAATCTACACATGAGGTTCTATCCTCTCTTCTAGTAAGAAAGAAATCAATTTTGCTATAATTTTGGCTATTGCGATAAGTTCCAATTTTCTAATTGCATCCTAACCCCTTGGGTATATCTTGCCCACCACGCTCGCCCATTAACATATGAGGACCCTAATATACTGATAGAGACCATCTTATAAAAAGAATAAATTTAGGAGGTTTGGGCCATTGCCGAGTCAGCATAAATTTCCTAAATTGACCCTCAACAGAATGAGGTGCTGGCAAGAGTTAGTTAAAAGGGAGGATGGGTGCTGAAGGGATGTAGGGAATTGGATATTTGTTATTGGGATCTTGGGAGAGTGTGAAGCCTCTCCAATTGCTTCATTGTTCGATCTTTCTTTTCTGCCATTATCATTCTTCTTTTCATGTCATTGTGGTTCTGTAACTTTCTTCTTTTCAGTATTTCAATTCTCAGTCAGTTGTAACTTATGTTTCTTCAATACATATATAAAAAATTTGGGTTTTCCAGGCCAAAAGACTTATGTTCTATTTATCTTCTACTGATTCCGTAGTTTGGTTCTTATCATATACTTTTCACCAAATCAAGAGGAAGATGTGTGACCTTACCTTGGGGAAAGGACCCTAGCCCATTTTTCGCTAATCCTAGGGTGTGACGCAACAGGCCGCTAAGACGGATCATTTTCATTAAAAAATTATAATGGTTCATTTCATAAGGATAGCTATTTTATTTTATAGGTGGCTAACTATGCCTGATACTAACCCTCCTCCTTTATCCTGACTCAGACAGGTTATATAAACATAGGGGGAGTTCTTAATGAACAAAAGCATTGTTGTTTCTTCGTAAAATAAAATAATGGGTTCTGAAATGCATATACTTGTTCCGGCAGTCTGCACATTCCCTGTTTACAGGAAGCTTAAGAAGCCCCTCTAAGATCTGCATATAGGCACAACATAAGAAGCGTAAGTTAATAAAATAAAACAAATGCAATTTAAACAAAACTACATTGAAAATATGACCATGCTGGTACCCGTAAACTACGAAATAACAAACTAAGAAATGCTACAACTATATGTCTTATATGCACCTGCAATTTTAATATGAAAGACCTTTTACTTCCTAACTCAAAGGTCAGCTGAACTATGAAAGAAACAAATTCTCCAAAGAATATATGTACAAATGAGACAGTATGTTAAAAACGAAAAGTTAATCCTATATAAATATATAGGGGCAAGATATTCTTACACCGGTGTAAGAGTTAGAAGTCTTACACTCAATCTTGACCATTGATCCACTTGTATCTAATGACTCACATTACTAAAAAATTTGAGCACTTAGATATAAGTGAGATTAACGGACAAGATTAAGAGTGTAACTTACACTGGTGTAAAATGATCCTGACCCATATATATATATATATATATATAAAATGATTCAAATAATTCATAATCTGACAACCACTTCAGAATCTTCTTGTGAATCATGGACTCCAGTTTCGTCCATAACTCGTACGTGTTCGTGAACTCGGACACGTGCTAAAAGAGACTTTTATCAATATATTTTCTGATCATTGCCATTGTTTTCCTATTCATGATTTCCCATTCCTTCTCGGTTTTTCCTTCAACCCTCTCTTCATGGACGATGGGTTCATACATGTCCTTACAATACAGATGGTCTCCAATCATAGGTCTCCAGCATGTGAAGTTGTCCGCAGTTAGCTTGAACATATCTCCATCATGTGAAATTCCACTTGTCTCCATCTCATCTTCTTTAGAACCCTTCGAACCCGGGCTCTAATACCACTGTTGGGACGAACTCGGTTCCTCAATCTCAGCTAAGAAGCCTTTGCAGAAGTCAAACGTCGAGCTCGGAGATCGGCACAATCAGAGGTCAGTCTATACGCAGCAGAAACAGAAAATTGCGAAGGAAAGAGAGAGAAAATGAGCACAAACAGCTTTTAACGTGGGAAAACCTTCTCTAATGCGAAGAAGTAAAAATCACTGGACATTAGTCCATAATCAAACTTCCTTTATGAAAATAATGGGTTACAAAAGATCAAACTTTATCAATAATGGTGGTACACTCAAACCTTACCTACAATGGTGGTATTCACTCAAACTTCCCCAAGGAGGTCTTATACTCAAGCTTCTCTATAGAGGTGCTCTCAAAATTATCTCACAAAAATGTCTCTCAAGCTAACCTCTCGTCCAACCCCCAACTAATGCTTATATAGGGGAGGAGAGAAAGTTCTAGAATATCAAAAGTGGGGTTTAGGGTTTCTTGAGCCTCGCTCACCAACATTAAGCCTTGTGCATTTAAGAAGGAAAAGCCCCACATATCCGAGTAAAAATATTAACTAATCTCTCATTGGTGATTGGCCTAATATTTGGTAGGAAAAACTTTGAGTTTTTTTTTTGTAATAAAAAGTTTAAAGGAGGGGAAGTTGTCCTATCCAAAGCCAGGCATGCCACAAGCCTTAAAAGAATGGTATTTATAGAGGTTAAACTACTACTTTTGTCCCTACGATTTATTTTAAGTTTTGAGTTGGTCGTTGGATTTACAATTGAGCCAATTTAGTTCCTATATTTTCTCTCAAGATACAATATAATCCTCTCTGCCACTCCACCACCCCCTTCCCTCCCCTAGAAAAAAAAAAAAACTTGGTAAGGATGTCTATAAGTCATTTTTTTTATTCCCCCCTTTAAAACATGAGTCATTGCACATTTCACAACTATGTATAGGAGCTACATTATTTCACAGTAGTGACAGTGCAGATTTGCACATAGTCTCAATTCTTTGTTTTATAAACTCTAGGTACCTGAATCAAGATGATTTGAGAATCCAAGAGGCAAAATGCCACATCAACCGATTTCTAGCAGGCAAGAAAATAACAAAAAAAGAATTACACTGGACATAGAAAAAAACAATGTTATATGGAGCTGAATGTTGGCCAATACATAGGCAACATGAGCATAAAATTGGAGTAGCGGAAATAAGGATATTAAGATTGATGTATGGTCGTGCGAGGATGGATAAAATAAGAAATGAAGATATTCGACGAAAGGTAGGAGTAGTACCTGTGGTTGTTGAAAAGATGAAAGAACATAGATTGTGATGGTTTAGGAACGTAATGAGAAGACACCTAGATGCTCTCGTAAGAACAAAAATTTATTACCAAGAGCTTGACACAAAGAGAGGAAGAGGTAGACTGAAACTTACTTGGAGGAAGGTAGTAAAACAAGACTTAATGGAGTGGATATTGACTGGCGGACAGTGTGCCTTACGACGGATTGGAGGAAAGCTATTAGCATTGTGGAGGGTTAGACCTGTTTCTCTTCCTATGTTCCAGATGGTCCATCTTTAGTCTTTTCCCCCTTTATCTCCCTTCCTTTCTCTCTTTATATCCCATTTTATTTATTTTTTAATTTTTATTTTTAATTTGTTTCCTTCTTTTCTTTTATTTCTTTTCTTCCTCTCAATCTTTCTCCTCTTATTTATTTATTTATGCATTTTGTTTTTCCTTTCTTATTTTTTTATTTTTACCTTCTTATTCTTTTAGTTCTCTTATGTATCTTTATTTTCACTTTATTTTAATTTATTTTTCCTTTTAATTGTTTGTTGTTGTTTTTTAATGGATAATGTTTTATATATATATTTTAAATATTTTTATCTTTTTTTCTTAATCTTTTTATACTTTTCATTTTATTTCATCTGCCACCGACCCCAACTAATTTAAGATAAAGGTGTTGTTGACGTTAATTGAAAAAAATTAAATAAAGGGACTACTTAATCACCAGACTAAAACATAAAGAAAATAATACATAAACCAAACTTAAAAACTCCTATAGGAATCTATGTATTGTGGGGGATAAAACTATGGTTAGTGGTTAAGTATACTACAAGACAAAAATCTTCAAATACTATGTGTTAGCTCTGAATTTTGCCTGATTTAGCAATACATTTCCTATGCTATTGGGCTGTGTATAGTTTCAAATGCAGGTGAAAAGTGGGTCAAATTGTAAAGAATAGGCCCATAATGGTGTTTAATTAATTGTAGGGCATTTATGTATATAAAAAAAAATTGTAGGGCATTTTTGTGGTTTTGCTAACAAACTTTACTCTATATTATAGAAAAGAAGAAAAAAAAAAACCACATGGACATATGCTGAAGTGAGAAAGATCTGGACCGTGGATGAAGTGGAAGATCTGATGGACAGCAATGCTTGAAGCTTTTGGGAGTTTTTGTTAGCTTTAATTAGGATTTTCAGATTTCACTTACAGAGACACTTCATATAGATTTTTAGTTTTCAATCGCAAGTTCGTTTTCAGTTCTTGAGTTTTAGTTTTCAAGTTTTTTGACTTTTGTAAGAACGTGCAAGTTTCTTCTCTTGGAGAAAACCAAGATTAGCTGATTTCATTTTGCCTCTCTGTAGCATTTTCAATTTCTGAATTTGTGGCTTGAGTTGATGGTCTGTACTCTTGACTTTAATACTGTTTTCTGCATTTAGACGTTGGAGAGTAATGAACATCTTCTTCTTCTTGATGATTTTCTTTGCTGCAATTTTCGTTAATATCAATAGCTAAATCTTTTTCTGGAATCTTGAATGAAGTAATGAGTACCTTTTAATCAATATTACCTGCTGAGCATGTTTCTTAAATTTCGATTAGCAAATCTTCTAGTTCAAGAAGCCATGGGAATGGATCTTGAGCCTTCTTTTACATGAATTTTGATTGGGAAATCTGGTTTTGTGATATTTTGTTAATTGAAACCTCCAAGATTAGGGATAATCTGGAGTGGAAAATTAAGGGTTCGTCATAATTGGATTAGATTTAAGCTTAGGGGACTAGTTTGAGTCAATTCAATGTTGGATTTGAGAAAATTCAGTAAATGCTACAACACTCAATTTTCATCAAGTTAGGTGCTATAGCAGTTAAAAGCAGGGATGCAAAAATACATGGGAAAGTCATGAAATTTGAGGTTCCAATGTCTTGTGTCTCATTTTAATTGTTTGTACGAGATTTGAATATTCTTAAGCTCTTGAAAATGAGTTTATAATTTCAGCAATTGAATTTTTAATAGAAAAACTAAATACCTTGCAATTCAAGAAATTAGGATAGAATATATAAAAGAAACTAATACCACCGTTCTTTGAGGAACGATCTCAATCTTTTAGATTCCTATATTAGTATAGTGATTGTTAGCACTGGGCATTAGTACAATTTAAATTCCTGTGTATACAAAGTGGACCACTCAGGGATAGCTCCCAAATTATCACCACTCAGCCAAGTGGACCATGGGTGTCACTCCCATGTGCCATCTCATTGCTCAAACACAAAACACACAGTAAAATAAAGCCACCAAGCAATAATTAACATAAAAACATTTCCAATATTTATCAAAGCATAACTTTCATATAATCCACTTAACAGAACATGCTGTCAAAACATTACACAAATTCAACTAGTGCTCTTAAAATCAAAGCCCGCATAAGGATTAACAAAACAAGACAAAATAAAAGCGGCAGGGCAAAAGGTGTGAAGGAAAAATGGAACCTTGTTGTGCTTGGCAATGAGTTCCTTAGAGACGGATGCTTTCCCGTTCATGTTTGCGAAACCTTGGGTGCTTCTGTGACGGTGCAGAGAGTCTCACTCGTTGATAAGAAATGAAAATGTTGAGGAGTGTGGGATTCAACAATCGATAAGAAAGGAATAGTTGGAGAAGCAGGAAAAATGATTTTATTTCCAAAACACGGAATCCAAAAAGTCTCTGCCTTTCCTTTGGCGGGACCTCCAACTATGCCAACATCATCACTCCCTCTTTCTTTTTTCACTTTTACACATCAACTTGGTTGGCAAAACCAACACAAATCAGATCTTTCATACCCGACAATTACAAATTCCAACGCTTCTCCTTTTTCTTTTGTTCTTCTCATCGTTTTAAAACATAACTCCTAGATACATATATCATTGCAGGCACAATCCGGCAATCCGTGGACCATACTACTTTGGATTGATGCGGAACATTATAATTAAAAAAAAAAAAAAAAAAAAAACTGACAAAATATTTTAGTTTGAAAAGAGTTAAGTAGATAAATGATTAACAATTTTTAACAATAATAATAAAATTAAATTTATATTGATTTTAATAACTATAACTTTTGACTAATTTGTCCTTCTATTATATTTTGTTATAATTGAGAAAACCAAATGCAAATGAATTTATGCTCATGAAAAGATGAATGTATATTTCTAATAAATTTAGTATATGGTGGAGGGAGGGAGAGACCGTCACGGTCACGGGCCTTTAAATTTGAGTATAATTTTTAATTTTTTTAGTTATAATATTGAATACATTTTTTATTTTTTTCATATAAATAATTATAATTTTAAAGAAGAATATATATCACAATTTCGTTTCCTTCCACATGAATTTTTAGTCCCGCCATTAACTATAACGATATATTTTTGTATTTAATGGGCCGTTTGACGAGCTATAACGAAAATAATTTTTTATATATTTGTTTTCTAATTTCTTTAAATTAAAATTATTTTGTGTTCATATTAATATCTAAAAAGCCTTTTTATGTAAAAAAACATATTTTTACTCGTTTCTGTTAAGAGAAAAGTTATACTTTTTTTTTTTTTTGTAAATTGAGAAAAGTTATACTTACAACTTATTAATGTTTACAATCTTTTATAATCATATTTTAACCGTTAATTTTCGTCAATCAAAGGTTATAATTTATTATGAATTAATAATTAATTAATGAGTTTAATTTGTGAAAATAATAACCGTTGATTGACGAAAATCAACAGTTAAAATATGGTTGTAAAATATTATAAACAAAAATAGGTTGTAAGTATAAATTTCCTTTTATGTTAAAAGCATAAAATCTTGGCTTAAAAAAAAATTAACTGTTTAACTTTTGCTTTTTTCAAAAGCTATCATATATTCTTATTATTTTATTTAAAATTTTAATGATTGATAAGAGGTTTAGTGTTTGTTCTTTTAAATTATATAAAATTGTTTACCAAAAAAAAGAAAATTATATAAAATTATGTCATTTTAGTCAAAATTATTATATTTTGTGATTAAAGAAACAAAAATTATAGTGTAAAAAAATGAAAGGTTTTTTAATTTAAATATTAAATAAAAACACTAATTTTAATTAAAATAACTTTCTTTAAAAAAACATATTTTTCCCTTGATATGGAATAACACATTAAAAGGCCCACACCTTCGTCATAATGAAAAATGTCTCAAAAATAATATCTTAGGAAACAAAAGCTGCCCAACTACTTCTGCAATCTCTGCAAAACTAAACTTATTTCAAACTACCTAAGAACCAATTGGAGGACTTTATTGCCTCACCATTTGCCAGCAATTTGCTGGGGCATCCCCCAAATTGGTTATCACAACACTATAAATACAAGTGTATTAAACAAAGCTACACATATTCTTTTACATAAATAAATCAATTTACACAAAATTTGTCATCACACCACTAGTGTTAATCAAAGCTACATATATTCTTTTATATAAATAAAATTATTTATACAAAATTTGACTTGAGTGTCAGTATATTTTGCAAGTGCACATCTCACTTATTCCAGTGAAAGCTTATGAGTTAAAGTTATATCAAATCTTTACAGAAAAAAAAAAAAGTTACATCAAATCACTTGTAGAGAAAGATCATCTAATTTTCATCAATGATATTATAAAACTTTTTATGCTTGCAGTTCATAAAAATAAAATTCATTATTGTAAGACAAACAGTGTTGAAAATATAAGATTTCAGATAAATATTATTAGCATAATATACTCCGCAAGCGATAGAGAAATAAGAAAGGGATAATTTTAAAAAAAAAAAGGAAAATTTTAACGAAGAGAGTTTTTTTTTTTCTTTTTCGTTTCACTAGATTTCATTTTTGTAAAACCACAAAAATTCCACATATTTCTAGATATTTTATTTATGAATGTGGAATCATTATAGTGTAAATTCTCTATAGGCCACAATTTTTCTCAGTGCACTTAAATATCTGATGTAGGAGATTGCCAAAATTCATGTTATCAAAAAAAAAAAAAAAAAAAAAATTCAATTTTTTTTTTTGGTAAAATAAAAAAAATCAAATTTAATTCTTAAAAATTTATTTATTTATTTATTTTTGGTGTGGATTTTTAAAAAATATTATTATTATAAAAGTAAATGTATATTTCAAAAATAAAGCAAAATCAATACTTTTTTTTTGTCCAAATAATTATAAAATTAAATTATTAATTTTTATCAACAATTGTCATTTCTATAAAGTACACGATCAAAAATCTAAAACCAGATTCCGTGTCCAAGTGAAAGCAATTATCATGATGCGTATTTTGCTTAAAATTTCAATCTTCATTGGAGAATTACCTTTTTTTTGTTTAATTTTCTTATCAATAGTTCATTTATCACTAATAATTATATGCTTTTTTTGCTTCTTTCTAACATTTTGGTTGGGGGAGTTACATCCAACGTTGCTCGGTTGTATCTTATGCTTGTGCATTAATGCGTATAGCGTATGCAATTAATTTTGAATAAACTTAATTTTGCATGAGAAGTAAGTTTATTATGAAGTAAAATCATATATATGGAGTCCCTTCGGGGACATCCGATCAAAAAAACGTATATTTGTATATCTAGAAGGCATAAATGTCTCCCACCGCAGTACAAAAGCAACTATTTTCAGCGGTTAGGCATACCCCAACTGAAATTTTAAAGGGAAAAATATTTTTGTTTTTACTAAATAAATTTTTTTATTTTCTATCATATTTATATAAAAATGAATGAATCTATTATAAAAAGAAAATAATAAGTGCACGACCAAAAAAAAATTCTGCAATAAAATTAAAAATATTATGTATTTTGTTGGTTGGGCATCAACTACCAAAAAAAAAATGTTAAACCCAATTTTTGAAAGAAATTAAAGTCCATTCACTCTCTCTGAATTGATGTAAACAAACTACACATTCCAAACAAGCTACAGCACGAGCTTATTAGCCATATAACCTTAAGATTATGAAGAAAAAAATCACTTGTGAGCTACCTTTCTCGATTAGAGTATTTTTGTCATGAGTACAAATTTCGCATGGGTTTAATCTTTCTTAGTTTTTAAAAATAAAATTATTTCCTATACATAAAAATTGGTGAAGCTATATGAAAAAATAAAATAAAAATAAACATAAACCTATATATTTGTATGTGTTTCGGAAATAAGATAATTTTATCTTCTGTAACAACCTGATTTCACATAGTAGTAAACACCGAAGGCCACTCAATCCATTTCGCAACCATGTGTCTCCTAACAGCTTGATACTGTCAGATTCTCCCAGCTAACAGAAAAAAAATTCAGTACTCATGTTGTTCCACATAATGGACCACGCATGCCCAAGTTCCTTTTAAAAGAAAATTTTAGTTCTACATTCTTACAAATCCAATGTACCTTGGGGGGAAATATATGTTGAATGTTACTATGTAAATCTTGAAGCTTTCAACTTATATCAATCATCTAGGGAAAAACTAGCGTACAAGTATATGCAAACGGATGAGAATTTAATCAAGGTGACAAAATTGACTGATTCTTCACAGAGGGTATGCCGAAGAATGTTGAATGGAACTGAACCTAACTTTTCACATGAAATCATAATCGTCCAGAGCATCATATGGTTCAGCAACCAAATCCTCGACTTTGTCAACATGAAGCTGCTTCTTCTTGCCACCTACATACACACAATTACACAAACACAATTACACAAACACAGACACAACCCACCTTGAAGACACCCAATAAAAGAAAATGAAAGATCAACATAAATATAACGGCAATGTAGGAGGATTTTAAGCCAAGAGACTTGCCCGTCTTCTTTTTGCCAGCGTTGGCTTCTTTCTCAGCTTTTAACTTTTCATTTGCAATACCAGTTATGGAAGATGCAATATCTTTGGCATCTGTTCCTTTCAGAGAAGTCATTGACAGTCTCTTTACTTCCTTAAGTAAACCAACATAATGAAAACTTTTCTGCATTTCATCAATAAGGTGATTAAGATGCCCTTTCGACAAATGTTTAGGGAAGGAGGGAAGTAAGTTAGCAGAGATATGTAACTCACCTCAAAAGGACTAAGCTTGTGTGAAATGAGCTCTGCACACTCCAAGAAATCACTCTCAGATTTGGGAATAAAAGTATCAAGATTCTTTTCAACACCTCGTCCACCAAACAATTCCTTGGTTGACTTGTAATCTGCTTCTTCAACCAGCCTGCAATTCAGTTCATAATAAAATAAGAAACAAATTTAAACCACCAAAGGTTGCTTTAACTAAATTAACAATTTCTTCCTTTTAAATGCTATCCTCATGCAGAGCCTATATAACAAATAGCACTAATGATTTAGTAGAGAGAATTTTTTTTTTTTGATAACATAGTAGAGAGAATTTTATTGAAGTTACTTAGGGTACGTTTCGTTTGGAGATAATAGGGAGTGAATTTTTAAGTAAAATTGCATGAAGTGAAGTGTGTTTGGAAATTTCCTTGAATGTTGGTCTCTGCACTTATCATTGTTGACTGATCAAACATTCATCATTGTCATCTATACCATTGACCTTTAGCTTTGCATTGTTCACCAACAGCATCTGCAATTTACCACCGACTTTCACTGCAAGCATCATTCAACATTTGCAGCTATTGCAACATTCATCGTAAACTGTTGCAAGGTTCACCTTCAGCTTCCGCAACATTCACTTGTGGGTTCAATCTCTATGGAGCAATGTGTCCATCGGGCTCTGGAGAAGCACATTAGTTTTGGTTGCCGTTGCAGTTACTGCCATATAGGTGGCAATTGGATCCATTAATCCACCAACCATCCACTTCATCCATGAATATATTCAACCAAATCCATCCAATTGTAGAGAAAAGTTTCAATGGATTGGGTCAATTTTCATTAATACATGGTTAATGGATGATCCAACAAATCTTTTAAATTATTGGACTAAAAGTAAATTGGAATCCAGGTCTAATAAAAAGTTCAGCCTGTGGGCCACCGATGGTTTTTAACTTCTACAATATTTACTATCTTCTCTCTGCTGTAGAGGCGGCAGTGGTGTTTCCTCCAGCAAGCCTCAGCAATACTTCTGCTAACAGTGCAACCGCACTGTCTCCAGTGCCCCCTTCCTCCTCTGATCACTTCTGCCCCAATTGCTGCGGTGGCCTCATGAAGTGGAAAAATATATTTTCAGAGTAAGAAATTCCAAAGAATGAGAATGATAGAACTGGACTAGAATTTAGGGAATAACCAGGGAAAACAGATGAGATTTCTTTTGATATGAACGCCCTTATCCCTGGATTAACGGAGAAACTAAGTTTAAGAAGAGAAAGAATGATTATAAGCAGCTGTCCCCTAGGAATTCGGGAGCCTGGTCTCTTCCATGCACTCAATTGTTACCACTCAGTAGTCTCTCTTCCCTGCCCTATTTTTACTTATATCCTAACTACTGACCATTTAGAGAAATATCCTCCAAGGTTAGAAAATCCTAACTGCTGTATCTAACAATATCTCTTAATCTCAAATAACTCTATCTAATATATCTAACAATATCAAGTAATTCTATCTACTATATCTAACGATATCAATTAATATCAAGAAACTCTTTGTAATATATCTACCAATGTGAATAAACTCTATTACTAATAGGCCTGACCCCTAGATCATTAGGCTCCTTATTTCTTCTCACATTCACCTTCCTAATCGGGGGCCTGCTACTAACACACACACACACACAAAGAGAGAGAGAGATAATAAGAAAAAGAAAGACTAAACCTTAAAACCACTCCCCATTAAACCCCGACTAGCTCGGATAGGGGTGAGGGCAATCCTTGTACGCAATTTTACCCTTACATATTTGCAAAGAGGCTGTTTTCCAGAAAAGAGTAAACCTTAGATATAAAAAAATGAATATATATAATTTTAAATGGATGGGTCGAATATCCATCTACAATAAATGATTAATGGATGGGTTGGATATTTATTTATTAAATGAGTTGTGTTCACTACCATTTGAAAATCTGATGAGCTTGGGGTATAAGTTATACCGTATAACTGTCATTTTGATCCTATATTTTAAATAAAATATAGTAGATATCTAATACATTTAATTGAAGGAAGAAACGAGCTTTTAAGGGGTTAATGTTTACTCCATAAAAAGAAAATACAATAAAATAAATTAAGGAGTAAACTTTTCCCCCTAAAATTTAAGGGGATACCAAACACAACCTAGCGTCAAATTTAATGGGAACGAAAATAGAGAGCACATATCTCCCATAACTCAGACACTCAGCAAATGATAAATCTGATCAAGACTTCATTCGTATCTGTTGATAACACTCATAATGGAAAATGTACACTAAAACTAGAAATTATCGTTGGTCATCTACCAGACAAATATGTTAAAATTTTGATTTTCTTATATTTCATTATCCAACATAATTAATAGCTTAAAAGTACCATAGATATTCAATCTAGCTTGTAATTTAAGTCATAAACGGAAAGGAGAAGGACTTTCAAGCTTCAACATGGAAATTGGTAATCAAGTATTCAAGTCAGACTTGGAAGCCTATGAATTAAAAGGGCGAGCTCATGCTAAGATTGCAGACCCATCTAAAAATAAAGTAATGCAGAAAGCTACAAGAAGGACTCGTTATCCTTCCTCCTTTTGCAATCCTTCTTGTTAGAATATCTAGAAAATATCATATAATATTAAGATTATACCCTAAAAAAGTTTAGAAGATCCGTAAGATTTATTTCCCAATTTCTTTATATTTCATGATAGGGATTAGTTCTTTGTCTTTTGTATCCCTTCGTATCACATTATTATAGAATCTTATTCAGTCTTTATTCCTTTATCCTCCTTCATACTTAAATCCCTATAATTTCAACATGGCATCTAAGTACTACCATCTTCCGTGGCATGTTACCATCACCATTCTCACCATTCTGCTGCCAAGTTCTCATAAATTTGGAGCTCTACTTTATTTTCACGACCATGATCCTACTCCGGTTTCCAATCTCAACTACCATGTCGCATTCTGGCAGCCAGTCGTGCGTCTTCTGGCCAGCGTTGCGATTTTCTAACCACCGTGTGCTGTTATCTCTTTGATACTTCATCTTTCTGGCAACCTCCTTTAATCATCTGCTATTTCCAACTGCCGTATCATCATTCTGGCAGCAGTTTCACATCTTGCTGCCACTGTCCGCAGCTTCTCCTGCAACTTTTCCGGCCGCCAGAAAATTTTCCAGCAACTGTTTTGGCCAGTGACCTCCGCATCTGGAGCAGCTCTTCTTTTCCAGCCATGTTTTGTGGAGCTCAAATGTATTATTTGGTTATTATTCCTTGTTAAAAGGTTTAATTGTAACAAGCTTAAAGGTTAGTAAGCTATAGCTTGAGCCGTTATAATATCTAGAAAATATCGTATAAAATATTCAAATTAAGATTATGTATTGAAATAGTTTAGAGTATCCTAGAGGATGTCTTAGGATTGATTTCCATATTTCTTTATATTTCATGATACGGATTAGTACTCTGTCTTTTGTATCACTTCATTATAGAATATTATTCAGTCTTTATTCCCTTTTCTCCCTCTTTACCTAAATCTCTATAATCTCAACACTTCTTTTCTACTAATAATAGTTCTTTTAAATTAAAAAAAATCAGTTCCTTGTCATATAAGAACCTTAGCTAGTCTAAACAACCTCACAAATCACTGTACATGTTCAAGTGCAAGTAAAATAATACATAGCTCTAGTGAAGAAGAAATTGTACTGAAACAACACATGAAGTATAGAGAGACTACTTTGTTAAGGAATCCAAACCAAGTTTCAATAATATTTCATCTTTAAACGACTTAACAAGAAGGAGGATGAATCCAGTACCAAGTTGTTGTAGCCTACACCCACACTAAGTTATATTTTCCTAACCAGTACAGATGTCAATCCTACCATTGATGTGGTGTATCAATATATATAATCACCGACACATTATCTGTTCGCAAAACAAGACATCTCTAAAATGAACAACTAAACAAAAATGATAGAAGACAACATACCTTTGTTGGCGAAGTTTTTCAGCCACAGGATCCAGTGGTTCTTCCTTTGCTGGTTCTATTGTTTTTCCCCTCTTTTCAGTAGCTCTTTCAGAATATTTTTTAGGAGCCTTCTCAGTAGGTTTTACAGCAGGTGCCTGACACAATTATGCAAAGAAACAAAAGCTGGCAATTAGTTATAATGAAGGTAAAAGATTATAAGGGACACGGGATCATTTTAGTAATGGCAATCATGATACTCAAATTTTCTGATGCCAATAATTGTTTGAAGTATAATTTACCCAAGTTACCAGTTTACACAGTCTATACAAGAGTTCTGCCACTTCTTTTCCGCTCAAAAAGAAAAAAACGTACACACAGAGACTGTTTTTCTTTTTCTTTTTTTTTGGGGGGGGGGGGGGGGGGGGGGGGGGGATGGACAAAAATGTAATTTCATACATAAATAGCAGAAATGGCATGGGAATAGTATAGAAGCGTCCTGAATCCTAATCATCCAATAAGCAGGTAATTGGCCAACTATGACTGAGCCATGAGCCTACTCTAATTTTTGAAAAATATAAATGAGCTATGTTAGAGAATAATATAAACCATTAATGTAGCCTCACCCAATAGTTTAAGCTTTTGGATTGAATTGGTTCTTTACATGGTATCAAAACCTCGATGTCCCGGGTTCGATCCTCGCTGCCCCCTATTTTCTTTGTGAAATTTCTTAGCACAGGTATGTTGGGCCTGATGCATCATCCACTTTTCAAGCCCAATGGGCTTTCTTGTGAGGGGGTGTGTTAGAGATATATAAAACCATTAATGTAACCTCACCCAATAGCTTAAGCTTTTGGGTTAAATTGGTTCTTTACAAGCTATACTACTCTCATCACATCATTACTTTAAATTGTTAATACCGGAGCAGGTTCATCTTCATCCTCCCATGATTCCTTCACATCATTTTCATCCACATCTTCATCATCCCGTTTACTTTTAGGTTGTTCTTTTGAAAGAAGAGGTGGAATTTGATCGTCTTCTATGATAAATACACAAGCATTGATCAAACTATAATAATATGAGATGCAAAAGAAGAAACAGAATATACTTCAATTAAATTATCGTACTAGAAAACCATGGGAAAAATTGTACTCTGAAGGAATTAACCATTTTCACAGGATAAGTCGATAGCACATATTAACCACCTATCAATCTGGTTGACCATATTTTTAGAATATTTTAAGCTGTTAACCACAAAGTGACATAATAACATCTTAACCACATCTTAAACTGAAAAACTGCGCGCATGCCCTCACAGTCCAATATTTTCTGCAGCTTACTTTACCCATTATTATATTACAGCCAAATACGACTACCTTTACTCTTTGTCCACACGTAAGTTTCTAGATGACTGATGACACTCCTCCAAAATATGCAAATTGAATAGTAATTTTAACAAATCTAGATAGTAACATTCAATCGTCAGACCATGATTTGAAATTAACATGTAAAGAAGGTTTGACTATAATTCATTAATCTCACGCCATCAAAGTTTTGATTCCATAGTATCAGAGAATCATGGGCAAATAACCATCTTCAACCAACAAACAAGAAAGTAGAGAGATGAGAAAAGATTGGAGATATCCCAATCAAATAGGCAAAAAAAAGATTCGAGGAACTGAAGTGCAAGTAGAAACAAAAGGATGAGGCAGAATCATTACCCCAATCCTCCATTTGGTAGTGTCACTTAGTAAATAAAAAAGAATAACTATAAAAATCTTCTAAGCAACTCCATTAATTCACATGAAGAAGAAAATTGTTAGAAATCAGAAAGCAATGAGAACTAGAACTACTACTAAATCCAAAATTTCCCTAATAAGACAACATTCACGTGGCGTAGCAATGATTTTCTCGCACCCGTGAAGGCAACTGAATTAGATGGGTAGAGAAGGAGAGGATACCTGCTGAGTGGTGAGAGACGCCACCGAAACTGTTGAAAGTATTGAGTTTGAGGGTTTAGGGCACAATAGCCTTCGCTGGTGAAGGCTGTGAAGCCGCTGCTTTACTGACTATGATTCCCGACGTTTCTTGTTTCTTGTCTCTTCTCTCTTTTTGGAAAAAAAACGATTGTGTTCTTTTAAAACCAATAAATAAAGGAAAAATGTTTTTTATTTTAAATCATATAAAGTTAGCCTGTTTCTAAAGTGAATGCAAATAAAAAATAATATTATTTTGAGTTGAAAAATTAAAAAATTACAATGAAAAAGACTATTATAACCCTGAAATAAATTATAATTACAAAAATACCTAAATTTATGTCTCAAAATGACGTCGTTTTGCGGGTAGATAAGTTATCTACATTGACTGTAAAAAAGCGAACTCATAAAGTTATGTCATTTTAAGAGAGATAGACACGAGAAAATATTTTTTTATTTAAAATTTAAATTAAAAAAATCACTCACTCTCTCTCATAATTTTCATTTCTTCTGTCTATTTCTCTCTTAAAATGACATAACTTATGTCATTTAAAATGACAAACACCAAACCCATAAATAAATTGTTTTTTCAATGAGATTGGTGTTTGTCCTTTTAAATGACATAAGTTATGTCATTTTAGGAGAGAGATACACACAAGGAATAGAAATTATGGGGGAGAAAGTAGGTGGTTTTTTAATTTAAATTTTAAATAAAATAATAATATTTTGTATCGATCTCTCTCTTAAAATGACATAACTTTATTTCATTTAAAATGACAAATACTTTTCTCTTTTTCAAATGGGTATAATGTTTATTGGGGTAGGATATTGTAACAACCAATTAATGTTACTACCAATCAATTTCACCGTTAGTTCGATTATGTTGATCCAACGGTTATATATATTTCCATCTTTGAATGGTTATGATTCTCCGTATTTAATGTGAAAGCATTAAATATGAAAAATCATATACATACAAAGGTGAAAGTAAACTACAGCTACATGTAATAGGGATATGTTATGACTGAAAAAAAAAAAAAAGCAGCTTATGTTCATAGTGAAAGGAGTAAAAAAGAAGCGCAACTTATGTTCATAGTAAGCATTGTAAAAAGAAATGAACAACAAAGAAACTTCTGTAACATAAAATAAACATACGAACCATGAACAGGTCGAAGGATAGCGTTTCGCACTTACCAGTAAAGGGAGACAACACACGACAGCCTGAGGTCAAAGAATCACTCAGAATATTTTTTAAACGGTCCGTCCTTCTTCTCTTATTTTGGGGAGTTTGGAAATCTGCTTGATGTTTATTCATGACAGCGCCCAACTTGCTTGGAAGAACTTTTGATTAAGAGAAAAGAGAAGATAAATTAAGAACTTTTTAAACTCTCCTTTATATGTATATAGATGTGCTTCAACGGAAAAGCGAAGAGAAAATAGAGATACTCCCAAAAATACCAAAAAAATAGAAAAGAAAAGTCCGTGAGATCAAAAAAACTCAGTGTGCGGAAATGACAGTGTCGTATTCGAATTGCAGGGTGAAATTAAGATACATAGGACAAACGTCATTAAGATAGAAGTCATTTAAAATTTAAAATTGATGGTCAGAACATGTGCGCTTTCACTTTATAATTTTGGGTAATAAAAATTTAAAATTTACAAAATTACTTATTCGTAAAATTATAAATTTTAATTACTTATTCGGTAATTTAATTAAATATATGTTTTGCTTTTTGAGGGAGTAGAAGTCATTTCATCAATGCGTCAGCAATTTCTGGTCATGAAAGACAAATGTCATTATTTGTTTCAACGTTTAAAAACAAAATAACTATATAATAAAAAAATGTAGGCGTTTCGAGCTTCAGATGCTTCCTGGTTCTTGCGCGTAAAGATTAAAATTCGATTTTTTAAAGAAATTTTTTTCCCACCATCCATATTTAAATTTAAAATTTTAAACCATTTCAAATTTCAAATTTCAAATCAGACGACCAATTCCAACATAAAAAGCAATTAAAACACCTGATTATCCAATTAAAATTTTGAATTTCAAAACCATATTTATTTATTAATTATTTTTTTATGTCTGCCACCACAAATGGTCATTTAATTATTCGATTTAAATTTTAAAATTCAATTTTCAAAAGAAATTCTTTTCCCACCATCCATATTTAAATTCAAAATTTCAAACCATTTCAAGTTTTGAATTTCAGATCAGACGACCAATTCCAACATAAAAAGCAATTAAAACACCTGATTATCCAATCAAAATTTCGAATTTCAAAACCATATTTATTAATTAATTATTGTTTTATGTCTGCCACCACAAATGGTTATTTAATTATTCGATTTACAAATTAAAATTGGATTTTTAAAAGAAATTATTTTCCCACCATCCATATTTAAATTCAAAATTTTTAACCATTTCAAATTTTGAATTTTAGATCAGATGACCAATTCAAACATAAAAAGCAATTAAAACAGCTGATTTCTTTTTGAATACCGATGTGATGGGTAGTGGGACATTCAATGCCTTGTCTGCCACCACAAATGGTCATTAAATTATTCGATTTAAAAAATTAAAATTCGATTTTTAAAAGAAATTTTTTTCCCACCATCCATATTTAAATTCAAAATTTTTAACTATTTCAAATTTCGAATTTTAGATCAGATGACGCATTCCAACATAAAAAACAATTAAATCAGCTGATTTCTTTTTGGATACCAATGTGATGGGCAGTGGGACATTCAATGTCTTGTCTGCCACCACAAATGGTCATTTAATTATTCGATTTAAAGATTAAAATTCAATTTTTAAAAGAATTTCTTTTCCCACCATCCATATTTAAATTCAAAATTTTAAACCATTTCAAATTTCGAATTTCAGATCAGACGACCAATTCCAACATAAAAAGCAATTAAAACACCTGATTATCTAATTTATTTTGTCTGTCAGCTCTCTTGATTCTTGATTGTTATGATATTTGAATCATTATATAATAAAGATAATGTCTTTGTTATATCATTATTGTGTATATATTTTTTTAAAAATAACTATAACGAAATTGTGAATTGAATGACGATCAGGTCTTCAACAATTGTGAAATTTGTTTTTGTTTCTATTGATCTCAAAGAATAGAGATCATGAATGCATGTCCGTGAAAAGATTTTTCTTTTTATTGAATTTAAAATTTCGAATTTCAGATTGTGCAAAATAAATACATAATTTCGAAATTTCATTGATAAACCATTTAAAAATTTCGAAAATTCAATTTTTAAAAGAATATTGGTATGATAGTTTATCTGATAGAGTTTTCTTTTTATTGAATTTAAAATTTCGAATTTCAGATTGTGCAAAATAAATACATAATTTCGAAATTTAATTGATAAACCATTTAAAATTTCGAAAATTCAATTTTTAAAAGAATATTGGTATGATAGTTTATCTGATATGATAGTTTTGGTTTTGGGATTTAATTTATTTTGTTTGTTAGCTCTCTTGATTCTTGATTGTTATGATATTTGAATCAAATATATAACAAAGATAATGTCAATATAACAAAGATAATGTCTTTGTTATATCATTATTGTATATATTTTTTTTTAAAAATAACCATAACGAAATTGTGAATTGAATGACGATTAGGTCTTCAACAATTGTGAAATTTGTTTTTGTTTATATTGATCTCCATGAATAGAGATCGTGAATGCATGTCCGTGAAAAGAGTTTTCTTTTTATTGAATTTAAAATTTCGAATTTCAGATTGTGCAAAATAAATTCATAATTTCAAAATTTAATTGATAAACCATTTAAAATTTCGAATTTCAGATGAGATGACCAATTCTAACATAAAAAGCAATTAAAATAGCTGATTTTTTTTTTGGATACCAATGTGATGGGCAGTGGGACATTCAATGCCTTGTATGTAACTATTATTCGATTTAAAAATTAAAATTCAATTTTTAAAAGAGTTTTTTTTTTCCAATTTACCCAATAAAGAAAGTTTGTATATAACCAAATTGTAGAATTAACCAGGGAGTGACACTTGGCAAAACTTTCCAGCAGTGAACTCTCCTTTATATATATATATATATATATATATATATATATATATATATATATATATAGATAGATAGATAGATTGTAGAACAACACTCCAGCAAGCTAACCAACATTGAAAAGTAAATACTTCCAGATCTCAGAGTTCAAAAAATAAGAAAATACAGACCAAAAAATACACTAACAGATCAGTAAATAAAGCATTTGAAAATTTGAAATATTACAAGTCCCCAATAATATGTTGTTATGCTCTATTGTATTTCACCTTGAGTTTTGATTTTATTTTAATTTATTGGTTCATACGTGTTTTGATTTTGTTTTTAATTTATTTGTTCAATACAATTTATTATTTCAGTTTGAAAAGTAATCTTCAATGAAACATTAAAGCATTAAAAAACATTAAGGCACATAATGTCGGTATAAAAAAATGTTAATCAATGGAAGATAACGAGTCGAAACAAAACATAGGGATGATATGAACGAATTTTGAAACAAAACAATCGAATAATAGCAGTGTTGTTAATTTCATAAAAAAAAGAGATAGAGAGAGACGTGAGCTAAGAAGATTTGTTAAAATTGAGAGAGAGAGGGGTTTTTTCCATGAGGATGCAGATGGGCCGTGAGGGTTTGTTAAAATTGAGAGAAAGATGGGTTTTTCCACATGTTTCCATAGTGGAATAGGAATAGGAATAAAAAAAGAT